TTTTTTTTTGCAATACTCTTGGCCTTGTCGTGCCTGTGTGTTGGCGGCCATCATGCTAACATGTGCCTTTTTTTGCAGAACGCCGCCGCTTGCGACATTATCTGCACCGTCTGCCGATCCACGTTTCTCAAGACCACCAAGCCTCCCCAGTACGTTTTGCCGGGTTTTTGACTTTTTATCATACTATGCTCCTGACGGTCGCGGGGAGAAATCATGTGTACTAATTCTTTGGTATAGGCTGCTCGAGCACGCCCAGAATAAGCACAACAAGGGCATGGCCGACTGCTTTCCCTCTGTGAGCGCTTAAGCTTCCGAAACGTGGAACGATTTTAGCACGAGATACGATGAACTATACGGCGTTATTACGGTACTACAAAAGAGAGACAACGGGGGACGAGGAGTATTTCTTGAGATTTCTTTTCTAGGCAAGCGAGGCATGGAGAGAGGCGTTGTGGTAGAGAGAGAATAGAAGATTGCAGCATTTCACGATTCTGAAATTATCCATGACCAATTGCAGCTGTCCTCAGATCTAAAGCCGACTGTCAAAAGCAATATACCCTTCCGCATCTAATGCGCTTCCACCTTGGCCACCGGCAGCGACGACACACGGCCCAGGCTCTCCTGGTGCGTTTTCTCACCACCTTTCTGCTGCTGTTGCTGCTGCTGCTCCGCCGCCGCCTGCTCCGCGCGAATCGCCCGCAAAATGTCCGGATACCAGCGCTCCCCTACATCCGGATGGCTCTTTACCCGATTCCTCAGCGTCGCCTCGCCCAGCGTCTTTGCCACGCCACCTTTGCGAAACGTAAACTCGACGTCATCCACGCGCCCGCCGCCGTTGCGCGCCGCCACCTCTTGACGCTGCTCGCGGACCGCGTCTGGGACCTCGCCGACGCCGACCGTTTCCAGGTCGTCAAAGGAAGCGTCGAGCTTGACGCCCTGAAAAAACGGAATGGAGAAGCGCGCGCCGGCGCCGGCCGCGGGCGACTGCACGCGGTGCGTCGTCGACACGCAGACGCCGCGCGTCAGCGCCTCGAGGCCCTGGCCGATGGCGACGACGAGCGTGCCCGCGACGGGCGGGCAGTCGACCCACGCGCCGCGCACGTTTTGCACCTGCAGGCCGCGGTGCGCCGTCGCCTGCAGCAGGTAGCTCGTCAGCATGCTGTCCTTGTGCGGGCCGACGCCCTGACCCCCGGCGGTGCCGGCAGGCAGACCGAGGTCTGCGGCGTCGGGGTACTTGACGATTTTGAGCTTGTGCTGCTGGTCGGCGTCAAAGTACTTGTTAAAGGCGTCGGCGGGCAGCTCAATCGCTTCGGCAATGAGCGAGGTAAAGGCGACGGAGATGGCGCCCATGCGGGTAATGTAGTCGGTGTAGACGGCGCGGAACCCGGGCAGCGCAGACTCGGCGGGCCACTGGTTCGGCGCGAGGAGGTTGTGGTAGAGGGGCGCGTCCGGGCCGGGGATGGGGTGCTCGGTTGATAGGTCAATCTGCTCCCGGTGGTCGATCTGGCCGGCGGTGATTTCGGCGGAGAGCCGCGAGTAGCCCAGAAAGGACGGCGCATTCTTCATTTCAATCTTGAGTCTGATTTTCTGTTAGTGCATGTACATCAAGGCCATGCTCCAACACGTGAGGTGAGCAGGTATATTCAACAGCTTCAAAGACTTTGACAGCTTCAAATCTCGCGCCGTTGTAAACTCACTTTTCCTCTTCGGGTATATCAAAGAATGCCTTGCCCTGTTCAATCACCTGCTCAAACAGGCTGTCTGGAATTCCGACATTCTTGAGATACAGGAAGCCGACTTCCATAAGCGCATGGCGGAGCTGCCTCAAAAACTCGGGCTTGGTCGCCGAGTCCTTGGCCTCGGCCAGATCCAAGATGGGAATCGACGTAAATGACATGCTTAGTTTGGGCGTCGGCGCGAAGCTTGAGAAGCTTCAATCGACGCACTAATTTGAGGCAGGATGTTGGAGAAAAGTTGATTGTTTTGCTGCTTATGTACAATGCTCTGTCGATATATGCTCCATGATATGAAAAAAAATTCAAGTCTACCATAGTAGTCCTGTTGCCGAATGAATGCTGGTGAATGGCGCCATCGCCTTGTCCACTCACTGGTTGCAACTCTATTGCGCCAGCTCCCCCGCACGCGCCGTCCGTCTTCTGTCGCAGCCAGAAGCTCTGTGGTGGGGTCATCTTTCGCGCCACTCTGCTCCGATTCCGGACAGCCTATAGATCATCCCTATGCCTTTTGTTGCTTCGTTACTCTTCATTTTATACAATGTCCCATCGAGCAGCTCGACCTAAGAAGAAAGCGGCTTCGTTTCCAGCAGCCCGGTCACCTTGTAGAACATGTCCTCCACCGAGGGGCCAGCAAAAGCCGGCGCAGCATTGAATATGTCGGCTAGACTTTGTTGTGAGATGACACTCGTGGGCACATCGTCCATGTCCACATCCATGGCTTCATTTGTGGCATCCTCCTCAGCAGCTTCCTCATCGTCGCTAGCCATCAAAACGTCATCTTCAGCGGCAGCTGCAACCTCTCCGTTCGCAGCGCCCTCGTCTACATGGCCGTCCAGATGAATGTCATGGAGCGGCTGCGCAGTGATGAGCGAGGACGGATCGGATCCTTCTGTCACAGTCCATATTTGCGCGGCGTCGTCCAGGGCAAGAAAGCCACTTGTGCCGGGGGCTGAGGTCAGACTGATGATGCGGTGTGGTGTGCTGCGGACCATCAAGGGCTCGGGATCCTCGGGGCTAAAGATTCCAATGCTGGAGATTTTATCAATCGGCAGTGTAACGGCAAAGTGGCCCGAAGTGTGGTCAACGGCAAGTTGCAGCAAGTCTTCCATGCCGGGAATCTGAGGTGCTACGATACCATATCGCAGCTCGTCGCTTACAATGTCGTAGACGTGGAGTATATCTGATAGCACAACGACAAAAGGTGACAGTGTGCAGATAGCATGCAATTTGCCCTCCCAAAGTCCCTCGAGGATGCGCACAATCTTTCCGGAGGCTGCGTCAATCACATATACTGATCCAAGATCGGAGAAACCAAAGGCGGCGAATATTGTAGAGCCATCTTCAGAGTACGTGATTTTACCCTGAGGTGTAGACGATTCAGCCATATCAGTGAGAGCCCCGGCTCCGTAGCCCTCACCGACCGGAATAACCTGTGCGCAGCCCCAAGAAACAGTGTTCTGGCCACTGGCGCCTTTGGCAACAATACCGTTGGCGTGCCTCGTTCTTGGGCACCACAGACGCACAAGACCGTCGCCACCAATCGTAGCAAAGCATGTCGACGAAGGGTCCGAGGCAAGATCAAGCACAGGCTCCGAGGACGAAGTTGCGTGTGGTCCATTGACTCGTGAGACCAGGGCGACAGTATCGTCATCTTGCACTTCCCAGAACTTTAGATAAACCTCGCGACGCTCTCGAATAAATTGTTCTCTCAGATCGGGGCTAACGTTGTCGATATCTCTAGCAGCAGGCTGCCAGTCATCTACACTGGCAAGCCACTTGCCATCGCCTGAAAATTCCACGTGGGTAACCAGAGGCTCATCGATAATCTGTCCCTTGTTCGTCGTATTGATGTCAGTGGGATGTGTTCTTGCAAGAGCCTGCTTCGAGATGCTGGTAAAGGTCTCGAGATCAAATGCCTGGAGAAAAGGCGCCGAAAAGCGGCCAGACATGGTGGATTGTCTGCCACTTCCAACACAGACATGCAGGCGAGACGGGGCGTTGGAGCGGATTGCGGCAGGGATGCGCTGGCGAACTTGTTCCTGGACCTCCCATACACGCTTGACGAGTTGGTCTTTGGGGGTTTGAACATTGGCGGCGGCAGACTGGATACCAGATACATACGCTGACGGCTTCAGTTCAGAGGTAGAAATGATCATTGTCGAGTTGTCGTCGAGATGCACCACATAAGAGGCGCCGTCGGCAGATACCACGATATTCTCTACACTTCCCGAAAGATGGGGGAGAAAGTCTTTCTTGGAGGTATCCATCTGCCACAGCACCAGCGTATTTTCGGAACCACCAGAGATCATGTAATTGCCGTCCCTGGACCACTTGGCCGAGTGAACGGCTTTTCGATGCCAGTGGAATTTCTGAGCGTGTATTGTGTTATCAGTTTGCTTGCCGGATTCGGTTGCCTGGCATCGGGCAATAGCGTCGTGGTAAAGATAGATACCGCCGCGAGCACCGCCAACAATAACATCGACCACCTTTTCAGTTTCGCTGCGGGCGTGCTTTGAAGACCGCTTATATGCGCGCAGGTCCAGAGTTGTAATGAGATCCGGCGTGTCGAAAGAGAAGAATTCATACTGCAGCTTTTCCGACTTGGCGGGAAGCTGCTTGGAGACACCGAGAAATAGGCGGTCGTTGATGGCGCCGACCAAGAACTGGCCGTCTTTGGTTGATTCGAGAAGCTGAATACCGTTACCCTGACGTTTGAGAGAGACTAGCGACTGAGACGTGGGAGCCGACACCAGGTCCCATTCGTATGCAACCAATTCAATGCGCGTCGACTTGTCGGATTCGGCCACGATGACGACCTCTTTGGAGCGACTCTGGGCGTAAAAAGGTACAATGGACATGGCGCGGGCTGTATTGGAAGCGGTTTGGAAGCTATCGACATTCTTTGACTCCTGTGTCCAGTTGATGCGGTGTACTCGGCCATCCGCGCAGGCAACCCAGACAAAGTCGGTATCTTGTTTCGATAGGCGGGTGGCAACGATTGGAGATGGCTTCGAGCCTTGCGGGGCGGAGGCATCAATGCTGCTGACGGGTATCCGTCTCACTAGCAGAGAGTCGGTGGCGGAAAATACTTGGATCGAGGTGTTGTAGGTCAGGATTAGGTATCTTCAGATGCTGTTAGTATTGGCTGGTGCAAATTGTAGTCGAAAAGACTGCAACTCACTCTCCATCGTCTGTCAGAATAGGGTCAATGTCCAGCATGCGTCCTCCCATAGGCTTGGAGATCTTCCAGGCGGCATCCGAGCGATCAAGCCTTTGCGCTAGATCCTTTGTCGAGGTCGGCTCGGCGAGTTCTCCGTCTGCATCTTGAGGGCGAACTCTTTTGGCTTTGACTTCGTTTTCATTGCTGTCTCTCTTGCGCTTCTTTGTTTTGTCGACCTTGACACGCTGCGCCCGTTGTCCAGCCATCGTGGGTTCGTGTATATCAATTTGGTGTACCACGATTGGCGTTGGCAAAAAAGGTTGGGCTCGAGGCTAGGAAAAGTTGGTTCACAGCGAGCGCATGAAATTTTGGTGAACTTTTTCTGAGCGATAAGATAAGGCGGCCGCTTTTTTCTTCTTTGGTGGTGTCGGGGAAACATCGGGCGCAGAGAAAATCCAAGTGTTCCACCCTCAGAAAGCAGCACGAACTTGATCTCGGATTGATTCGTGACTTTTGCCAGCAGCCGAAGCGTCGTCAAATAAAATCGGAAAAAAGTGACTGCTGCCTTTTGATAACCAAGATGATTATTCCTATCCGCTGCTTCTCCTGTGGCAAGGTACGAAGACGACGATTCTCGACTTTGCGACGCGCGCGCGACTGACTAACCTTGCGCAGGTCACTGGCGACCTCTGGGAACGCTATTTGCAGCTCATTGCGGACCCCAGGAAGACTGACGGGTACGATATCATGATGTGTCCTGGAGCACAGTTTGCTAACTAATAATCTAGCGATGCCATGGACGAACTTGGACTGAAGCGCTACTGCTGCCGCCGCATGATCATGACCCACGTCGACCTCATCGAGAAACTCCTCAAGTACGACCACTCGCGCTTACTTGGCGGCTCGGGAGCGACAGATTGCTAACCGGCTGATTATTTAGGTACACCCCCGACGGCCGAAGCGAGATCAAGCAGAAGCTCAACGAACTGGCATAAAGTACAAAGCCCGCATCGAAGCGGCGTGCAGGCTTTCATAGGACGGCGTTTGGGGTACTTTTTTCTTCACTGCTAGATGGTATGGCGTATAATAAGGGAGCTCTCGCGATATTCATATTACAGGCACGTTTACATATTCAAATGGATGTCTCAGCGTCTGCCAACATACAGTTGAACGTGACGGGGAGGTGGCCAATGCGAGCGGAGAGAGGTGAAGGCAGGTCTAGAGGTCGAAGCCGCGCCCAAGGGGTGGAATATATGCCTCGGTCGGCGGGAAACCTACTAGGTATTTCCCGGCTCTGCTATAAAAAGTGTTCTGCAAAGATCCTGCAACGGTTTCGGGTGGCGGGGGCATTACTTTGCAGCGAGCCCGATTCTCTTACCGCGGCTGTACGTTACACGGCAGGAAGGCGTCGGCCATGGCTGAGCACGCATGTCATAGGGTGCATGATGTAAGAGTAGCCATGTGGGCAGCCTCACCGGTATTACACGTCAATGATTATGTATTTTGGCTTACTTCTGCGAGCCGAAAGGTTGTGAGCTGTGGAACATATTGCCTCCACGTCATCCAGCAGGCAGTCCAGCGTGTGGAGGTGCGGATACGACCACCCGGTGAGCACGACCCGGAAGGCCACCCTACGAAGTGACCGGCCGGTTGAACGGGACCTGCCCACTCCGTAAAGACTCGGTCAACCTTGGCATGCCTACGCGACGCCAGGGAGTGTGTATGTGTCGTGTTAGTGGTGGTGGTCTGCCAGAGACGCGACTTGGCGCTCAAAAGGAGGTCTGTCTGCAAGCTCTGGACTAGCACGGTGCAGGAAGTGTCGCCTCGATGAAGCGAAGTATTGTGCTGCCAGAAGCAATGGTTACGAATGCACCATCATGCGGTGCCATGCGTTGGGTGGCATTGTACACCAATATGGACGGAATTTAGTACGGATTCCAAGACGGACGAGAACTTATAAGCGACGTATCGGCTGAAAGCCACAGTGGCTATTCGCTGGCTCCAACCAGCGGCGTCCCAAGGCGGCAGTTTGGGTAGCAGCGGTAAGCGAAGCCATCAGTCGGCGACGGACTTGCAATATCGCCTCTCGGGGTAAATCCGTAGTTCGCTAGTTCTGTTCAAAACATCTTTCCAGTTATCCCCACCAGAGCTTGGGCAGCTTTGTTGTGCAACCCTGTCGCGATCGTCGTGGGAGCTCAAGATGGTTTAGTGTGGAGGCCCCCGCTGAAGTTAGAACGAGAAAGCGAGCACAATGGACGTGAAGCCGCCGGGCCCAGATTGCCGGGACCAAGCAACCAGTCACAATTGGGCTGCGGAGTAGACCACGCTGTCTGTCTCACGATGTAAGTCGGTTGGGCCCAGACCCCCAGAGCAGCCTGGCCACGCTCCCACGCTAGAAGGCGACATGGGTGCCTATGGAATGGCGGTAGCAGGGAATGGCCATTCTATCAGTAGCTGAGCGGCAGACAAGGCAGAACAGACAGGAATTTCGATGGCTGAAGGGTGTAATGCTGGGATTTTTTGCAGGCCGGGCGAGGCTGAACTCAGCAGTTCGGCCGGTGCCCTATTCAGGGAGCGAAGCGGCATCGATTGACAAAAAAAGATTGTTGCAGTGGTGTCGGGCCAGAGCTCAGACCGTCGATAAAGGTGGTTTGGGTGGCTACTAGACCAGATAAAAAATCACGAGTGTTAAAAGAAGCAACCCCCCTCCACACCATCTCGCAGCATTCTCATCAATCGTTGGCTAATGACAGCCACGCACCAGAATTTAAGCGCCGAAGCCTGTCGCCTTGCATGGAGGGCCCACGGCCGGCGGGCCAGTGAAGGTCGATACACTACCTGCAGTCATGCCCCGGTCCAGGTGTGTTTTGACTGGGCGAGGAAGAGTTGCTCCAGAGGACGAACACCATGGCTATGCCTTTGTCGGGATAGTGTTGCAGCCTCGCGACCAAGCTTGGCAGATGGTGTGTTGTAGTCTAGGCCCGAGTCCGCGCAGGTATGCGTGCGCCAGTGCCAGATGATCGGAGTTTGTAAAGGGAAATCGGAGGAGATGAAAATTGGATAACCATGTCGAGCGGATTTATTCCGGTGATGGACGAGAAGTCGATGCTGGCTTGTGGGTATTGTGGTTGACGATGCTGATGTTTGCGCAGAAAGCTAACCCCGCCTGTGCCTGTTGGTGAGTAGTGATGCCTGTCCACGTTGCGAGTGCAAGCCTCTGGCGGTTACCAGTGGTTGCCTGCAGCCTGCAGGGGACCAAGACATGGCTTTTTTTGTAAGTCAGCAGTCGGATGGTCACATCATCAAGGTGCTGGTGCCTTGGCCCACGTTCACTAAAAGAGTCCAAAGGAAGTCAAGAATCAGGAATAATTAAGAAGAAGGCTGTACAAAGTTCGCCGTGTTGTGCAACCAGTTCGCCTTTTGCTTCAAGTTGTCGTTACACGTCCCACTGTAGTGACTCGGTACAAGATGGGGTGGCCGCACAAGAAGGCTGGCATCGACGGAAGCTGGCTGACCGGCCCCGGGTTCTGAGCGTTAGCAAATTCAGAGCATATACAGTATTTACAATAATAGGTAGCTAATACCTGGATCAACGCCTTCTGTTGTCGATACTGGACGAACATGTGCTGGCAAGGACAGCACTTGATGTATCACGCAATGCAAGTGCAGGGCATTTCAACGCCGCTCTACCAATGGTCAAGATCCCGGGTCAAGATGCGTAAATAATGGAGGGGAGTGCAGCTCTGGCGGCCGAGGCGTCTGTCTACCGTATTAGCTTGAGCTTGACTGCATATCTGCGCAGCAACGCAAAACACGCAGCGGCTGAAGTTACCAATTGCATACTGGTAGGTGATTAGCCACAAAAGTAGCCCATGACTGCGTAAGCAACCAGCTCACTTGTCTGATGTCTCATTATCATGCCAAATCTTGCCTGTGCATTGTGACATTGCCCTCCACGTCCATCCCCGGCCAGCGAGGCAGGCAGCTAAGATGGAAGAGGCGCATCTGCAGGACCGCACGACAGGGATTTCCCTCCACATTCTGGGTCCCAGCGGCCAACATGCATTGAAAGTACAGCAGAGGTAACGCGCCTGCATCCGCCAGTGGCATTGCTACATGCAAGTACCTGGTCTACCTGTGAAGCTGTTAATTGCCCTTGATCGTTGTTCAAGTTATTATGGTCAAATTCATGGTCAAGCTTGTTACTCTTGTCCCTCGCAAGCCCGCAAGCCAGTCATCGAATGAAGCCGCCGCCGCCGCCGCCGCCGCCAACCAGCTGCATGCAGCCTGCACCTTGCGCACCACACCCGCGCAGCTCCATCGCCCGTTTGCTCTTTTCCTCTTCTTTTAAGCTGCTGCTCCCATCCACCACATTTTCTCCTCTCATCCTTTCAACCTCACCCCCAGCCGTCTTCCTCGTCGTCGTCGTCGGTCTTGTTGCAGCCTGCTTCTGCTTGACCAACTCCATCGTCGCCCCAAGCCTCACGTCTGCGACCGTTTCAGTGCCCTCTGCAGTTGGGTTTGTGGCTCCCGGCTCCCCCACCCGGCCTCGCTCTGTCCGGCCAGGCACTTTACCATAATAGCTACCTACTTTGACATCCCTTCATCCCGCCTTGTCGCAGCCGCCTCAAGCTCTTCGCTCGGCAAACAATATATACAGCTCAAGGCATACTCAAGGATTTAATATTGCTCCAGCAACTGCCAGTCCTTTTGTGTGTATATATCCTGCGCCAATTGCACTCTGTCAGCAGGCTACAGTCTGTAACCCACTTTGGCCGTTGCCTTGCACCTCGCCATGTCTCTCGAACCTCTTGCCTTCCATTCAATTTGCGAGAGCCCATCCTTCAACATGGCTCGCCAAGGCGATTCATCTGCTAGCGCAAACTCTCCGTTATCCCCTCTCACTTTCAGACCTCGGTATATCTCTAACCCCTTCTCGCATACGTCGTTGACCTTCTGCTATTAACACCCGCACTTCAGATCTTCTCCTCCGTCGGCGACGGGCTCCGGCTCTCTGCGCCCTAGCTCTGCCAAGAGGATCTCCTCCAACCCCAATCCAAATCAGCTGCTAAGCCCCAGCGATTTGGTCGGTCCTTCGCCTGTTACTTCAAACGGCACAGAAACTACCGAAATCGAGGATGATGTCGCCGATGACCTGCTTAGTCCCCAAGACGGTGACCCCACACAAAACACTGAGGTGGCCTCTCCTGCTTTTTCCACTTCCCAAACTTGATACTGATAATCAACAGCTTTTACCTCTTACTACAACTCTTTCTGATAGCGTCCATCAGCAGGGCACAGAAGAGTCAAACTCCGTTATCCATGCTCCCGAGAGCTTCCGGAGCTGGGTAGGCGAGGATCAATTGCTCCTCGAGTGCGAGCTTTGCTGACAGTACCCGTAGACCTCCAAAGAGTCTACAACGCGCCAAAGCCAAACTGGCGAAAGATCATCACCGAAGTTGGATGCAGCCAAGTTGCCTTCCAGCCCCCCAAGCGTGAGAATGTACCGAAACTGACCTGCTGCGAAATGACTGACTGTTTACGATTATAGGCCTACCATGATCTCCCTCCCGTAAAGACGGACATCAAGCCTGTGAGGTACAGCCTGGACAGTGCCACCCCGCGCGCCCAAGACCTTCAGGACATGCTATCGGAAAGCAGTCGCTTGCGCTCCAGCAGCACAAGCAGCCTCGAAAGTAAGTTGTTTCGAAGCAGATCACGGGACTCGATTGACTCATCTGGTAGAAATCGAGGAGCAGACGGAAGCCGAAGGTGATGATGATGATGACCTCTATTCCGACGGCGAAGGACTTTTCGGCAGGGCGCAGCTTCGAGGACAACACAATGAGATAGAACGACTCAATCTTTTGTTTAACACAGCATGGACCTGCTGTCTCGAATTCGGCAGCTACAACACACGGCGCAGAAAGCGAGATTTAAACAGCTCTTCAGTCTCCGATACTCATGTTTATGCCTGGCAGACGTGTTGGAAGCTCTGTGAGCGACTTAAAAACGACGAAAGCAGCGAGAAAGATTCTCTCAATGTCCGTGACGGCTTGAATTTGTGCCGCAAATTCTGCCAGGCGTTATTCGAACTCCGCCCAAGAAAGGATGAGGTATTCGACTCCATGCTGCGCGTCATTTTTGAATTGAACAACCAGTAAGAATCCCGCTGCCTGGCATTTCCTGTCCATCGGCATACTCATAATGAATAGTCTTTACAGTGGACAAGATAACCGAAACCTCCCCGAAGAGTTCAGAGAGCGGACCCTTGACTTTTACGTCACCATCTGTCACCGACTGATGAAGCAACGGACCACTTTGCAGGACGACTCGGACAGAATTTTGAAGGCCTGCTGGTCCTTGACAGAAGTTCTCTTCAGTATTCGTCAAAATCGACGAGACGGGAATCCTGCAGACGAGAACCTTCTTGTCGCTGCTATTGAAGCTACTTACAATCTTAACGACTTGTTCCGCGAAGGACTCAGTGCATCCAGGTCCGAGAGAAGCACGCCCCGGCCCAGCCAGACGAGCTTCTCCTATCCTTCTCCGGAACACACGGGCAGGGAAAGTCGTTCTTCCAACCATTCCTCGCGCTCCAAGAGAGATACTAGCAGCAAAGGGTCATCATACCAAGAAGAACGGCCAAGAAAGCCGTCCAAGGTGCCCGAGACCCCAGTCACCGAGTTTGAAGATACTCCAATTTCTCCGGAGAGCCGATCCCCTCAGATGCCCAACATCATGGTGCTTGGTCCTAGCAGCGATGGTGGTCGAGGCAGTCGCTGGCCCAGTAGCGCTTCCAACTTGTCCAGCTACTCCCACAACAGTAACCGAACATCGAGCACTGCCACCACAACTACGGCTACCGAGGACCTCAACGTGACACGCGCCAAAGTTCTCGTTTTGCGCGCCGCTGTTCAGCTTGGATTCAACAAGGAGGCTATTGTAGATGTAAAAACGGGCAATACGGCACTGCAGAAATTTGTATCGGAACTGCAGCCTGGAGCGTTTGGTTCTCTTGCCACGCATGCCACTTTGCTACAGCAGTACAAAGAGTCCATTCTGACCGATGGCTTCGTTCCGCGAAGCAGCTTTGTGCTGTCCTCGCGGACGAAGAGAGTGTCTGTTCAAGACTTGGCCAAGTCTGTGCAGATCATGATCAGCACATCCCAGTCCCGATATGGCTACTTGAGAGAGCTGTTCAAATTTGTGTGCAGCTTTCCGCTCGAAGAGGCAGATTCTCGACGCAACCTCATCATACAAGTCTGACACCGCAGTTGCGGATAGACTAGAGAAAACGAAAATACGCCAGGCGGGTGACACATTTGCACTCATCAGCCACCACAACCCGTACTCATCACCACTCACACACACACATCACAGACACAGCAAGATACCCCCAGCATCCTTACAGACGAGACATGACCACTTCTTTTTTTATTCCTGCTTTCTTTGAATATGGCGTTTTTATACAAGGAGCATTTACTGCAATCAGATGACGAATTCCAAATTTTGAATTAAAACTTTGTAGTGTAAAAGAGTGAAATATCCAAATTTAAATTAATACTCGAGAAAGCAGGAATAGACAAAGTTATCTTGTAAGAAAGTAACAATGTGCCAGAGTAAATCCAATATTGCCTACGCCGGAGAGGGCAGATAGCAAAATAATAGCCAAGAAAGGAAATATCCAAAGTTGTTGGGGGTATCATATGAAAAGCAAAAAGACTTTATCCAAACCAAAAAAGAAAAAAAAAAATGCAACGCTAAAGGCAGCCGATCCCGCCTTATATCCATCCGCTTTTGATAGGTGCGAAAACCCACACACTGACTTGCCAAGAGGGACATACAATGTAATCAACCTCCTGACAGGTTTGTAAAAACAAGTATCATCCAATCGCTCTACTTTTCCCACCCCTTTTCGTTGATTGAAAAGGGGAATGCAACCCTAAAGAATAAGGTGGCATTTGGGAAGGGGATGGGGAAGAAAGAGATTCGCTCGCAAGTATACAAGTATAAAGCTACCCCACGAGTTTCCAAGAATCCATGTTCCATTTGAAAGAGATGACAAATCCAAAAAGAAACGCAACATGCAGCCGTAACATGAGAGAATGATTGCGATAACCGGAGATGTCATTCAGTTACTCTTCCAGGCTGAAGACTTCTGCTGGAGTCTGTCTGGCGACACTGCATCGTCGACACTGGATGGTATCTATGCCTGGAGCTTGACGATGGACTTGGACTCTCACGGAGCATTCTCGAGATTGATAAAATCCGCAATGTTGAAGTCGTCCACTTCGCCGTCTTGCTCCTTCGCATTCTCAGTACCGTTGCTGGTCCCGGCAAGTAGCTGCTGAAGGTGCTGGATGCTGATAACCTGATAGCTGAAAGGACTAGGTTGTCTGGCAGAAGTCTGTCCCTGCAGATTTCCATTGGCAGCCTGACTTTCCTGGGAGAGCGCCTCGCTCTGCTGTGTCTCTCCACGTGAAAGCGGCATGCCCTGTTGCGATTCTCCATATGAGAGCGGCATGCTCTGCTGCGGATCTCCACGTGAGAGCGGCTCGCTCTGCTGCAATTGCCCACGTGAAAGCGCAGCGGAGGGTTGCGGCTCTGCATTGCGCTCATGGGGGTTCTGCATACCTTGTACTGGTTCCTGCTGGTTCTCTTCCGTCGCTCTAAATGTGGCCAAGTCGGGTGCGCCCAGCTGGGGGGCGAATTCCCAGGAACCCTGCTCGGGGGCACTGAAGACAGCCTCCGGCGCGGCCGGCGCGGAGTATTGAATTTCCTGCAAGTGAGGTCCTTGGGTCCCGTTCCATGGCCCTGTTCCAAGCTCTTGACCATGATTGCCCATGTACGCCGCTGGCGCCGCAGATTGTCTTCCCTGCTGGTAATTTGCTTGGGTCTCGATCCACCGCTGTGTTAGGAGCTCTTGGCTGTGATTGCTCATATACGTCGCTTGCTGGGGATAAACAGCTGCGGGGGGCTGGTGGGCTGAGTGAGAATTCATTGTCCAATGTAGCTGCTCGCTCGCAAAGGTTTCCTGGTGAGTAACTCCTTGCGCTTGGTGCATGCCGTGGCTGAAGTGTTCCTGTTGTGTGGACGGGGAAACGTTGGCCTGCGGCCAAAGCATTGGAGTCTATGGAAGAGGATTTAGCAGCCAATCTAGATGAACATACGCAGACGACCATCTTTAGCTATGGGCAGAGGGCCATGGAGTTGACTCACTTGGTTGGCGGGGTACTGTGGTTGAGGAATCCCCGGCATCTGCAGCCGCTCGATATTTTGTCGCGTCCCATGCACTTGCTGCCTGTTTTGCAGCTGCCTGTTTTGCAGCTGCCTCTCGACCTGCTCGTCCGCATGTACCGCCGCCTGTGCCTGCTGATAGGCAGCAGCACGTGCTGCTCGGTGTCTGCGCTCAGATCTGTGAACCCGAGATGCTGTATACATTCCGGAGAGGTCGGCTCGCCGCGGTACGGGTACAGGACTCTCTGTGGTCTGTCGGGGGTTGTTGCTGGTGGTAGGGTGTCTATTTGGACGAGTTAGCCATGCCTTCAGTATCAAGCACGAACGACTTCAAATCCCAAGTGACTGGTGCAGGTATGGTGACTGCAGTCTTACCGAGCTGTAGTGTAGTGGTTTGCCATGGCCATACCGCTGCTGCCGCCGTTGAAGCCTTGGCCAACGTTGCCATACCCATCCACGGGCTGACTGGAGTTTATACTTTGGCCAACGTTGCCATACGCCTCCATGGGCTGACTGGCGTTCAAAGTTTGGCCAACGTTGCCATACCCATCCACGGGCTGACTGGAGTTCATACTTTGGCCAACGTTGCCATACCCATCCATGGGCTGACAAGAGCCCAGACTTTGGCCAACGTTTCCATATCCCTCCATGAGCTGGCTGGGGTTCAGAATTTGACCAACATTGCCGTCCCCCTCCATAGGCTGGATGGAGTTCAAACACTGGTCAACGTTGCCATGCAGTTCCATCGTAGGGCAGGCCATGACTGTGAGATTTTGTACAAGGGGAACAATCGGTAGCTGAGCCTCCTCACTGATCGCTGGCTTGACCAGAAATGCAATTCCAGTAATTGCAGGGCAGCTGCGCTCCCGCCAACATTATATATTAGCCGTCAATGTCACGGATTCATAGGTGTTCACAAAATTGGGGGATGATGTAGGTATATATTCGAAACTTACTTGAAAGCAGGATCTCTTCCATATCTGCCCTTGAGGTATTTGTGTTGATGTGACTTGAGTTCTCGCCCGAATCTTTCCTTGAAGCCTTGGCATACCAGATCCTCATTTTTGATCTTGTATTCAAAGACCTGTTTTACGAACCAGAGGATCTCGGCATCGCTGTACTGTGGTTTTCCGGCCATCGTTGATGTAATGGAGGGTTTCGATCAAGTATCAACTGAATATCGGTAGACGGAATCCATGTCAGTGATTTATTGAATCGGAGCGATGGCGCCACAGCAAGAGCTGAGTGAGAGGAGTGACAAGGGCAAGATTTCAACCAGATGGGTTAAGTAGGAGGAGGAGGAGGAGGAGGAGGGAGGGGGGGGGATAGACTCACGATTCGAATGAATTGTCAGAGCAAACAGTTCGAAATAGTCCAGGTATGCTTTTTTTTTTGTGAGCAAAGTTGCCGCGGTTGCTTTGATGCTTGAAGTCGCACGCGGTTCGTTGTTGGAGGTGAAAGGAAATGTTAGAGCAGTGGGCAACCAAAGCAGCCTTCGCGTCGATGGCTGCAGAAAGAAGAAATGAAAAAGAATAAAAAATCCAGACGTTCAAGAATATATTTCTGCCCAAAAAGTAACTCTTTGGAATAATTTTACAAGTAAAGTGTATTGCAGACCGTGTGCCTTGTAGTAGCGCCCAAGGGTGACGATGCAAACCACCAGGAGGTGTTCGGGAAGGCTCAAGTCTTTATAGGAGTCCAGAAATAAATATTCAAGTTCTACACCATTCCTTCTCCCCCCCCCTCGAATCCAAATCGAGATTAGTCCTAACGCCTCTCCCACCCTACTTGCCTTGTTCTACGCTATGGCTTGCAATATTCGGCTAAGAGAAACAGAAAACATGACTTATTTAGAGAGATTCTTCAATATATTAATGAATCACTGTTCAGATCCAACTTCCTGATGCCAGACATGGCAAATACTTCCAGCTCGACGAGAAAACCTCGCCTCTATTTTCGTGTCGACGACGTCGGTGGCGTACTGGTGACTATTCCTTCTGTCGGTGCCCTATTTTTCGTCCAATAGGTTTATAAAGTCGTCTCCGTGTCGTTTGAACCTGCAACATGCGTTACTATTCTTCGTCCTTCCCATTATAGGGCACGAGGCCGCTACTCTGGGGGGGCATCTGGGCAACACAAGCCTGAAATTGGGCGTGCCTTCTAGACGCTATCACGCTCATGGCTGCATAGAGGCTGCTAATAACGATGATACCACGCTGCATGTAGATTTGTGCCATCTGAGTCCATACCTTTAGCGTCTCACCCTGACAATTTTCTCCTGGCAAGACCACTCTCCATCTCCGTGTGCGGCTTGACTCTGTATCAACACGTCGTGTTGCCGGTAGAACTAGAGTGCATAGTGTATGACCGCGTTTGAGTGCTGGCTTGTAATACCTACCGCTTGGTATGCAACCACCAATTTGACCTGCCTGTCGTGACCTGTCATGTCGTGTGTGCTTCATGTCGATCGTTCATTGGTCGCTGTTGTTGCGTCGCCCTCTTCCCGGCCGCTGCCGAACTGGCAGGCTCAGTCCTTACCGAGCGGAAGGGCGGCGCGAACTATCATCGTGCTTCAGGTCGTACAGCTCCAGAATATCCCATTTTCTGCGCGAATGACGCAAGCTGATGACCGCACGCACAAAGAAACGACGATGGAGCTGGTCGGTTGTCGCCTAAAAGGCGGGAGAAATGAGGCGAGGAGCCGTGCTCGACCTCTTACCGAATGATTTTTGGTCCGTATTGGTGGCTTTGTAAGATAGAAGCAAAGTACTGCCTCTTTAGGCAGCCTAGAGTGAGTCGAAGAGCCGGGAAAGATGGTGGGTAGGAAGCAACCTTCTTTGGCAGGCAGTGGCGATGAAGGTCGAGAGCATCAGGGAAAGGCCCCATTCGCGACCACATTCGCGAGGAGGTGCATACCGGCCATATTGATCTTGGAAGGATTCAAGCGTCCTCATATTTTGAAAGAGGGACGTCGCTTCAGGTTCGTTTCGTTGCGAAACTAAAGCGTACGATGTGAAAATGCGGTGCAAATGGTGGCGTGGTCATGAGGGCTGTTGGCACCATGATGATTCGCAACATGTCCTCCGAGAGCGGTCAATCTGCATCGACCACCACTTTCTGGCTCTTCTGCTAATTCCTTCTTCTCTGTTCTTCTATGGTACAATTTGTACGGTCTATCGTCTAGGTCGTTGTCGTTAAGTGTTGTCGCCAATATTTCTCGCTCGACTTCCTCTGCCAACAGCCGGACGCCCCCTCGCGAAACGATTCCCAATTAGAGGCGAACGCTCCCTTTAGCCGTCTCGTTTCTTTCGTTACCGCTGTTGTCCTACCCGCTCCGGTCATCTTTAGGTGCAAACTGGTCTTCAAGTCAAATCCGTCCTTTTCTTTGCAGAATGAAGGCGGCTCCAGGGCGAGTTTGCTTGTCCGAACTCTTCTATACACATGACTGCGGCCGCATCGTGCTTCGTAGGCATGACTGCAACTATATATTCGAATCAGGCGCCAAGTTGCAAGAAATGGCCGACTCAGCAATTCAGGGTGGTCGTCGTACAAGGGTCAGCGGCCAACACATGCTAGGCAGATCACCACATCAGCGTACGTCACCCCCTACCTATTTACCGACAATTTACCAAGGCTTTCCATCAAACTTACCAGAAACTGATGCGGCTCGCCGAAGAGCTCATGGCTCGTATCATCTCGCTTCCTCACGTTAGTCATCCGGCCAGTGCCTCTCCGCGGCACGCCGCCACGACCTGTTTGTTGGCCACCACAGTGCGCCCCGGATTCGGCAGAATGACGAGCAGGTCGCTCAGCGTCACATCACCTTCGAGAGCCCGCTGGCTGCTAAACTCGGTAGACCTGAACTGGTGCTGAGCTCTAGCACAGGCGGCTGGCCTAGTGACTCGTCGAGAAGCCGAACCAACGACGTCGCGCTGAGCCGTGGCAACTACTGCAATAGCATTTGCGCGCTCGCCCACATCTTGGAGTGTCGACAGGCAAATTCCGCAAACGCTGGCTCGCAAATCACTAGCTCAAACGGCTCGCAGCCCGGCGCCGCAGAAGGCCAGCGCCCACGCGATATCACAGACAAACATACCTCCCGCAGCATTATAATATGTATGAGCGGGCCATCGCCCAGTACTTTCTCGCGTTGTAAATCGCTGAACGGCCACGGGAGCTCGACCCCTACGATGGAAGAGATGTACCGCGTTTCGACCTGTAACGCTGGACGGCGAGCAATGGCGCTCTTTAAATCGTGCCGTTAGCTCGAGCCCAGCTCTAGACAGGCCAGGCCGGTGGGGAGCTCATCTCTCGTAGCTGAGCTGTTGTCACATCTGCAACAGATAATTCGTGGCCCGAGCCATAGACGGATGACAGCCGGCGGCGCTGTTTGTCGCTTCGAAACACCCGAGGTGGAGAACAACGGCGAAGCGATACTCGAGATAAGCTTTGTAGATAGCCCCTGTTTGTGTCGCCTCTCTTTCACTTGGTCTTTACTGTCTTTACTCTGTATATGGCGCTAAATCCCAGAGACGCACAAAGAACCTATTTGCATACACACAAAGATCCGTGTAATTCCACACACAAAGCCCACCGGTCCTCTCGAGCAGCCACTCATAGAAGGCCATCGCGGCAGCACAAATAGTCAAAAGGTAAATCATTCCTAATACCATATCCATCTGTCCAGGCAAATTCGGTCCCTTTACCTTCCTCCTCCACGCATACGTTGGTTTTCGCCTGACGAGAGGTCCCCAGAGGCGCCCACCCGCAGCCATAAGTCGAGATCCCGTCAACGTGGGGGCTTCGTTGGACCCCTTTGAATCGCTACCGTGATAACTACTGGTATTATTCGCAAATGCCTCACATCCTACCTACTACCTACCTATAAGCTATGTTGGACACCCGTTCCCCCGACCCTAGCCTGGTAGGACAAGGGCCTCTCAAGGGCTGGCTCTGCTAGTATCGAGCCATGCATGTTTACGTTTGGCCCGTTGCAGAGTACCGACGGGAGCACTCGCGGAGCGCGTAGCCACCACGTTGGCCAAGTACAACATGAGAATTAAGCTGATCCACACACGCGGTTCGTTGGCAACAGAGGACGACATAGCAAAGTATTCAACATGTATCAAGGAGAGCATGATTTAGAAACGTTCTGGTTGTTTGTTATTCAAATTTCTTTTGTATCATTGTGGTATCTGTAAACAATCAAATCATCAAAAAGAAAGCCGAACCTGGCTCGCAAAGGTACTGTAGATGCAAGTCCTGCCCACCCCAAAAGATATATATCCCGCGACTCATATGCAACATATTTTCCTGGGGTTGATCACCTGTCCCCCTTTTTGCAAAAAACGCTGTGCGCCCGACCAAAAGAAAAAAAAATTCAAACAACTCCAAAATTTCAAAAGGAGGCAGCCGAACCTCACAAGCTATGCGCATGCCTTATTGCTTCCCCGTCCTGTAGAACTCCTTCTTCATCGTCTCCAGCCTCTGCCGCATGTGGAGAAGGTGCTCGATTTGTGCCTGAGCGGGATTTTCCAGCGCCTCTATCTCATAGTGCAAGGTCTCATACTTGTTGTAGTACTGCTTGAATTTTGTCGCTCTATCCAACACTTCTCGGGAGACTCCTTGTATTGCCGGACGTTTCACAGCGGCCGCCCTACTATCCATCTCCGCCTTGCGTTTCTTCACGGGCGGTCGGCGATCTGATTCAATTTCAGATGCATTCGTAGGCGGTGACGTAGCTAATGGTGACGACTTCAATGGCGATGTGTTCTTGGCCTTGCCTGCCGTTGTCTGCGCAGCGGTACGAGCCGTGTTGTGCAGGACCGGCGCTCGATCCTTGAGCTTCGAGCCAGTCTGTGGCGGGGGCTTCTGCTTCAGCCTCTTGGCCAGTGGAGTACCCGAGCTTGAGCTGGATTCCTCGTCATCATAGTGAGGCCGCTTCTCGGGCGCTGGCTTGCTGGCAGGCTTGACGACAGGCTTAGCTGCAGACTTAGCGGCAGGTTTCGGTGCAACGCGTGGGGGAGGCTCCTTGTCAACGACTGGCTTCGGCTTTGCCTTCGATTTCGCGAGCGGCGCTTCGTCCCCAGACGAGTCCGAATTCTCAATGATGGCTTGCGACAAAACGCGTCCACCATTCGACTTGACACCAGCAGTCTTACTGACAGCAGCCTTAGCCTTGGTTGGTGAAGGTTTGGGCAAGGCAGGCTTCGACTTGGTTGTTGACACAGGCCGCTTTGGCTCCGGCTCTTTGGTTGGCTTCGCCGGTTTCGAGACACTGTTGGCAGAATTCGTCCTCGACATGCTCTCACCACCAATTCTGCTTCGGTCGCTGGTGAGACTTTGATTGTCTCCATCATCCTTATTGGAAGTCGAGCTGTCGTCGGCTTTTTGTAACTTGATTTTTGGGGCCGGCTGTGCTGGGCCTTTTGCCAATGATGCTTGAAGCCGACTAAGGCACTTGCCCTTACCACGCTCTTCCTTCGTGAGAAGCCTCTGCCATTCAGGTTCGAATGCGGACAGGCGCTGCTTATCGTACTGTCGGATAGCGCTTTCGATGGCGGTTTGCCGCTCTTCCTGACTATCGTAATCGTAATTCCAAACGTCGAGCTCTTTCCAGAAAGGCTTTTTCAGGCTCCAACACTTGGTGTCAGAATTGTACTCGGCCGTCTTTTCCAATACAGATTTGAAATCTTCCGGTAGACCACCCCATTTTCGCCGTAAGTGGTCAACAGACTTTTCGCCAGTAGCAAGCTCATGAACCAGAGACACTCTTTGCTCCTTGTTTCTTTCAAAAGCCTGCTTCGCTGCTGAAGGTGCGGGTGCGGTCGCTGGAGGCGGATTGGGATTCGGTGACGTCGCTATCGACCGGGGAATCGCATTATAACCGGAGAGAATCTTACTCTTCTTGCTGGTCTTGCCGACATTGGGAGTCCTTTCGTTCGATTGTGTTCTACTAACAGGTCAGTATGACCGGGCTACTGTCGTAGAATGCATGGCACGTGGACGAGACGTACCTTTCCTTTGCGGCTGCGTGGGCCGCCAGCCCATTTTGCGTTGCTTCAACATCAGAACCGAGTCCAGAGCCTTCTTCCTTGTTCGAGGACGTGGATTTTTGCTTCGTCTTGCTCTGAAGGGGCTTGGTGAACAGATCGGTGGTGATGGGCAGTCTGGCGGCCAAACGAGATGACTCGTAGGGTCGCGTTAAATAAACATCATAAGGTGCAGAGGTTTCGGGGCGCGCTATACGGTGAGACTTGTTGCCATAGTGGAGGGTCTAGCCGCCGCAAGTTAGCATTCAATAGCTTCTCTAGGCGCCGTTCGACGGCCAGTCCAGACTGCATGGCTTCGCAAGTTCCGGGATAGATGCAATCTATATTGCGGCAGAGCTCAAGTACTTACAGGGTTCTTTCCAAGAGCAAGCTGGATAGAATCCCCGTCGCGGGCGGCTCGGAGGAGGTTGTCGACAATGCCTCCACTCAGCGAGAGAGCAAAGGCTTGAGGCGGAAGAGGGGTGTCAGGGCCGGAAGGGCCCTGCAACAGCAGACCGGCCTCTGGAACCTTGAGGCAGTCCATGATGTATGGAGAAATATGATAATGCAGTAATCGTGACGGAGCGGAAACAAGAGGCGGATGTTGTCGAGTAGGAGGGCGTACTGTGAAGCGAGGGTAGCTTAAGCGGAGAGGGAAAGCGAGAGCGAGCGCAGAAAAGTATGTAATATCGAGGAGAGAAATGTTATCGAGGTTGCATAATGTCTTGTCAAGGGCCGGCCGAGGGTCGAATAGCGTAGAGGACGTATTATATGAGTGAGCGTGACCGGCAACCGGCGATGGCGATGTAGAAGTGCGGACCCCACAGGGCCAGCAGTGCAAGGAAGCGAAAGACGGCCAAGTGGTGCGACGCGATGTGGTCAATGATGTTGTAGAACGGGATACAAGAGACGCGAAGCAACCTGACACCGGTAGAGGCGGTCGAGAGGGCCGTGGAAGGAGGAAGAGTAAGAGTGAGGCACGAGGTTGGAAGTTGGATGATATGAAGGAGGAGGATATGAGGCGCTGGCAGGAGAGCGAGAGTTCCTGAGCTGGGGTGGGCTGGGGTGGGCTGGACTGGGCCGGGCGAGGCGAGGTACCTGGGTGGATAGCATGGGTAGGTGGATGGAGAGGTACCTCCACTAAATCGGTAAGTAGAGTGGTAGAGTTGTTGAGTGGTGCTGCTAAGTTGGAGTCTTCCGTGACAGGCTGGGGCTGGCCGTCACTAGTGGAGTGGGTGCATGTATGTAACTGACAGTAAGAATGGCGGCAGAAGTTACCTATGTGCCTGGCAATTGCCTACCAAGATACTACGTGAAGAATGTCGGAGGCTATCATTTACTGATAATAGGCAATTTTAGCGTGGGCATGGGCGTGGGTGTGGGCGTGGGCGTGGGAGCGGCGTGGGAGTGTGGCAGCTGGCCTACCTTATTACCTACCTAAGGTAGGTAGGTAAATAGGTAGGTAGTAGGCCTGGCCGATGCCTGCTGGCAGTGGTGGGCAAGTGGTGGGCAATGGGTGGGAGCCTGTGGGAGCCTGGCGAGTGGGGACGAGCTGGGTGTACGGTCATGATGGTGTACCTGTGGCGTGCGGGTGGCAAGGTAGTCCGTTTGTCAAAAATGTTTATTAGATTGTTACAATGGATTTGGGCTGTTTGGACGACCGTCTCACAGACTTTGGCTTCGGTCTTCGATATGTTTGGCACGGACTTGCAGAGGTCGAGGCAAAATGACTTTGCTAGAGTAGAACGAGGTGTGTGCCACCGTCTGTGGGCAAAGCAAACATGTGCCACTCCAGCAGCGCCAGAGGCAACCTTGGAAAATATACTTACAGGGCGCAGGGCGCTGAAATCGATCCACCGTCTCATGTCCAGGTTGCAACTAGCGTTACCTCGTACAACGCATCGCCGTATCCCTATTACCTCAGCACCTAGGCATCTACATATCACGCGCATGCCCAACGACGCTCCGAGAAAATGTCGTGTTTCCTACAACCGCAATCCTGTCGATACTTGCTCCTCCTTCGGCGGCACGCCAGGCGAGGCTTGGTGCCACGAGTGTATAAGGTAGTTGCTAGACAGGTTCAATGGCGAGTCGTGCCTCAGCGCTAGTGACTTTGCCCAGCTGCTGGTAGTCGGTACTAATTACTCCGAAAGGTACTCAGCGACTATTATTAATGTGCACTACCATGCTAACTACTTGGTTGCATGTTCTCAACCACCGTCCGTCTACGGTCTCGCCATATAATAAAGTTGCAGCTAATGGATGTCCACCCAGTATTTACCTAAGTAAACAGTGCCTAGGTACCGACCTGGAGCAAGTTGGACGGGTTGAGATGCAAATGGTCAACTGGTGCTCCGGCCCGTGGTGGGCACATGTGGGTGCTGTGGGCTGTTGCTTTGTAGTTGCCACTGCCCAGCAACAAATACCACGAATAACTAGAAGAAGCACTTTGGAGCAAGGCAAGCAAGTAAAGTAGTAGGCACCAAAGCACCTTAGCATTCCAACACCTGATCGCCTAGTAGCTGCTACTTTCATAATAGACGATATCAGTAGGTAAAGGTAGATACAACAGTCTCACCACAACACACTGCACACTGCCATGCATGCCTCTCTTCTCACATCTCACCAGCAAAATAAATCAGTCCGCCCTGTCAATGCCGCCCGCTGGGTCCATCCGTCGTCGGGCCTAAATTAAAAAGCACGAGGGTCATCCAGACAGCCAGACAAGGTTTTCGCTGTGGCATAACCTTATGCTGCCACAGCCTCTTCATCAGGCGCCACTTACCTTGTCGAGCAATTCAATACCTAGGTACTTACGACCCCATGGGACGGACAGTGTTGGAGTTTTACCCGCGCCATTATGCTAATACAGTCAGTACACCAGCCCTTTGATGGCCATAACACCGGGGAATGAAATTACTCCCTGGCAGTTATTATTATTCGGAGACTGAGAGTATCTAGGCCTACATGGTTTACCTGGACGCCTGGATATCCTGCGTCCAAGATGACAAACGGCGGCCCATCCGACGACTACCAACTGCCAGCTGCAAACATCAACCGCAGAGAATCGCAATCCCTCGACACCATACTCGCACGATTCCTGTGCGCGTCTAATTACTTGTCAAATATCGAGGCCACTCGTCCTTCATCTTCAAAACATGGCGAATCGGTCTGATGTGAAACGCGACTCGCTCGCCACCCACCGCAGCCATTCAAAGGGATTCGGGTTGCCCCACACACTCTCCCTGCATCACGCACTTCGACAGCTCAATATTAGCAACAGAAGCAGTCTTCAATTCAATGCGTAACTGCCAAGGTCAAGATCCAATCCGCCGCAGCATTGCCCATGTCAGCCTGTTGTTGTCAATTTTTAGCCAAAGCATAGGTCCAGATAGGCTTGCCCGAAAACCTTCAACGTGCGCCCAAGGTCGATTCACAGCCCTGGTTACGGGCGTGCCTAATCAAATATACTGGTACGAACCACACCGGGCCGGACTAGTGAGACTGGCGTCGTCAATACTGCCATATCCGTTTCGTGCGCCTCGCCTCTAATTACCTGGGAGGCATGTGCCTGCCAAAGTAGCCCACTCATATCGCAATGCTGTCGCAGAGTCCGGACAGCTAAGTATTTATGTGACGAGGTCGGTTATGTCCGTCCTGCCGGTGCCAGGCTCTGAGACAAGGTCACCACATAGGACGGCTGAAAAGCCCTTTTTCGCCCTTTTGGCTGGCCGCCAATGTCTGGTCCTGCTGCCGCCGCTGCACATTCTCAGCTGTAACGAAATACTGGTTCCCGCTGATGACAGCCGCCCGCTGGGTTCCTTGGTTCCCAAGTCCCTTCATCAGAACACATGCGCTATGCCGTCAACACCCACACTCAATCAACTGCTGCTCCGTTTATGCAACATGATGCTCTTTCTCGTTTCCACACATCCCGCGCGACCAGGCCGTTGTCCGCCGAGCAAATCCAAGGCATCCATCAGGGCGTGCGCAGCGAACTCGGGGGTGTGGGCCAATTGAATTTATCGCACAGTTTGTTAGCTGGGTTTCCGCAAGGTTCATTGATCCAAATGGTTGGCTACTGCAATGATAGATACCAGGCGACGTCGCCAGCTCTTTCTGCCTTATATTCTCAACGACCCCATATACTATTCATCCGGTCCTGATAGGAAAGAGAGCATCCATCGGCTTTCCTCTATACTGAATGATCTTCGTCTTTCTATCGAAAGGATCTAAAACACTGTCGACTCAGGCAGCTCAGCGCATACGGCCCAGCTTCAGCACTGACCTGGCGCGGAAGAGAGCACTGTTTCAGGAACAAGATAGCGGGTATTCCTCAAGTTGACCGAAAAAAAGATGGAATCCCATTGCATCCTATTGTGGTTCTCGTACGATCTGTGAATAGCTGCAGACCCCGGATGATACTAATTAGCCCAAGAATTGCGTGTGCCATCTGCGAGAAGCCCTCCATTCAGCTTTTGTCACAGCCAGCAACTCGACGGCAAGCACCGACGTCTGCGACCCAAGACATGGACATGTACAATTTATTGCGTGGTGCCAAGCTAACTTTTCTGTCCCACCGCTGGTGCACGAATCGAACCTCGAGTACGCTAGGCGCTTTAATTCGAATGCTTCCCATACCAGACACTGCAATCGGCTCTGCAACGGTACAACGCCGCGGGGCTGATACTGATGAGTCTGATCACGACTATCCACCAGTCCGCCCCTCCCCTCTCAAGACCTCTGGGGACACTACCTATCCTGTGATGGAATCACGAAAACACGATACCTGAGGGCAACGGAAGAGAGAGGAAAAAGACTCGCCATTAATAACGGCCATTTCTGTCTGCGTCAGATTGAGGCTAGCGCCTGGTGACCGCTCAATACAGCCTCTGCTCACGCTGCGTTCACCAGGGTAGCAGACGGCCGTGTTTATAGCCCTGGGTCCCCCATACTCAGCAATACCATCACATGACCACCGTTGTTCGATTAAAAGACACTGAGCGTATGCCAGTCAGCTTGCCTCACACCTTGGTCAGCTTCAACTATTTATTATGGCGGCGCCTGCTCAAATCAGCTTGCCCGTCGTTATGTTGCTTACGGTGTCTCCACATCAGAGCGAATCGGCGACTCGCACGGGATACTCAGCCCGGCTGCTCGACGGCTTTGCCCAGATTAGCGATTGGCCGCTTCGTCTCGCATTGCAGGACCCAATCCGGCACGGCTGCTCACGTTGTGTTTGAGGAGGATGCATTGACTCGAGGGAAGCCTCCGCCTTATCACAACAAGCACTTTTTAGCATGTCTGGGCAGCAACACAAGACATCGTCGCCATCTTGAACGGATAGGTCCACTGCATCAATCAGACCAGTATAAATAGCGCCCTCCTCCCTTTGCTGAGCCCACATGGTGTCCACAGCCAGCTTGGCTAGAGACACGCCCTCTCCAGCCCAAGAGCAAGGCTCTTGCAAATGCCATCAACTTTCAATTGCAGCAAAAAGCAAAGATTCGCTCATGACACTGCTAAAAAAAAAAAGAGTCTACGAGTGGCGTGTAGCGTGTGGGAGGCACACAAGACATTTCAACATGGAGCAAGCAAAAGTCACTTGGGTCACACTGCACTGGTACGTTTTGTCTATTCAAGCCGTAGGCCACGAGGTCTTCTTGGTTGCGGGCGCGATTGGGGAAGGCCTGCTAACTAGTTAGTAGTGAGTGTAGGTCGGCATGTAGTATTTCTGACTGTCAGTTCATCCCAATGTTGGTGAAAAGCGATGTCAGTTGATAAGCGGGCCCGAATTATCATTTTCATCTACTTTTATGGCAGTTCATGGTCGGGTTTTATGCCATGATAGCCTGCAGGTACAGCATGTGGTCTGACTTTTGATGATGGCGAACTGCGTCCACAGATGTAGGCTTTCGCTACAATGCGAACTGGTCAAGGCTCTGCCTCATCTTTTTCGGCATTTCCATGAGGTAATATGCCTATGTCATGAGTCGGCATTATTCCGAACTATCAGGGTTTCATTTTTGGAGGGCGCTGGCAAGGTTGGTGGCCGAAACCTCATTGGTTGATGCATGCATATCGCCACCCTTTTGCAGTCGTTTGTTCGTCAAGGTCTACCATCTAATGCGAGTCTCGTTCCGTCGCTCATCAGGTACCATTTTTCCTATACGTGCGGCAGGTACGGTATTTACGTGCACGCACACACCTCTCCCTCTCGGAAACGGTAACCGCAGTGCAAAAGAGCATACCGAGGACTGGTCTTGAAGGCATCGAGTCTACATTGCCCGCTTAAGAGACCAAATTGCCAGGCATATCCGGCTCCAACCGTTAACGACTCGCGGACTTGGAACCCTGTCCCGAGTGCGGGCCCAGTGGCACAGTCGGCCATCGAGAATCTCCCGCCTTGATCATCAACCAGCGCTAAGAAAAGGGCATAATCACAGCACCACATCGTCTCACGCTTCGCCCAAGGATGCATAGGAGCTTGTGAGGGGGATTATTATTGCCATGGCCGAATCCGACTACATCAATGTCTAGAGCTTGTTGGCAATTATTGCTGTAGTTGGTTTTCTGATAAGCCTCAATGTGCGCCTTTTTGCTACCGCGCAAAAGTCGACGGCGCAGCATCAAGTCTGCGTCAGATGCCTGGCGTATCGCTGATGTTTTGTGGTGATACGTACGTAGCACAGCATTTCGACTTGCCACCTATTTTGGACGCTGCATACGACTGTGCTACGGCGGGACAAAAAGCTCCCATGAAGGAAGGTCCATGCCTCACAATTGTGGCATGGGGGCGCAAATACTTCCTCGCTGAGTCGCTGCCCAGTTGTGGCGCTCATCAACGAGGTGGAGGGACAGCAAAAAGCTCGCTCACTCACCCGCAGCCTGCCGCAAACCGCCGACCGACGAGCGAAGACTTGCCTCGCTTCGGTCGTCAGCACATGCAAGGAATAGCTGCAGCGCATTGGGCAGGACGAGAGGACGTTCGGAAGCCCAGGAACAAAGAAAATGGACGGGAACGGAACGGAGCGTTGCTTCCTCAGGGTAGTACATATTATGCCGATGGAACGAGTCAAGTTCAGAATCGGCAAAGGACGACGAGAAATCACTTCTGGAAACTGAGTTTGCTGGCACGTTAGTAAATAGTACAACGTGACATAAGGCATTTTGACTGGTTATCGAGTAGCTTTGGACTGGATACTATTAGTGTCCGCTGGCCACCCTTGACTTGCAAGCCAAAGATCACGAACAGCGCCCCCACCACACTTGCCAAACCGCTTGCTGATCATTTACTTCCTCTTTGAACGACATGTATCGCTTTCGAGGAAGGGGCGGAATGACTTGATCGTACCAGTACCTAGGTAGCGACGTTGGTACGTACCTAGATACTCAACGGAGTGGCTTCTCCAGCACAACACCAAGACGGACCTAGTCCGCTCGAGCCACCCAGCGGTGACAAGAGCTTTCCCACCACGACGCCGGGGCCAGCTCATGTTCTCAACAGGATGCCGCAGGCGAGAAGCTGGGGCCCGCCACACAGGCAAGAAAGGCAACAGAATGCTGGCGCCAAGCTCCTAGTGATGGGAAGCTGCTCCTCTTGTGGAGGCCGAACCCAATTGTGCGTACAAGTTGGCGGAGTTTGCGCAACTGTGGCTTGCGCATATCGACGACAGCGACATCAGGGACGCTGCTTATCCAGCAGAAAAGCAGGAGCAGTAAGCGTGGCTGCATCGATACATGTTGCTGGTAATACATTGGGTGAGAAATGAGCCCGTTCTGTCTATTTGAGTTTTGCGAGCAGGCTACGAGTGAGCTCAGCGATGTGCCTTGTCACTCGTTGGGGCGCAAAGATGATTACGTGAATTTACTCTGTCAAATCAAGAAGAATTGCAGCAATTTGCATCACCCCCTTAGCAACGGCCACACCAAGGCTATATCCGTGGCCAGCGGCAAGGCCTGCCGGGCCGGTTTCAGAATGTTCATTTGCCCAGCGCTACTTTGGCCGATTTTTGAATTGAATCCACATCTTTCTTGTTTCACAGCAAGATCGTGTTTCTGTTTGAAGGACAGACAGAACTCGTCACATTTGATGGGCCAGTTTTCGTTTATGAACGGTGGCATGCTGGTGGTAGCCGCCTTGGGCATAACTCGTAGGAAACCCGCAAATCACGAGCGGCAATCTCACCAACACATGAGACGTCAGAAAGGTTGGCATCTCGTTGTGCAGATCTTGAAAGAGCACACCCGGTTTATAGGCGGGCATCCGCCACCTAATAGAATAATCTCGTTGGGAAAATCAACAATCTCACGAACGGTGTTGGAAGTGACTCGGATTCCCAAGCTCACATGATCGGAACTGTAAGAGGATATGCTTTTGATTGTGCATTGGTTGTCTAAGAGCAAGAAAGAAGACAAACACACGATACGGCTCCGTCAACGGCAGATCTAACCTCAGCAACGACCATTCGCCATCCGCTGGCGAGAGTTCCGCCATGCTACGCCGTTGTTGTGGTGCGCGAGATGGTGTATATTATGGCGGTAAGAATGCGACTTACAGTGAAAGAGCGACACAGGATCTTCGATATCATGTACATGTCTACTACAATATACCACACGAGGCTGCGAGCCGAAAAGATCCTAGTCAGTTTGACTGCCAAGCACAGTAAGTTACTGGCATCTTTATCTGGTGAGGAATAGACGACAAACTACTGAGTGCCTCGATACTCTTCTTTTCATGTTTGCTATTCATTGACTGACCCATTGAGATTTTACAGGTACGCGAGTCTCCTAGCAATGTATATATACATACATGCAGTGTGATCAAGAATCGACAAGGCTGGAGACCAATTTACCCCGCGTCGGGCATCAATTCAGCAATCTAAGTCAATTTAACGCCTGCACGTGAGGAAGCTGCAGACGGCCAGAAATAGAAGCGGCCATCTTTGCAGCTGCTGGGGTCACCCGGATGAGATTAAAAAAAAACCAGAGTGTTAATTACTCTCCTAAACCACGACCATTTATTTACTCATGCTAGAAATGTATGCTAGCCGCGGAAGATGCACTGCTTAAACTGCCTGGATCGTCTTTTTCGGCGTAAGCACAGGACCTACCCTACGTCGACGGCGGCAAATAATACTACGCATGGAACTTCCGAGAAAGAACGGGCAACGACAGCTGCCACACCAACAGCAGCCGCGGTCGAGCAAGTACGAAGCTTGGAGACCGCTGTTGAAGGGACAGACTCTACTGCCACAAAAACGGAAAGCCGCCTTCAGAGCACAAATGCCAGTACTCAGCCACCGGAACTGGTTGTGCCTGCGTCCAAGTCTGCTACATCTGAGTCGTCAGGTGCCGTCCAAGAGTCTGGCTGTGGTGGGCCGGAGGAAGAACCAGCCCTCGCAACAGCGAGTCTTTGGGATTGCGCCGTGGTCCAGCTTGCGGCGAGCGATGGAAAACTTGTGGCAGACTACGAAGAGCTTCTCCTGAAACATTTGATTAGAACCGAAGATGCCGCAGCTACGGGTGCCGCAGCTACGAATGCCGTAGCTACGGATGCCACAGCTACGGTTCCCGTAGCTAAAGATGCCGCCGATAGGCCAATGCTGAACAGAGATCAACAGAGATCAACTCGACCGGATGCTGGATCTTGGTCTCGACCGCAAAGAAAAGAACAAACTCGAATACATGGTGTTTGGGAAGAAATTCGTCATCGAGGACAAGATTTCCGAGACCACAGACCTGGTTCTCAAGTTCAAAAACTTCGTTTCCGAGGCAGTCAAGGTCTCACCAGAAGCATCGCTGGCGTGGGCTGGCGTATGTGTAATCTTGCCTCTCTTCACCAAACCGAGCACTGCCTACGAGGCGCAGTCCTCTGGGTTTCATTACGTCACCTCCCGCTTGCAACTATACGCCGAATATGAGATTCAAGTTAGAAAACGCTGCAGCGTCGTGCGGGATGAAATGGCCATTCAGCTGGAAGCCTTGCTGGTGAATCTATACGAGGAATTGCTCAGGTTTCAGCTAAGCACTGTCGTGTACTTTTATCGGAGCTGGACCAAGAACACTGTGAAGGGCAGTCTTCTGTCTGACGAGTGGGAGTCGAAGGTCAACAAAGTCAAGGACGCGGAAGGCACAGTGGCAGAATATTTGAGTCGACTGCAAGAGACGGACATGATTTCGACTCTAAAGGAAATGAAAACTACTGCTAACAAGCGATGCGCCGACTTGAAGACACTACTCGACGTGTCGATGCAAACTCTGAATGTCATAAAGGACATCAAATACTTGATCGAGTCTGATCAGCGACCGCTAGACCTTCGAATTATTGCTGAAGCTTGTCACAACAGCGCAGAGGTGGCGGCTCGCGGTCAGTGTCTTGGCGGAACAAGAAGCAGGCTCAAAGGGCAAATAGCAACCTGGTTCAACAATCAAGCTGGGCCTAACATGCTGTGGCTCACCGGGCCTGCTGGTATGGGCAAATCTACAGTATCGCTCACCATTGCTGACGAGTACGCCAAAGACAGACGACTGGCTGCGAGCTACTTTTTCAGTCGCGCCCGCCAAGGAGCGGGCGAAATTCTTCAATTCTTGCCAACAATTGCTAGTCAGTTGGCGCAAAACCTTCCCGTGTACAAGAGCATGTTGCGCGATGCCTTGAGTGACATGAGCGGTGAGACGCTGGCGAAGAAGTCCCTTGAGGCGCAATTCGATATATTGTTCAGAGGCCTTTTGGAGCAAGAAGACATTGGGTCGGTCAATGAAGAATGGAAACTTGTAGTTGTCGACGCACTCGATGAATGCAAACAACAGACTAGCCTGAGAGAACTCGTCGATCTGCTAGCTGAGTTGGCGAATTTGGAATTCCTTCGATTGCGAATATTCATCACAAGCCGCGACGACACCACTACGAGCGCCGCCTTTATGCAATTGCAGGAAAACAAATACAAATCCTTGGATCTCCACAAAGACTTTTCGGATGAATCCACCGAGGATATTCAATCCTACTTGACAAACGTCTTCGAGAAGACGAACCTCGCGATGAAGACCAAGGACCCAAAGTTGCTTCTTGGTGACCAAGACTTGGCAACAATTATTGACCTTGCTACGAAGCCCTACCCTCTTTTCATTTACGCTTCTACTTTCCATCGATTCTTGCAGATAAACAGTCCACGAAGGACGCCTCGTTCTCAGCTGGACCGCTGGCTTCAGAATCCTGATGGCCTTCTTCCGCAGCTGACGCAGCTTGACCTGCAAGTACTCAGAGAAGCGTTCAAACCATCGAGCGACGAACAAGACTACTTCACAGATGCGGAGACATTGAAAATCGAAATGATGAATGGTAAAAACATTATTACCGCCGTTGTTCTAGCCGCAGAGCCCCTTCCCCCATGCCACTTGGCGTGCTTGCTCAGAATGGAGCTTCATATTGTAACAGGATGGCTCCAGCAGCTCCGAGCAGTCTTGAGTGCTCCAAATGACTTTAATGAGCCAATTCATTTACTGCACAAATCGTTCAGCGATTTCTTGCTCCATGACAAAATCCCAGCTTCCGAAGAGTTCCGCATAGCGATGCATGCTGGACACACACTGTTGGCAGAGGGATGTCTTGAACGCATGCGGAACGACGGCCTGAAAAAGAGATATTTGTGGCTTGGAGAAGCCTGGTGTCTATGCCATGGATGTGGAAGAGACGCTCATCGCAGAGTTTATCCCTGGTGATTTGGCATATGCATCGAGGCACTGGCTTCATCATCTGAACATGGCTGAGCGACAGCTACAGAATCTCGCCGACATTTGCGAGTTTATCGAAGTGCATCTTTTGCACTGGTTGGAGGCATTGTCCCTGTTGGGGAGTATAGCAAATGCAATCTTGGGAACGTCAGTCTTGGCTGCAGCTACCGCTTCGGTGAGATGCCCAAGAGAGATGGCTTGGGATATATGCTAATTGAAGCTTCAATTTCTGTCTTTAGGCCAACTCGTCGGAAGCTGATCTGATACGAGACGCACGGCGCTTTGTGCTAGCACATGCAACTGCGATAAAGCTCGCGCCTTTGCAAGCCTACATTTCTGCCCTCATCTTCAGTCCAAGGCAGAGTCTAGTAAAGAGGGCACACAAAAGAGAACATCCAATTTACGCTAAATGTATGTCTGGTATTGCTCAAAATTGGAAACACTGTGTACATACCATTGAATTACACGAACCCACCCCTTGGAGATAGATGACGCAGTGTTATCCGGCAACGGTCGGGTACTAGCTGTCGCAACCGAAGGCTACGCGGAGCTGTACGATACGACAACATGGGACTGCATCCTCGCCTATTATTTTGAAAATATCTGTCCTTGTGGTTTTGCAATCTCATATGATGGCGACCGACTGGCATTCGTCTCAACTCTCACAAATGACATGCAGGTTTGGGACTGGGCGACAAGGACCTTGGTGCACACCTTCCCCTGTCATACATCCTACCTCACACCTCTTCACTTCTTTGACAATGACACGAAATTAGCCTGCATGACGGAAGATGGAGGAATAGAACTGCGACTTGTCTCAAGTGGCGCTGTCTTGAAAGCAATTGGCGCACGACAACTTTTTGCACGTTGGTGGAATTCCGACAACGAACAAGATCCTACCCCATATCTTTGCTGCGATCATCAATTATTTGACCTTTTTGCTGGGCGGTTTTGGAGTCACCACGATCAAGACGATGATGTCGCATTTTCGGCACAAACAGGACTTCTCGCGCGGGTCCAAGGCAGCTCCCTGGAACTATACGACAATTTGACCGGCAAACTCTTGAAGGCTGCTACAATACCTGCCGCAGACTACGGTACCCGCTCAAGCATATGCTTTTTTGACCATGATAATCGAATATTGCAATTTCTTCCTTGCGGCCCGATGAAGATTTGGGATACCGAAACGTTGACAGTTTTACAAACTATAGAGGCTCCTCACAAGAGAGCGACCAGATGTTTTCCGCTTGATAGACAGAACCAAATTCTCACTTTCGATGGCGAAAAAGAGAGGATTTATATCTGGGATGTGGCGGATCTCAGGAAGAGCCATAAGGTGCACAATCAGCAGCCATCGATGGACTACCTCGCGTGTGTTCGTAGTGCCTCTTGGCTGATTACGCTCTCAACATGGCAGCAACATGCAGGTTTGGGACACGGAAAAGGCGATTTGCCTGCGGACCATTCGCATACACGCAAAATCTCAGCACCACGAGTTGTACAGCCCGGATCAAATGCGCAGAAGAACCTTGGTATCTGGTAACGGCAAAGTTGTCCTAATAGGCGCTTCAAATCACGAGATTCAAGCCCGGAGCATTACGACTGGTGCATGCATTCGAGTTATCGAAGATGAGGAAAATAGAATCAGCCCAGTGGCCCTATCTCCTGACGGTCAACGCTTCGCCCTGGACACTGAAAATTTGGAACAGTTCCATATATACGGGCTCGACAGCAATGTACCTATGCGAGTCAAGAAGGAAACCAAATGTACGTTTTCGGACCAAGCTCCCTCTTTCAAGGCACTATTCTCACCGGAAAGTGCCATTTTCGCATACGTTGTGGACAATGAGGTATACTTGACAGACACGGACACGACAGAGAGGTCCTCGTAGTGTCTGTCTTTGGATAAGCCAGTAACATGTGTCGAGTTTTCGGCGGACAGCCAGCTTCTGGCAGCATGCCTTCAGTTTGGCGAAATAGTGATATGGGATATCAGCGGTTCAGTGTGCAACCTGATATCGAATGTACAGTGGGAAACGCAGATGCCCATTGCAGAAGTTGCATTCTCAGAAAATGGGCTTCACGTCGGGGCCATGGGGTTTAATCGGGACTTTGCCATCTAGGACATTGCTACCGGCGCTACCGTGGAGTTGATTGGAGTCCGCAGACTCCAGCAACGCACCGACGTACGCTGGGTAAACCAGAGGTTTTCTTTTCACATGGGAGAGAGCTCCCACGTTGCAACGCTGTGGGGAGTCAGAGAATTCGCACAGGATGACGAACAACTGAAGTATGCTGGCTACGGCTTGAGCGAGCATTTCAGGTGGATAATGAAGGGCTCCGAGAAAGTTGTATACCTGCCGCCGGAATATCGGTGTAGGTACGAGCCATACGTGATGAACTCGGTCATTGTTCTGCGTCATGACACTCAAAAGATGCTACTTTTGAAGTTGACATAGGCCCGTGGTCAACTGATGCTAACCTGACTAACAAGGCTATTTTGATCAAGTGTTTGCGCAACGTGCGGGTTACTGCCTAGATCCCCAATCTCCTTGATGCAAAAATACACGGAGCAAAGCGCCGACGCCGACTAATCAGAAGAGCGTCCATCGCAAACTGATGCAGCGTAGGTAAATCATGTAGCAAAGAGATTATGAGCCTTTGAAATAGTTTTGTTTGATTTTGGTATCTAATCTACCTTGTCAAGCCGTATCGAATGCGGCAAGTTTCTCGTCTTCCTGCAACGTCCTATTATTATACACAAAGACGAAAGAGCATTTTACGAGACTCCCTGAATCCCTGAAAAAAACGCCATTGCCATGTTTCAAGAAGCAAATGCCCATGTCATACCTCCAAGAATAAAAAGGGAAACCCCCAACGAGTCCCCCTTTTGTGAATCATGTCGTCGTCGTCCACAGATCCTCCTCCCCGTCACTCCCCTCCCGCCCCTCCCCATACAACACCTCACAAACCCCCGACAGCGGTATATCCAGCACCGCATCCGTTCCCACGCTCCAGAAGTCTCGCCACCTCATACGTCCCCCCGCAACGCACCTCTCCCTCTCCCCCTCCACCTTGGCCATCGCCTCCTCCTCCTCCTTTTCCTCCTCCTCCTCCTCCTTTTCCTCCTCCACCTCCTCCTGCTTGTTGCTCTGCCTGCTGCTGCTACTCCCCCTGAGCTTCCCCTCTGCGTCCACCACGGCCAGCTGGCCCGCATCATCCACGACCGTCTCGACGCGGTGCAGCGGCAGCGTCAGCATCTCGAGGTTATACGACGCCAGCGCCACGTAAATGTACACGAGCGTCATGACGAGGTACGCCGGCGTCGCGAGCGCCCACCACCGGTCCGGGTAGTAGTATATGCCCAGGCCGTGCAAAAACGGCGACGGCAGGTAGCTCCATAGCAGGTAGGCGAGAAAGGCGAGGCCGCTGAGGAGGTACAGCACAAAGCCGTAGTACTCGTACGTGGGCACGCGCGGCGCGGCGTGCGGCACGGGCGGGCCCGCGCGGTGGTACTGGTGCTGGTGGTGCTGGCCGTCGGCGCCGGCGCTGTGGTGGTGGTGGTGCGGATGGTGGTGGTGGCGGTGGTGGTCGTTGTCGTCGGACGCGTCGGGTGTGGTTGGGCGTGAAGGTCGGAGGAGAGAGGTGAGTGAGGGCGAAGGGGGAAGCGGTGTCGGAGGACGTCCGTAAAAGGGCGGCGCGAAAAAGTTGGTGGGCACGGGGTTGGCGGGACGTTGGGGGGATGAGGAAGGGGATCCGGAGGACGACGAGGACGACGAGGCAGAAGAGCTGTGGTCGTCGGAGAGGTAGTCGGCTTCTTCGTCTGTAGAGGCAGACATGTGTATGTGTGTTTCGTCGGGGTTCCGTGCGCGGTTGCGCGGCGTGGGTTGAAAACAGACAGGTGGATGGTGATGTTGATGGATGGAGGGCAAGTTGAAGCTCCAAGCTCTCTCTCTGGTGATGCGACCGAAAAGCTTAGGATGCGACAGACCCACCTGCCACCTACCTTACATACGACCTGGACACAAACGACAAAAAGTGTTCATTCTATCACCAAGACGCACATTGACATTGTTTCTTCTTTCAACATTTATTATTATTTACACGGGATTTCCCGAATTAAACTCTTGAAAATGACAGAGTGTATACATGATAATCGTTACAGTAGCATCCGTCGCAGCCTCCTCTGTCTACTACTACCCATCAATCGGGCATCGGTATTCCCTGTCCCGCGCAGGTCCCGTGCCATTCTCCTGCTTATCCTGCACCGCATCCAGACAGCTCTGGTGGTATATATGGCGACACGCCAAGACAACCAGCGGGCCCAGCGGAGGATCGTTCTTGCCCGCCGCCGCCGCCGCCGCCGCCGTTGCGCCAGCATTGTCGTCTGCTGCCTGCCGCTCCCCGTCCTCGAGCAGCATGCTCGCCGGTCGCATGTCCAGGCTCTTTCCTTTGCCCTTGCCATCCGCTTCTCGCGCGCCCGCCTCGCCGCCTGCGAGACTTTTCTTCTTGTCGAATCGTCTAGCGTCTTCCACAGCCTGCCTCGCCTCCCAAGCCTCAAACACAGCGCCGCCCGCGACGCCGGGCCCCCAGACGCGGCGGCCGCAGTGCTCGCACGTCGATCCGCGCGGGCGCCATCCCCGCTGCCGCAGCTCCACCGACTGGCTCACATTTACAAACAGACTCCTGTCCAGCAGCCGGTTAGAGAGTCGCAGAATCGACTCTTCGTAGGCGTATGCGGAAAAGATGGACGCCAGGACGCCGCGCAAATCAGCTAGGTTCGGAGACGACGCCGCGGCGTTGGCGAGAAACGCTCGGAGAATTCGCAGAAACGAGAGGTTGGTGCCGCCGGCCGCAAGGAGCTTGGACGTTGGCTGGCCCGGGCTCTGGCCAGACGTCGACGCCAGCAACGCGGTAAAGGTATGCTGCACCAACGATCGTAGCAGCGTCAGGAGCCGCTCGCCGTCCAGAGTCGCATCTGCGACAGCTCTTTGAATTTCGGGCGAGATTTGCTTTGTCAGCTTAACTGCCGCCTCAATCAGTTGCAGCCACAGCGACTCGTCAGTGGTAAGAGCCGCTTGGGCGTCCTTGGCGTTTTTCTGCACCTGGGTGACCCTCTTGGCCGGCTTCTGCTGTCCTTGACAAAGCCAGATACCAACGTACATGTATTTTTGCAAGCCTTGGAGTAGTTCCTCAATCGAGGCTTGCAAGCCGACAGGGTCTTCTGACCAGTCGGCAGCGCCCGAAAGGACGCCTTGAAGCGCTGATTCGATTGTGCCAAAGTGCGTAATCAGTCGCTGCATGGCCTTTTCCACGAGTCCATCGCGCGTCAGTATGGTCACGGCAGCATCCACAACGCCAGTCTCTTCAATTGTGGGCAAAACTTGGTCCAATCTCAAATCCCCTGCCTGAACGTGATTGATGTAGTCGGACACATGCGAGGGCTCAAAAGTGCACATGAGCCGCACATACTGCTCGATGAGATGCCGGTCAGGAGGCATCTCTTCGGCAAGTTTCTCGCGTTCAGAATCTAGCAGTGTTTTGAGGTAGGCAAACTGAAGCTCCGGCGCATCAGAAGCGCTTCCGAGAATTTGTTTTTGCGTCTCGGTCGTCTCCCCAGCGAGCACGACGGCAGACTTCTCTGGGCTCAGCTCCAGTAAATCTCTTGCGTGATCGAGAATGGCTTCTTGGATATCGTTACGCTTCTGGAAGCCCAATTTCGTCAACGGGCGTAGACAGCTAGCGAGGCATTCAAAGACTTGATCTTGGTCGTCTGGATCCTCAAAATATGTGCGGATCAGCGTTCCAAATTGCTTGTCGACCTTGAAAATGCGCTTGAGGATGCGATAAAAGCCAGCCTTTTTAAATTGCGGCAGCAGAGCAGTCATGTCCGCCGGATGGTAGACGGAAAGCAGGTATTCAGCACTCAATTGCGCATCCTCTGCCAAGTCGTGGCCAGGGTAATTGCAGAGACCCTCAAGCACTTTGGATAGGGTCGATCCTGAAAAGAGCAGATACTGTGGGAATTTAGGCAGGTTTCTCGCGATAAACATGTCCAAGTAAATGGTGTCTGTTGCGGCAAAGTCGTCTGGGTTCATGACGTCCAAGAGGATAGACATGATATATTGACGATTGATGGTTTGGCCAAAGATTTGTTCCTCGGGCATATCTACCGGCGAAGCTCCGTTTGACTTCTTGTCCGGAGTGTCGTTGAGGAAGGGGTCTTCAAACGCCTCGTTAAGTGCACTCAAGAAGCTCGGCGCATCATAGTGCAGAATCAGCCGTAAGTATGGGAAAGAAGGCTCGTAATCCTCCCCAGGTTGCGTGAGAAACGCCTTGCCGCTGCCTTTGGGCCAGGTAATCGTCTGTCCAGAGAAGAAGAACCAGTATATCTCGGCTTTGGCCTGGACCGCTGCGTCCTCATCCATTGGCTCGCCATTCGGATATATTCGGCTCGTCAGAGTATAGGAAAGGTACGGAAATAACTTGACAGCATTGATGCTGTAGTAGTCTTCGCCGACAGCATCGCCGGTAAAGTTGCCATTGGCCATGATGGGCACGAGCAGGCTGAGAAGCTCAATCATGGGGGTTATGTAATCGCGAATGGCCTGGTTCCAGACGTAGGTGAGAGCGTCGTAGAGACTGTGCTGCTTGCACAAGAGTGTTATCTGGTCAAGGTCAAGCGTGGCCGTCTCCATGTGGCAGATCATTTCTTCAAGCCTGCTCTCCCATCCTTGCGCAGCATAGTAACTGACCATGTCCTTGACCACGACGGGTGGAATAAAGACAATGGACCTGTCTAGGATATACGGCTCGAGCACTTCGAGGTATATACCCGAGACGTCGGCGTCTTGGTACCACTCAAACATGTCGTCTAACAAAAAGTCGACGTTGCCAATGTTGAGACATGCCACAAAGCAAGTTTCGGCAAGCTGCTTCAAATGTGCATCATCCGCAGCCTTCTTGTCCTTTTTTCGCTGCGTGAATGCGTATTTGAGAGAAGCGCTGATGATTTCTAGAACCTTGTCCTTGACCATGCTGTGCCGCTGAGTCTGGTCCTCTGGTAGCCCGACTGTGAGCTTATCCGCGTCGCCCGTATAATACGACGTGGCTAGCTGAATAGCCGCAATATAGTCTCCGTGTTCCATCATGGCAATCAATCGGTCTGCCCAGTTGGACAGCGCGCCCAGTGAGATTTCATTAAAACCAAGAATGAATATTCTGCCCTTGTATGCCTTGAAGCTCATGTAGAATGCGTCTGCCACTACGCCGTGCATCGAAGGGTCCTCCTCGTCTAGCTGCTCCACCAGATTATGCAGCTGCTTGGAATAGAGATCTTTGTGGTACATGTAGCGCTGCATTAGGTCAAAAGCCTCCGTCATGCGCATGGTCCTGTCCTCGAGCACAATGAGGCGCTGCGAGACGGTGAGCACGGTTATGACGGACCGGGTGAGCCACTGCACCGCAACGATAGCTTCCTCGCACTTCCACCTACTGCGCGCTTTGAAACGGAGGCTCGGCGGCTGATCCTCGTCCTCGCCGGGCACCTCAATGACGTCGAGAACTGTCAGAACATTGGACCAGCAGTACGCGAGCTTCACCCTGGAAATGTCACTCCGACTGACGGTATCTGGCGTTTTGAGCTTCACGGCGGGGAACCAAGCGAGACATCCCGTCATGGTGCTGTGGGCTGGTACGTCCTTTGGCCGCGCCGACTTGTGCTGCGTTTGTGCCACCGGCGTAGTGGACACAATGACAAGCAGATATGGCGTGAGCATGGCTGTCAGCCCCATGAGGTCCGTGGCGCACTCGACATTGCCCAACGGCAACGAGGCAAAGGCCAGCACGGTGCTCGGCTTCACAGGCTTGCCGACCGGCTTCGGTGCGTCGGGGTAGCGACCGAGGATCCTCGTCGTCTTGACGGTACGGCCGAGCGCTCCAGTGCCTCTGGTTGCTAGGTGCGAAAAGGCCATGCCGCGGTCGTCGGCCGAGACCAGCGCTGTATGTCGCGTGCCCAAGAATCCAAGGTGAATGACGGACACATTCGCGACATGACCGTCTGCGGTGCGATGCGGCGTGTCGCTATGCGCTAGATGCGGTATGCTGAGAAATGGCCGCGAGGGCCGCGACGTGTCCCAGGTAAAGATGCTTCCATTCGCGTGGCCGCCCGCAATCGTAGTGTGATCTGCCGAGACGGCAATGGCGGTGATGGAGCCCGACTCGACGGCTTTTGTGCCCGGACCAATGATGAGCTTGAGGTTCTGGCTGTAGTCAAACACCAGGATGATGCCCTTGGAGGTGCCAAGCACAATGGACGCTGAGACGGCCAGGCATGTCGGCGAGCCAAAGTTGCGGCGCCCCGACTCGGAAAAGGCCTGCGCGTTGAGCTTCTGCAGGCGCGTCCAGCGGACCACCTCCCAGGGCGGCGCCGTCGTCTCCGTGTCCGGGCCGTCGACGGGAGGAAAGTGAGAGCTCACGGAGACGTTGCGCGAGTGCGCACCGAGAAAGGCCGGTGATGGGGAGCGCGGGCTGCCGCTGCCGCTAACGCCGCCGTGCAGGCTCGGAGAGGCGATGCGCGAAGAGAAGCGCCGGTCAAAGGGGCGAAACGACGGCGTCGGGCTGCTGAGGTATGCGCGGGAGGCGACAGAGGGGAGGACGCTACTGCCGGGGGAGGATATTCGGGAGCCCTGTGTTGGGCGCTGTTAGCGGAGCCGTGAGGAGAGAGATTGCCGCATCTTTCTGCATACCTGTATCGAGGGTGATATGCCCCGCGCAGAGGTGAGCGAGTCTACCGGACTGTGCGGCCGCCGTGGAGTCAGGTCGGCCAAGTCCGCGTCGATGGAGCCGAGCTCGGAGCCTTCCTGCGGCGACGCGAGATGCTGCTGCTGCTGCTGCTGCTGCTGCTGCTGCTGCTGTTTCCTCTCTGCCGGCGTGTGCACGGTGTTCTGACCGATAGAATCTACGCCAACTCCATTCAAAGCGGTATCGTCGCCGTCGCCAGTCTCGAGCTGGGGCACATCAGTGTCGTCGTCATCGTTGTCGTCGTGGCCCCCATTGACAGCTATCACGGCGACAGCTGATGCCTCTGGGGGCGCGGTAACATCGTCCGACTGCTCTGTCGCAGCGGCGGGCTGGTGCTCTGAATCTGACATGGCGTCGCTGGGCGCATTACTTCATTGTTTCTCCGCGGTCGATTGCAGTCGGGGAATGGTCGTCGCTGGCTCGGGGGGGTAGACATGCAGGGACGCCGACTCGGCCGAGCACTGAAAAAAGATGAGGCAAATGCTTCTTAGAGAAAAAAAAACGCCGGGCCCGACTGCGATGCAATATGTGGCGTGTCTCTGTTTGAATTAGCACCAGTTGATATCCGACAATGTTGGCCCCTGTGCCTGGGCGGGCTGTCGTGGTTGCAGGAAGAGGAGGCTGGCGCTTTTGGGGGAAGCTTTTGAGTTCTTGGCTTGTGTTGCGTCGCCTCACCCAACGGTGGCGGTCCGGCTTTACTCCGCCGCGAGGCTTTCTTGGTTGCAAGCTGCCAGGGACCCCGCGATATACTGAAAATCAAGTATTTTCGATTGTTGTCATGGCTGATGATATGAGGCCAATTTTGAATGTGTGTAGGAAATACGTGGTTTTTACCTGACGCTCGAAGAGACTCTGAAACGGCGGCCTGCCAAGTCTGAACAGCAACAAGCCCTAGTACTGATGAGGGACGGTATAGGAAAGTGGAATTAGGAAGACTACACGAAAAGAAAAATTCAATCAGATAGAAACAAGGGCTTTTTCTTTAGAGATCAATAAAAGAGCAGAGAGAATAAACCTAAAATATTCTCTCGCCAAGTAATGCCATGCTATCCACCTGTAGCAGGACAGCGATCTTTTACTAGTACCTACGTCACCTCGCCCAGCCAATCGCAGCACTATGGTAGCCTATACCTATCTGAGTTACGGTATATACTTAGGCAGGTAGAATATAGATTTCTAAATTTTAATCAAGGTAAATATATAATAATAAAAGCATCTATCTTAATTTACATATAACTTCTATTTATATCAACCTTCCCTTTTTTTTTTTTTCGTTGAAGAGATCGCTGCGTTCTGCTCTTAATAACTACCTTAGATAATAATACTACTTACTACTACTTAGTAGTATACACCTACCTTGCTCTAACATTTCCCAACTCCCAACCTACAACCACACACCTATACATGCCCATCATGTCCTCAATAGGGCCACAGCTCCCCTCGCAGCCCTCCACAAAGCGCAAGCACTCCGCCGAGCCCGACGACGACCACGGCGCCGCGTCCTCCTCTTCTAAACACGCGCGGCGCAACGCCGACGAAATCAATCTCGACGACGACGACGCTTCCTCCTCCTCCTCCTCCTCCTCCTCCGATGACTATGGTCCTCGCGCGCCCGCGGCGGCACCCATAGACTCCAAGCCGTCTTTGGGTCCTTCATTACCGCCGCCCACTCCCTCTACGCGGAACCAAGACGAGATTGACCTCGATGACTCTGCCTCCTCCTCCTCCCACACCGGTCCTGCACCGCCACCACCACCACCATCACATGCGACAGCCGCAACAGCACAGCCCATACCTGCCTCCTCCGATTCCGACTCTGACTCTGACGACTACGGCCCAGCCCTACCCAGCGCCTCCAACACCCGCCGCGGGCCCATCGGCCCAACCCTCCCTCCCACCACCGACCCGTCCGCACCTACGCGCGACGAATGGATGCTCGCGCCGCCCGTCAACACTGGCTACACCGAACGCGACCCCACCAAACTCAAAGCGCGCAAATTCACCTCCTCCAAGCCCGGCCGCGGCGGCGGCGGCCCTGCCCCTTCCTCCTCCTCCGGCTCTGGCTTGGCCGCCATCTGGACCGAAACGCCCGAAGAAAAGCTCAAGCGCTTGCAAGACGCCGTGCTCGGGCGCTCCGACGCCAGCGGGCAGTCTGCCGAAGCGGCCGCGGCGGCTACGGCGCGCACGCGCGACGAGGATGAACGGAATAGCAAGGTCGCGGCGGCAATTGCGGCGCACCGCGGGAGGAGCCTCTACGACGAGCACCAGGCGATAAAGAATGGTGGCGGCGGCGGTAGTGGGAAGCATAAAAAGACTAGAAAGGGAGGCGAGGAGGAAGACGATCCGAGCAAGAGAGCTTTTGACCGGGAAAAGGACATGGCGCTGGGGAGCAAGATTGGCACGGCGCAGCGCAGAGAGTTGGTGGCCAAGAGCGCCAACTTTGGAGGACGATTCCAAAAGGGCTCCTTTTTATAATATTAATTGTCATTCACGTATGATGGAAAATAGTGCACATTGCTGCTATACCCGCTCCAGGCACAATGAATGTACAGTTCTGGGTATAAAACATGATGCACATCAAGGGGATGCAAAAAAACGTCGAGCAGAAAGTAGCGTATATGAATATCCCCAAGGGGCTGGCTACCTTATATGTCTCGTAAAAGCCAAACTCCACCGCTGTCAAAAATAAAAGAATTTCCATCATCCCAAAAAAAGACAAGCCGTACGAAAGAGCGCAAAATATAGTCAATCAAACCCATGGCTACCATATCCTTCCAGTTACAATGCAAGATAGAATAAACAAATAAAATAAATAAAAAAAAAACAACGACAAGTTTCTACCAGCTCGGTCTGTTGCGCAGTTGCATCATATCAGGCACGCGCATGTCAGCTCACTCAACAGAGTGGCGCACAGCCTGACCAGGAATCTGCGGTAGGCCCGAGTCTGGAAACAAAACCCGTGCGCGTCATTGCCATCTTTAGGCAGTGATTTCGAGACTTGTCCCCTTTAATTTTGGCCTGGTCCCGCGGGATATGTGACGTGTGACAATCATTGCAAGCAGGACAGCGGGATGATGTGGCAGGTCATAGCGCCGTCTTGGTGCAAAGACGATTTGAAGTTTGTAGGTTGTAAATGAAGAAGTTGCCTCCTGTGATGGCGAATGATGGAGGAGGTCGTGAGAATGAAGTCGTTATTGGTATGGGGAGACGCGGCAAGTCTGTTCTAAGCTACCACAGGAGGTCTGGCGCCAGACTCTAATTGGCTCGGAGTTGTTTCTGTGGCGGCAGGAGCTGCCTCGGTAGGCTGGGTAGCGTTATTCCTGCGGCCGAATCGGAGAGCAGAGCGCATAGATGACACCATGCTGCTACCGAATGGCTCGGTGGGCTGTTGTGTAGGCGCCTCGGCTGTATTGGTTCTTGAGCGTCGGCCGGCGCGCAGCGGAGCTCGGCCGGAACGGAACCAGGCGGATGCAAAGCTGGTAGGCATATTCATGCGCGTGTTATTCCGGGGGTCCAGACTGACATTGTTCTGGGCAGTAGCATCAGCATCTTGGTTGGGTCGAGGCTTGGGCGTGTAGTAGTCGGCCTTGCACAACGGACAGCAAGCACGACGGCTCGTCAGCCAAGGATCGACGCAAACAGCGTGGAAGGCATGGCCACAGGTGAGCCCACGAATGTCATCGTCATCCTCGAGAGTATCGATGCAAATAGCACAGGCATCACCGGGGGCGGCAAGACATTCGGGTGGGAGAGCGGCATTGATGTGCTCGTCGTCGTCATCATCGTCCTGGTGGCTTTCGACTCGCTGTACATCGTCGGGTTTTGCGTGTGCGGCGGAGGATGTCTGCCCAGCAGATTCGATGGCGTCGGGATCACTGACAGGCTTGGTCTTTTCCGTCTGTACCGGGTTCTCCTCGGGTTTGGTTCCAGTAGCGGCAGCAGGATCCTGGATTTTGGGGGCCAGATCCATGTCGTCTAGGGAAGGGCGGTCTTTTGTAGCGGCAATGACGGAAACGGCTTCAACGTTGTGGATACTGGTTGGTCTGCTGGCTGACAAGTCCACGCCTCCAGCGGTAGGCAATCCTTCTCTGGCACGCTCAATGACCCACGTCTTGTACTTCATCATGGGGAATTTATCGTTGACCTCATCCATGGACATCAATTTCTTTTCGCGACGACGACGATGGGGTCTAGGCATGTTTTCCAGAGGCAGAGGCTCGCCATCTTCGCCCATTCGTGCGCGATTGCGGGCGTTGTAGCGAAAACAGTACTTGACACCGACGATGATCCTATAGGGTGTGTTAAGACATGCTTGATTGATAGAGATGGCACTAGTGAATCCCGAAGAATTGAGAGCCGCGAAAAGTTCTTCTTACCAGAGGTTAGTGAAGACGACGCCGAAGCCTAGAGCGACAAAGAAGAGGAGCGGCGAGCTGCCTCTGTCCTTGTTGCCGTCAGAATTCTTGTTGTTCTGAAAGTTTGAATCGGTGGGCATGCTAGTCGTGGTGGAAATGGTTGATTCATTGTTGGTGGAAGACGGAGTATCGGTAGCGGCTCTCACAGCAATACGAGTGGCCTCGACAACGAGGTCAGCAAGAACCGCCATGATGGCGATTGAGAGAACGGGGGTTTATATAGCGAGCGACCAGCAATCGGGACGAAGGATCAAGTTGATGAGAGAGAGAAAGTGCTAAGACGACAAGCCAGAGACGGCATGTAGATGGAAAAGTACGGCGCAGTGGTAAAGCGCCCGCTGGAGCCCAATGTTGGGGGACGTCAGGGTCGTGACGGTGTCGATTGACGCAGGAGGAGCACGGTGGAGGAGCACGGTCGGAAGCAGAGGTGGCGCGGCAGTCAGGGCCGGCGGGGGATATAATTATTTATGATAGTCCCGGCCGCCGTCATGGAATAAGGATGATGAATATCGGTCGAATAAGACGGAACCTGCGTTGTCAATGAGGCATTGATGGAGAGAAAAGTGAGCGGCGACTGAGATGGTAGATGGCGGATGGGGCGGTGGTGAGTGTGGGAGAGTAAGAGGATGTTGGCCTGGGCTTGGGCTTGGGCTGGGCTGGCTGGTAATACGGTTGAGTGGGATTGGGGGGGGCGTGACTTTGCGGAGTGCAGAGAGTGGGTACCAGTTAGAAGAGGAGGCAGCCTGGTTGGATGGGGAGAACGGGGATGGGGCTAGGAGGCTTTTTTTAGGGGTGAACAGACGGGGGAGCTCCATTGGATTTGGAAGAGGCGGGTGGGCGGGAGCACATCTGTCACTAAAAATTACGGAGTATTTGATAATTCCATACGGATAGGCACACAAATTTTTTGGGCAACTGGATAGGGCACTTGGCTCGGGCGTACTGGCCGGGACCAAACGCTGCATCAGGCAAGCTGGCTTGGCAACTGGCTTTGGCTGACTCCACCTCTGCCGTTATTTACCTAGTGGCAGCGCCAGCAGACGATGACCAGTGAAGCAGAGGCCTAGGTTGTTTGTGCCCTGTTAGTAGCTTAACGGCTTCAGGCTTGAGCTTTGGTAGGTATCATGATCCTACACTAGCAGCAGATTGGCGTTGCAAAATGGCATGCCAGCTGGCGGCGCCCAGAAACACCCACCAGCAAAAAGCCACAGCGCAGCTGTCTGTGGCGAAGCAATGAGACAAAAAAAAAAAACACCAGAAAGATTGTATATACGGATAGCTGAAGTGGAAAACGAAGGCTGCGGCTGGCTGCATCGCTGTGATACCAGCATCGGGCATTCATCGGACGGGAGCACACAGCACAAAATATTACCGCTTGCCGCCAAACAAGCAAATACCACGGTAGCACAAGCAAACTAGTCGGGCAGGTAGATTTCCAATCTCATTTCCTTTGCGGGAGGCGCGATGAATTCACTTAACCGATGAGATGTCTAAAGAGAGGCTGTGAGGCCCTCGTCTCACAGCGACTGCAGCTGGAGCTCGGCTACTGCAAGACAACGCAGCAGCGTTATCCACCGAGGCGTCATGGAACCCCTTACGGAGACGGAAGGGACCTCGCTGTTTGCTGAAATACAACGAATGCTCTTTACTACTTGTTGATTGACTGTCACATTCAGCGGGCAAAGAGGAGAAGCTCAGCCACCGCCAGAGAGCTTATTCTATTTTCTTACGCCTCCTGACGTTTCCGTTTTCGCAGTGCCCCTTGTTACGTCGCAGGCCAGCCATTGAGGGGTGGGAGGAGGCTTGAAGGTGTCGGGGAACCTGACTCGATGGCGTATACAGTCAAAACGCCGAGTCGGCTGCGGCAAACTTGGCGAAGAAGGCCTGTCGTATTTTTTTTTTTTTTTTTTTGCGTGGCAGCAACATGGCTATTCAAAGATGACGATGCAGTTTTTTTTTTTTGGGTGTCCTTGACAGTCTAGACATGGGCTTACCAATATGTGCCAATAGTTAGTGCCATCGTGTCCGTTCCTGTCTCATACTATTCCTGAGACAGTTACAGTACATAAATATGGACGGCGCTAATTTTTATCTTAGCAGTGTTGCCAGTTGAGCAAAAAAAAAAGACTTTCGGCTGTCGCCAACAGCCAATTCGCCTCGCTGATGTATCGAAGCAAGATGCAGGCCGATTTTATCTTTTCTTCCAAATGAACGCGTCGCCCATCTCATCTCGTCGATGACGAATGCCATCTATCCTAATGCGAGTCTTATCAGTACGGATAGGATATTAGCTGGAGAACGAGCGTCCACTTTTTCCTCTTCTCGGTCGTTCTTGTCACGGTAGTTGGGTAGTTAGCGTGACAGCGCAGCGGTGGGATCGCCCATCACATCTGTGCGTCGAGGCTCGTTTCGGCAAGCCAGGGTGTCGATGAACGCAACAATGGGAAATGGGCTCATGCCCGTCTCTCTTGCCCGCCTTTTCCGGTCATCAGGGTCTACTCCGTCCGTCGCCCATCCGCAGCCCGACATCACAAATTAGGAAATCGTGAGCGCTCGCGCCCGCGTTGGAGCATTATCAGCACAACTCGGGTGGCGCATTATCCGAGCTTCCCGCAAAGCTCAGGCTAGGATGCAACCCCCAGTAATTTTTTTTAAAAACCAAGACGAGGCTGGCGTCGTGATTCCAAAGTAAAAAGACTCCTGGGATATAATATGCGATTTCCCTCGGCCTTTATGTGGGATGGTCAGCATCCCACGCCGGCCGTCAGAACATCATCCGATGACGCGTTCGTGCAGACGTTGCAAAGAAATAACTCGAAATGGCCCGCTGCAAGGCTTGAACGCATTATGACGCAGCTGATGAAGCGTGCGCGCGCAGATTTTGCGCAACCCCGCGCCCGAAGAATACGTAAATTATACCAGCGACAAGGGCCCCTTGTTAAAGAGTGAGCGGCCGCCTGTCGCAGGGCGCGACTTTCTTGAGTTCTAACTTCTTGACACCTTGCCATCCTTGGTAGTACTACGGATTACGGAGTACCTAGCTGGGCGACGCCTACCGCTTGGCCGATGAACCACGCGACAAGACAAACTAGCTCTCCGCGTAACTAGATGCAATGCAAGGCAATGCAGGCGACAGAGTTATCATCTGGTGCAACTACTCATGCTACTGTCCTACTCGACCACACAAAAATACCGACTAGAGTGGCGCAGTCTTTAAAACTCAAACATGGCCCGTCTTGGCAAGTAACTCGTTTACGGGACTCTAACTCGTTTATGGGACTCTAGACAATACAAGTTTGACTGACGAACACGGTTCTGGTCCCGTTTCTTCAGAAGAAGAAAAATGTTCTATTTAATCTCGGACCACTTAATTTTTTGCGTTCCTCGCCGCCTAGAAGTACTTACGACACTGTCAGGAATAAAAGGCCGGAAACCCCCATTCCATCTCTAATGAATACAACGGTGAAAAAACAAAACGGTCTCAAGCTCGCATGCAGCGACGCGCCAAAAGTAGCCAGCAAAAAGCTCGGCACTTTTGAACGGGCTGCAGAGAGGGGCCAAGGGCTTCGTCGGCCTAGAGGCATGCATGTCCGAGGATCTCCGGTGTTTCCACCCCCGGAATTCCAAATGAGAGCTGGGGGTTCAAGATGTGTGGACAGTAAGTTCCCTGCGCAGGCCAATCAAGCGGCCTTTTAACTTGGTCGAGGCCATCTTTTCTTCTCGACATATCACGCGAGCCGCGACCGAGGCGTTAAAGGGTAGCGTCAAATCTCACTAAGAGCACCTCACAAAGTGGTCGATACGATCATGTTACCTCGACCCAGAAGAAATCATAGCGAGGTCTGCAAGGTCGGTCAACAATACCCCTCTCGTTCTGATCCGTCACGCGCACATTGCTCTGCAGGGTCGTGGCTGGCCTTTCGTTGGCGTTTTGCCCCACGTTCAAATCATGTCAATGAATCTTGCTCGATTCTACCGAGATGCCCCTTTGTGCCCTTGAAGTCTTCTGTCTGTTGTCCCCGGCCCTAGTGTCACCGCGTCACCAAAGCTCGCCACCGTAGCTTTTCTCCATAACAGACCAGGTAAAGTTGGACTGCATGTCCGCTCGTCAAAGTGAAGGTGCCCTTCTCTATGGCTGGGGTGGCTTTGCAGGAACCTCCCGGTAGACATACTTTTCTTGCTCAAGTTGCAGTCCGATTGTTCATGATGCGACAGGTGCTACTGCGACGCACATGATATGTAGGGCTTCTTTTATATTTCTGCAGTTGGACTCGGAAAATAGACATTCTGTGAGGCCCAGAAAAGCCATTGCCCCGAAATAGCACAACATGAACTGCCAAGTTTGCAATTTTGGTACACCTCCACCGCCTTTCACCTACTGATTGTTCTCCAATGAGCCGCGGACGCGTATTCGTGTTGTGTGAGAGATGTCGTCGACGAATGTGGCCATTTTTATTCTTAAAAGGAAGCTCAATCGTGTTTCTTTTGTACGAGTAGACTGGCTGATCCGTCCATTTAGTTCAGCGGCACGACCAGTCAGAGCAGACCGCAATGGATCGTCATTCAGCCGTGTCGAGGGAAAACAGACAATGCATTGTGCTGCAAATTATGTAGCTCTAACTGTGCCGGAGCTACAAGTCCGGGTGTTCAACGTTGACGCCGCTGCTCGTACAGCTATCCCGATTTGCGACAGATCGTCCTCTTGTCCCTTCTTTGTACTTCGGACCATCGGCAATTTGGGCTGAACCGGCTCGCGCCAGTCTTCCATTACTTGTCCACAGCCCTACAGCCAGCTGTGAGGTGAGAGAGTAATATTGTTTCGCTAGTCTTTGCTCTTTATGATATTATTACATTCTCAGTGTCGTTTCTGTGATCCCGCCGTCATCCAGGAAACCGCAAGCTAGCAACATCCATTTCGGCACACAAAGGGTAAAGACAATGAATCAACGGTTGAAGAAAAAGAGCAAAACTCTGAGTAATGGTCTCTCAGCTACTGCATTTTAGCAAAGGTAGGAAGTCAAGGTGTACAGCCCACAAGAGCTGACAGAGAGCCAAGCTATTGCAACTACATCACTTACATGGTGTTGCCATCCATGGAACTACCAAGAATGACACACCTCAGTTAAGCACAGTCTGTATATAGGCATGTCTCGTTTGCTAAGTATCCGATCAATAGTCCTTAAATCAGTTGTTATACCCTCCACTTCGCCGATGAGCTGGAGACATAACCTAAATTGGTTGACCGTGACGAGCGCTGAACACTGCACGTTACATCAGCTGAGTTGTATCGATGCGTGACGGCAACTATATAAGCCCGCTGTCGTCCCTTTCGAGGCCATAGATGGCACATTCTCTCAAAAACCAGGCGAATTTCGCCAATTCAAAGTTGACACGATTTTGTAAGTGCCATCTTCCGTGGTAACATGACTAGTGAAGACCTATTACTAATTATGCAGAGGGCCGCGCTTATACAATGAAGCTTACAACAACTTTGCTGTGTCTCGTTTCCGCTGTGCAGGGCTTGAAGTGTGCCTGTCAAGGAGGTAGAGGAAACTCAAAGGCCGCCTGTGATGCAATCGGAAAGATTTACGGGTTGAACGGATGCGGATTCACCGGGTGCTGCGTGTATCCTGGCAGTGAACGCAACTCGTTTGTAGCCCAGTGCAACAAAATGGGCTACGGCTTTAAGCGATGTGACGATTGCCCTGTATGCTAGGTGTAGCAACGATGAAGTCTTTTCCTAATTTAGACACAAGTAGCTGGGAAAAGCAGCTGCGGTCGAGGAAAGCTGAACAAGCTGAAATTGCTTCAGACACATTTCGCTTGATTACGGACCAAATCACCGTGACGTATGGCAGAGGCTACACAGTAAACATTGTTGACCCTGAACTGCCGGACATGCCCGCTTGATACTGAGCAGGCTCTGTTCTCTGCCAAACTCGACGTACTGCGAAGTAACTGATCGAAAGGTCTGGAGAATGCCACATGGCGGTATGTCAGTTGTGGTTTGAGAGATGGCCGACCTTCTCGCACGACAAAGCTGATGGAGTTTGTCCAGAGCGATTGCAGAGGAGCAAGTCTTTAGGAGTGTCTTTACCAGAAGCAAATCGCAAAGGCGACATAGCGCTCACAGACTGAAAACAGGCAATGACGTCAATCACCCTCCGCTGCCTCTGGCATTGTTTGCATATTCACTTGCTGCTGATATCGCCGTATTCTTACACGTAGCAGTCGTAATTGTAACTATGGTTATTGACGAGGAGCCTTTTCGAATCAACTTGCAGAGTGCAAATAGATGTAATTTGACTTGAAAGTAGTAGTTTGCGTGTTTGTCATGGTTTTCGTCGGCGAGTTTGCTGCGAAACCCCTGATGCTGCAAATGCAACATCGACCCACTGCACCTGTCAGTTACTTGCAGAAAAGTTTCCCCTGCATATTAACATGTCATCAGCCAATTCTGCATCAAGAGCGTAATGAGCACCATCATTAGCGTGCTTCCGCGCGCCCATTGTCCGTTTGATTATGACATGCAAAGGTGCAGTCGGCCTTGCCTCTTCGGGTCTGTCCCGCTCGCTGCGGAAATAGGACGGCCAGGGGCTCGGCGAACGGCATCGGTGCCTAGAGTTCCTGGATCTCAACTTCTGCAGCCTATCAGGAATCTTGGAGACTGAGAGGATGTGTCTCGAAAGCCAGGTCGCCAGCCCAATCGAGCCATCGGATCTTGGTAAAAGTTTGCTTGGCACGTTCGTTCAAGTTTACGCTGTGCTGACTTGCTCAGTATCTCGGCCTGACGTCGCACATCTCAACACCAAAGACACCATGGTACTCCATTTTATGATCCGCTCTAATCGAGAAGCAGTGGAGAGCGGCATGTCGCTTACTCCTGTGAGCGGGTTAGCCGGGACCTGAGCTGGCCACACGGAGCTTCAGCAGTGCCAGGAATGGCGCCCAAGTGTTTTCCGGCAACCGTCGAGACAAGTCATCGGTGTCCATCCTTCGGATATTTCTGGAAAGAATTTTCGTTAACTCGTCTACGGAGTCGGTACTCTATACTGCCGATCAATGTACGCCGACATTGGGACAGGCCCTGCCCTTGATTCCATGTCTATATAAAGTGCTCCTGTACGTCCTTCAATGTTCTGCAGTTGATCAAGCTGAAGCATACAAGTTGTCCGTTATACCCTCATTTTGTTTCTTTTTATTTCTCCAGTCACTCTCTACTCTATTTCGCATCATGGCACCATCGTGGCTCAACGCCGCGCTGGGTGCCACGAGTGTGCTGCTCTCGACGAATGCCTTCGTCGCAGCTTCGTCACCCAACAGGCTTTCTGCCTCCATTGGATACAGTGGCAGTGATCCATGTCCCAGAAGCTGCACCGAGTCAGGCATCAACAGCCTCGAGTGGGATGCTTTTCGCAGCATGGACCAGCTCGACCAGTGCCAGAGCCCCATGCTCTTTGACTTTGCCCTGGCCGACCGCGTCGACGATGAGGCTCAGAACCACCGCATCTTTGCCTGTACTACCTCGAGCGAGAGTTGGAGCAAGATCTCCACAGCCCAGCTCCTCGCTTCGCGGCCGGCGGACGAGGTCGATGCCGAGTTCGAGGTAGGACGCGGCGACGAGGACGGCGGCATCGCGCCCGAGGCAGCCGTGGCCTCTCTCACTGGCTTCCTCGGACAGTATGTCCGGCAGGAGCAGGCTCAAAACGGTACAAGCATGATTTATGGCAGCTTTGGCGGCGCTGCGGCCGGCATGTACGTCGGGCCGAGTCTAAACGGCGGTGCTGTCAGTGCCACGGCTCTCCAACACCTTCAAGACAGCATCAAGCATGCCAACAGCAGCCAAGGAACACTTGGTGTCCAAATGTGCGGACCTAGCTTCGATTCAAACCACATTTTTGGCTTCATCGCTACCACTAACGGCACCTTTGACGCCATTCAGGATGCCATGTCCTCTTGGTACAGCGGTGATTGTGTCAAGTTTGGCACCTCTGACAAGATCAATGGCAAAGCACACTTTTTTGCTCCCCTTCTGTCCTCGATCCAAGCCAGCAACTCTACCAACGCCACCGCACCGCATATATCCAAGCGCGGCGAGTGCAGAACGGTCCAGGTCAAACAAGGAACCGGCTGTCCGGAGCTCGCCAAGATGTGCGGCATCTCTGGGGCCGACTTTACCAAGTACAACCCCGGCAAGACCTTTTGCAACGATCTGATGCCTGGTCAGCACGTGTGCTGCTCCTCCGGCACACTGCCCGACTATAAGCCCAAGCCAAACAAGGACGGGTCTTGCGCTACAGCCACGGTCGAAAAGGGGCTGGACTGTTCGTCCATTGCTGCTGCCAATGGTCTCACGAAGAAGGATATTGAGAGCTTCAACGAGAAGAAGACTTGGGGCTGGAATGGCTGTGAAGGTGGTCGTCTCTGGGCTGGCAGTGTGATTTGCATCAGCAAGGGCACGCCGCCCATGCCTGCACCCCAAGGCAACGCCGTTTGTGGGCCCCAAAAGCCTGGAACCAAGAAGCCTAAGGATATGAACAAGCTGGCTGAGCTGAACCCGTGCCCTCTGAATGCATGTTGTGACGTTTGGGGTCAGTGTGGTACAACGGACGAGTTCTGCACCGACACCGGTAACGGGGCGCCTGGCACGGCCAAAAAGGACACAAATGGCTGCATCTCCAATTGCGGTACCAAAATTGTCAAAGGAAACCCGAGCGAATACCGCAGTATTGCGTACTTTGAGGGATACGCCTTTAAGCGCAAGTGTCAGTATCAGGACGCCTTTCAGATTGACCCCTCCAAGTACACTCACCTACACTTTGGCTTTGGTACCCTCTCCAAGGACTTTAAGCCCATCATCGACGACTATGCCACCAATTACGAGTTCAACAATTTCAGACTGATCAAGGGCCCAAAGAGAATCTTGTCCTTTGGCGGCTGGGACTTTTCGACGGGTCCTGACACGTACACCATCTTCCGCGAGGGGACAAGCCAGGCCAACAGAGAGACTCTAGCGACCAACGTCGCCAACTATATCCACAAGTACAATCTCGACGGTGTTGATATCGATTGGGAGTATCCCTCTGCCCAGGACATTCCTGGTGTTCCTCCCGGCGATAAGAGCGAAGGCAAAAACTATCTGGAATTCCTCAAGCTTCTCAAGTCCAAGCTCAACGGGAAGAGCCTTTCCATTGCTGCTCCCGCTTCCTACTGGTATCTGAAGGGGTTTCCCATCAAAGAAATTAGCAAGGTTGTCGACTATATTGTCTTTATGACGTATGACCTCCATGGCCAGTGGGACGTTGACAACAAGAATGCCCAGGTTGGTTGCCCTGGCGGTAACTGCCTCCGCAGCCACGTCAACTTGACCGAGACGCAAAACTCCCTGTCCATGGTCACCAAGGCTGGCGTTGACTCTGGAAAGGTGGTTGTTGGCGTCACGAGCTATGGCAGATCCTTTGCCATGAGTGACGGCTCCTGTCACGGGCCTGACTGTACCTTTACCGGCACGCGTCTACACTCAAATGCGAACAAGGGAAAATGCACAGACACGGCTGGCTACATCTCCAATGCTGAAATCAAGGCCATTGCCAAAGACAAGAGCCGCGTCATCAAAAGCTACATGGATGACACTAGTAACAGTAATGTGCTAGTATACGACAAGAACCAGTGGGTGGCTTACATGGACGCTGATGTCCGGAGCCACAGAGAAAAGCTCTATAAGAACTGGGGCATGGGTGGCTCGTCGAACTGGGCTACCGACCTCGAGAACTTTGAAGATCCGCCCAAGGGCTTCCCCGACTGGTCTGCGTTTACCGTCTCGCTCAAGTCTCGCAAGGATCCGTACGAGGATGTCGGCAAACGCACCGGCAACTGGACCAAGCTGGACTGCACCGCTGACGGTGCAACCGACACCCTCCACTACACTGCCGATGAGCGTTGGGAGAATCTGGACGCTGCCAATGCTTGGAAGGACATGATCTCTGACTGGAAGAAATACCGCGCCAAGACGTCGGGTGTTCATACGGGCACCGCGCTATTCTCCGAGTTCTTTGCCAACAACTTCAACCACACCCTGCCCATTGACTGCGGTGACATTTCGCCTTCCAGCAACTGCCGAAGCGCGCTTGCCTGCGCCGACTTTACTGGCGAGAGGACCGGTCCAGCAGCCGCCCTAATCTGGAATTCATTCGTCCAGATTAACGAATTGTATGCATCGTACGCCGATGCTCTCGGCCACGCCGCTGCTGAAAAGATTGATCCCTCGCTGGACGATTTTCAGGAGACTTTTGCTCCCACTCCTCCCAAGGAGGACAAGGAATGGCTCACCATCCTTCTCGACCTGGTCTCCATGGGTACCAGCATGGTGGCTGGCCCTTTTGTCGGCAAGGTGATTGGCAAGCTGCCGTACTTTGTGGCCAAGGCGGAGGATGCCGGCGCCAACGCGATCAAAGACAAGATCTCGTCAGCCGGTAGCAGTCTTCTGACCACCGCCATCACCATAGGCAGTGGCTTCGTCGACGGCAAGACGTCTGACTGGGACCCCAAGGCCGAAGCCCACTTCAAAAACACCATGGGCCTGGCCATGGCCGGGTGGAACGACATTGCCACCGAGGGCCTGCGCGACCTCTTCAACGGGTCCGACTCTTCTCTCGACACGCTCAGCGATCTCCTCGCCGACGGCCAGTTTGCCGGCGGCAAAGACTATGGCAAGGGTTCGTACGACCAGGCAAGCAGCAAAGAGGCCAACACCACGCTCGAGGATGACCTCTCCAAAACGTTTTACGCCTACGCCATACCGGCCATCTGGCACGCGTCGGGCCACCGCCCCTTTATCATCGACACAGGTCTGAGCTGCGACAAGGGCAAGAACGAGGATATCAAGCTCAAGGGCGCCTGTTACAGGGAAAAAGACACGTGGTATCGCCTGGCCAGCCCGGACGGCGGCTATCAGGAGTGTGCCAAGAATGGCTGCGACCATGTGCCGAACCCATGCGTCGAGTGCAACGATGACCAATTCAAGACGCCGACTGGTGTGGACAAGCTCGGCAGCGATTACTTTTCCAAGGTGTCTCTGGAAGATCTCATTATTGGGTATGCAGAATCGAGCGCGGTGCACACATGCGACTAACAAGATTTCTAGATCGGTGAGGACTTACCTGGACAATGGCGGCGAAAACGGCGGCAAGCCGGCCAATCCCAACAATGCTGCCACTCTCAAGAGCCTGATGCAGGACGACGTGACGACGCCCGGCTTCATCCGGATGCCCGTCTGCAGCGCGGACCGCGCGCGCATCGCCTGGGGCGCGAGCAGCGATGACGCCAAGGACTACCCGTGCAACGCCAACGCCGGATACGACTACTGCGGCGACTCGACGATAGAAAACCAGACGAGCGGCGCATCGCCGCTGGTCAGCGACTGCAAGGAAATGATTCGCATGCTCGAGGACCGTGAGCTGCCGACGCGCTGGCCGCACGTCGGTCCGCTGGAGAAGCAACAAATGATTTGCTCGCACAAGTCGTGCAAGTTTGGCGTCACGGGCAAGGGTATCCATGGGAATGTTGATTTTAAAGTCGGCGCGCAGGACGTGATTGATTTGGTGCGCGACTCGATCAACAAGTTTGGCGGTGGGGGGAGGGTTGGTTCCAAGGGGACGATGAATTGCAAGGGTAATATCAAAGGTCAAAAGGTCGACTGGGGGCTGTATTAGGGTGAGATTTGCTGTACTTTCTATAAATGTTTGATCTTCTCATGTTCTATATGACTATGTACTTTACATGTGAACGAACATCTGACAATGCTTTGGTCCTTCTTCAAAAGAAAAACTAAAGATGATACATTCAATGTAAAGGATGGATATCTAGAGTTTCTCGAATAGTCTCACGATGGTTCACTTGTAACGTGCGAGTGCACATGGTGATGATGATCTGCTGGTGGTTGTGTCTATTACTCAAAAAAAAGTTATAGGCCGTCTTGGTACCCAACTTTCCTTTTTCTTTTTTTTCTTTTTTCTTTTCGGCAGAAAAATAGAAAGCGTACTCAATAGAAAAAGCTTGTGCATCAAAGCAGACACACTCAAGGCGAATGGCATGCGGCATCACCCTTGTGCTGGAAGAAAAGCCCGTGGAATGGATCATCAGGGCCAAGGCCAGGTAGAGATGAAATTCGCCAAGTTGTCATTCCTCACGTCTTCATCACAGACCTCGGTCCTCGTCCCTGTACTTTTCTTCACATTCTATTCTCAAAATCTATATTCAGACAAAAATCATTTTACTTTTTTCGTCGTGAAATTTCTTTCCATCTTTATGCGACTCCCGATCGTCCACCTCTACCCAGCCAGCAATGATTACCCCCAGCACCATTCTTGATGCGGCGATTCAAATTTTTCAACACAACGTTGTATAAAACTCTTCTTAAAGAAACAAGCGCGAATCCGAATCAAGCAGATCGGCAGACTATCTCTATAAGATCTTGTACATTTCCGGCACATTTATAAGTATTAAGCTCTCTCAGCTGGAGCCGGAACCTCTGCCCGAGCCAGTCAAACGAGAGCAACAACCAGGCCCCACTTTCGTCGCGACAGCTTCGACGTAACGACCGTTTTTTTCTTTTTTGCCTTTCTTCTTGTTCCAACCACACACACACAATTCAATCTACACCAATCTATTTCTGCCATATTATTGTTTAATACTCACACGCCCTTGCGTTTTCATCTCGGAGCAAGTACGGCTTCACGTTAGACTACCCGGTGTCGATTCTAACCCCTACAAGTCGCCGCAAAGTGTGGAGAGGAGCAAGTTCTAGACCCGTGAAGCAAAAAGAAGGAAACGCGTTACTTCTCTTGTTTGAAAGGGAAAGAAGGAAAAAAAGAAAAAAAAAAAAAAAGACTTGAAGAGGCTATGGCGCCAACGCAGCTACCAGAGTCGGGCAATCCCTTGTATGTTTTTGTGTATTCTTTTTTGCCTTGACCAACGAAAAGTGTGAATTGTCTGTATGCTGATTATATCGAATCGCACACTATAAAAGAGTCTTTTTCGACATTACTCTCGGAGGTATGTTTTCACTGATGCTGTAAATTCTTGATTATTCTTTGTTGTTGTCGTATATTGATGAATTGCAAACATGTAGGCGAACCATTAGGAAGAATCACGTTTGAGCTTTTCAAAGACGTCGTGCCCAAGACGGCCGAAAACTTTCGCCAATTTTGCACGGGAGAGAGCAAAGACGCCGTCGGCCGTCCGCAGGGCTACAAGGGCTCCAAGTTTCACCGTATTGTACGCTCTTTTACTCTTTTACTATTCCCCTGTCCTGTTTCTTTCCTCCAAGTGTTCTCGGCTAAAACAACCGGTTTTCTTTTTTTTTTTTTTTTTTCAGATAAACAACTTCATGTGCCAGGGCGGCGACTTTCTCAATGGCGACGGCAGCGGCTCAACTTGCATCTGGGGCTACAAGTCGTTTGAGGATGAGAATTTCACGCTCAAGCACGACCAGCCCGGTCTTCTCTCCATGGCTGTAAGTTCCCTCCCCCCTCTCCCCCCGCCTCTCTCTCATCAAATCATTCCTCTTCTTTCTGTCACTAGAAAAAGGAAAAGAAGAAGAAAAGGCGCCGCTGCTGTGTCTGCGCGCGCACATTATGCTGACAAGAGCCCTCCCCAGAACGCCGGCCCAAACACAAATGGCTGCCAATTCTTCATCACCACGGCGCTCACGCCTTTTTTAGACGGCAAGCACGTCGTGTTTGGCAAAGTCGCCGACGGCATGGACGTGGTGCGAAAGATGGAGGCGACCAAGACTGGGTACAAGGGCAAGGACGTGCCAAACATGGATGTCGTTATTGCGCAGTGCGGCGAGATGTGAGGACGCTTTTTCACTGCAAAGGCTGTTTTTAATATATAGATGAAGGCCACGGTCACAATGGGGCTGTTGCATCATTCTCAAAGTCGCGCGAGGAAATCCAATTTTTGTATTGCTGCGGTAAAGCAATACTTCTCCAAAACATATAAAAGAAGAAGAAAGAAAAAAAGGAGTAATCTCCTGGGATATGACCAGGAGAAACGAAAGACATATATACGTGTTTGATATACACACACACAATCAAAGAGTACATGAACAGAAATAGCCAACTGGTCTGGCAAAATGCAACAAAAATCTCAGAAAAATCAAGACTGAATAACGAGGCGCCTTTTTAGGTCCTTCTTGTTTCTTCAACCGCAGTCCTTTGTCTTGCAGTTGTCGTCACTTGGGTACCTGTACTTACTGACCAAACTGCCAGTTCCGTCGTACCACGCGGCCACGCATCGCAGGAACCGTTGGCGCCGGCGCGCCGGCCGTCGCAGTAGCGTACACTGGCGCAGCCGGGGAGACGCCGCTGCCGCTGCCGTCGCTGGCGACGACGGACTTGGTTACGTAGACGGTAGAATAGACGGTGGAAGACGGCACAGTCACCGTCACCGTCACGGTGACCTTGCCGCCGCCGCTGGCGTCTCCGGCGGTGGTAGTCGGGGCAGCGGCCGAGGAGGAGGTCGTCGGGGCGACGCTGGAGGGAGCAGCAGCGGGATCAGAACCTGTAGCCGTAGCGCTGGGGGAAGAAGCCGGAGTGGTGGCGCTGGAACTGCCGCCGCCGGCATTGTTGGCGTCAATGTCGACCTTGAAGTTGTTGCTTAGCTGGTCCGCCACGGCCATTGTGTAAATCTTTTGGTTTGACTGCCCAACGTCGGCAGCCTTGGCGACGGCCACTCCCGGGGGAATTTTGGCGCGCTCGACAATCTGAATGTCGATGGTGCTGGCGTAGCTCTCATTCTTGGCAATGGCGGCCATGGTGAAGCCGTTGGGGTCCGTCTCGCCGCGCATAAAGGTGCCGGCCCAGGGGTAGCGGCCGTCGGTGGTGGCGTCGACCTTGATATGCTCGGGGTCTAGGTCGGGCCAGTCCCAGTACCAGTAGATGGTGTAGACGTCGCCGGGCTTGAGGTCGTCGGGCAGCTGGACGTCGGACTGGCAGCGCAGCTCGCGCTCGTGGACGGCGCCCTCCGAAGCCAGCTTCTGGGCGCGGGAGGTGCTAATCTCCTGCGCGTTGGTCTGGTAGCACTGGCCGTCGTCGTAGTTGCGCGTGGCGAGCAGCTTGCCGCGCTTGTCGCCGCCGGTGCCGGCGCGGTTCCAGACGAGATGGACGTCAAAGAGGCGCTCGTCTTTGGCGGGCTGGGTGGTGCCATAGAGGAAGATGGTGCCGCGGTTGCGCGGCTTCTTGGGCTGGTTCTGCGGCAGCGAGACGTGGCCGTTTTCGAGGTGCAGCAGGGCAATCTTGTCGCCAGGGGCGGCCTGCAGCATGGGGAGCGCTGGGTTGTTTTCCGTCTTTTGATGCTTGTTGAGGATCTCGTCGCCCGAGTAGGCGCTCTGGCCCTTGAGCGGTAGCAGCCACTGGGCGAGGGTATCGCTGAAGGGGGGGTTAGTCGAGGTCCGCGCGATCCAGCCGCGGGGGTAGCCCGTCTGACCGACCATGGCACCGTTGTCGTCGACGCGGTATACTTCCTCGACCCAGGAGTGAGCGTTGGCGAGACCAACGAAGGCGGCGGCGGTGAGCAGCGCCGTGGAGGCTGTTGATTGTGATGGACGCATTTTGAACGTGAAAATCTGAGAGAGTGTGAAGATGGTTCTGTTTAAGGAATGTTCACTTCTCTCCAGGAGAATGGCTGAAATGTCAACGGTGGAAGCAAAGGAATGGCTGGTCGTGTAAGTGAATGTTGGCGAAGGAGAGGCTTGGGGTAGGTCAGCCTGTAAATAGGAAGATGCTGGAGGAGATGGGGAGAGCAGCGAGCGGTGATGATGAAAAAGATGCAAATAAGATGCTTTGTCGCTATTATTGTTGTTTTTGTGCCTTTTTGTTTTGTTTTGATGAAAGAAAGTTGATAGTTGGCAGCTGGCAAAGGTAAAGGCAAAGAAAGACGTGGGCTGGCGGCTGGCAGCTGGCAGCTGGCAAGCTCGGCAAGGGCTTTGTTTGCTGGTTTGTTAATTTGGCTAATTCTTTGGCGAGGTTGCTCTGTTGTGGTTGTAAGACGGTACGCAGTGAATAATGAATGTTGGTGAGAAGGAAAGAAGTAAAGAGGTGAATCACACAGTTCCAGCCTGTGCTTGCACGACTCTAGGAGGGAGCAGCGTAAAAGGAATGAGTATAAGGAGGGTGATGAAGAGCGCCACACGACGAAAGAAGCAGCAAGACGAGTCCGTCAGAATATCATGACAATGTATGGATTTGCTAAAAAGGAGATTTTCTGAGTAGGACAGAAGAGAGAGAGAGAGAGGTCGCAGAACTAAAAGAGAGGACCAAGGTGAGTATGTAGTGAATGAAGCCTTGGCTGGGTCTGTGGCTGCAAGGCAACAAAAGGTGCAGCAGGTGAGAAATAAATCCGACGCCTTTCAGAAGCAGAGAAGTGGATGTTGTGTGAGGTTTAAGATGGTCTAATTTAATGATAGGCTGTTGCAAAAGGCCTGGAGGCAATAAATGGTGAGCGTGGCCTCGGCCGGTTGCACAGGGCGGTTCAATAGGATGGGAGACGGTAAAGACGGGGGGTGGGATGATGATACGGGAGGGAAACGCGCGCTGCATATGATGTTTCTTGTTGCAAGCAAGAAAATCATCGCATTAATGGAGATGGTCATTATGTTGAGCACAATTTTTACTCTACGAATACAACTCCTCTTGCCCTTGATGCATAATGACCATGAGTTTTGCAAGAGCCCATCAGATGAATTGCTGGCTGGCGGCTGGCTAGTTGGTGGCGAACAAGGCCAGTCTGAGACGGCCCTGGGGCTGTTAAAGAAACAGGGGTTTTTGATGAATGAGATGTTTCTAGTCAAATCTAGATTTCTCGACAATGAGGAAAACGAGAAACAAGAAACAAGAAAAGAGGGCGGGCAGCCCATTGTGCTGGCCCTTGCAGGCTGCAAGAAGAAGTCGGAGAGAAACGTCGTTTCATGGGGGGGATACGGATAGTGGTGGAGACAACATCTAAAACGGTTAAAACGCCAGGCTGTGAGCCAATCAATGGGCAATGAAGACGCAAACGCTGAAGCAAACGGCCGACCAAGATGGTCCTCTGGATAGGCCTACTGGTCATGTATGTCTAAAAAAAGGAATCAGAACATTAAAAGGCTTGTTCATATCAGGCTGGAATTTTCTATTATTTTCTACAGTCTCTTTTTGTCTTGTTCTCTATTTTCAGCTCGTCGTGGCTCATCTGGGGCAGCCAGCACCCTTTAAGTTTGCCGCCCTGTAGCAAGGGGCTGCCACAAAGGAGACGAAATTCAAAAGAATGAAAACGACGACTTTCGCCAGGCACCAGAATTCTCGAAAAGTCTCAACCCTTTGCTGTACCACAGTCGCACATAAAGATCACACATTACAAACCATTCCTCTCTCTTTCTGTCCCTCCCTACTCCGTTCTCCATCTACGCCGTTGTAGTGTGACGCCAATTGTCATGGATGCAAGGCGGGGCGCCTACCAGTACACCAACCAGTACACCAACCAGCACACCAACACATGTATTCTGATGCACTTGTATTGTGATGCAGGAGGGGGAACAGTGGATGGGATAGCAATATAGGTACCTAATCTATATTGTGGAAAGAGTTTGGACCACCCAACATATTATTCCCCTTGTATCCGTAATTGAACAGCTTCACAACTTGCATATAAGCGCCCGTCATGCTAGTAATAACTATGGTTCCCTCCCCCCCCCAAGTCTGCTTCAAACTCGTTTCTCTCTCTCTCCTGCATCTGCATTACCCGCATTGCATGACCTTTGATCTTGTTTGATATCCGCGCGACAAACCCACGCTGCACAGGATCGTGTTTGCCCAATCTGTCCACCCATGTAATCTCTTCAGCCGGGGCCATTACCCATCTCGGCGGCCGACGCAAACCTTCCCGTCTTGATGGCTGACCCCCCATCTATACGGACATACTATGCGCCTGCTCAACAGCACGTGTGACGCTCGCACGAAACTAGGTAATCCCAATAGACACGATTATCCCTCTAGCCCCGGAAAATGTCTATTCTGCCCCCGGAACCCCGTCGCTCATTCTTGAGGCCGTTCAATGAATTGACCATCTCGACACATTTACACGCCCCCTCACACTGCAGCTCGCTAGTTGCTGCTCATGATGGCTAGCAGCAAACATTTCTTTTTCTTACTCTTCATTGATCCTTTTTTTTTTTTTTTTTTTTTTTGCTCCTTTCTCAACGACTTTGAGCATCAATAATCCAGCCGCCGACACCATCTTGACCCCTACACCTTGATTCGTGCTTCATCAGCCAATCACCGTCCTGGGCGCTTCCCAACACGGTCTCACCTTGGCCCCTTGCCCCCCCCCCTTCTTCCCCGAACTGGCTGCCATGGAACACCCCCTTTGGAACCTCCCGACTAGGCTGAAGAACAAGAACAAGAACAAGAAAAAACCATCATGTTGCATCCGTAGGCTTTCCCGGGCCAGGCTAGGAAACGCGGACATCCTCCGTCGACTGGCCTCGTGATCTTCAAGTGTTCTGATTCCAGCCACCCGGATTTTTGCATTGGTGGAAAACCCGGAAAGAGCATCACATGCGCAACCAAGAAAGCGCCTTGGATACTGTAGTTGACAAAGACATTCAAAGACATGTCTATGATTCTTGTATATTTAGTTTCTATATTTGCTCGTTTCACATGGCGCGCCGTCCCAACCCCGACTTGCACCTCGTCATTCTTCAAGCCGCTCCCATAGTCACACTGGCAACTGGTCAACTAATCACCAACACACTCTCTTTTTTTGAATTCATCATATTTACCAGAGACACCACACTAGCCTCACCCGATATCACTTCTCATATGAAGAAAAGAAAACACCCCTCATCCTTTCAGCACCAGGCTAGCTCCGCCTCTTATCTTGCATCACCATGCGCATCAACATGTCTCACCAAGTCGTAGTCACCATCGCCATGCCTCTCCTCCTCCAACAACAGCCGTTCCGTAGTAGCTTCCGCGAGGATAGCCCATCATCAAAAGTACGGTCTAAATGGCCCCTTGCAGCTCCTTATGCTGAAAAGGAACCCTCACACATGACGTGCTCATCGGGAGGCGCAGCCATCCTGCAACAACAACCCGGCCGCCGCCGTCCATCCATTCACTTCAGCCGCTTGCTCACATGAGCCCATCTAGTTGAATCTCGTTTCCAGCCCCGCGCCATCACAGCACTCCCGCACGTGGCCAAAGACTTGAGTCAAGCCTTTTTCCGTCTTTCCCACTCGGAAGCAAACCTTCACCCCCACCACCCACCCATCGCTTTAACTGACAGCCTCGCATCCATGTCACCCACCAACACTCCTCTCTCTGACTTGTTTCGCCTTGTCGCGTCTAGAACAAATCCTAGTCACTCTTTTCTCGCCATCTTTTCAACGTCTTGCTCTCGTCTCGTCCAGAAGCACGCAAAGAGGCGTCTCATGATTTGTCGCTTCACCCATCTTAGCCTTGCCATCTCGAATCAATAATCACAAGATACTGTTCATTCATCACCGGTCAAGAGCGCAAGATGAATTTCGAAAAAAGTAGTTGTGATCATCATGTATTATCGTAGTCGTAAAAAAAGGTAAAAAGGAAAAAAAAGGCTATTGTATATGTGAAGAAGAGAAAAAAAATCAAGGAAAGTTTGCCCATCTTGCCATCCAATACTCCAATGACGCCACAGGAACGAGAAAAACAGTCTTCGTTGCCCTCGCTCCAAGAAGTCAACAAAATACCCGAAAAAAAAAATAGCCAAAATGAGTGAGAGAGAAAAGAAACAAAATCCATGCAGACATTCCATCCTTTTTCGTCATGATATCCCACACAATCTTTCATAAAAGATAGTCTCGCAAAGTTCACACCACACGTCTTGGCCAGTGAATCAAGCACATCACTTTCAAGGTCTCTCTTCTTCCTTCATTATGACTTTGAAATCTCTTCACCAACCGGCCGCAACAGCAACGTGGCCATCCACGTCGGTCCTGCGCCTCTTCATCTGCCGGGGGCTGCCGTTCTGCGATCCCGTGCCGCCGGGCACATTCCACTGTGGCGCCGCCCACATTCCCGGATTGTGATCGGCAGACTCCATCTTTGCACCTGGGTATTGCGGCAAGGACTGATGTCGGTGCTGGTGCTGCTGCGGTGCTGGCCAGTCCTGCGGGGCGCCGGTCGACGAGGTCGGCGTAGGTCCGCCGCCGCTGCCGCCCGTGGCCGCCGCTGCTGCCCACGGATCCAGCGTGGCCATGTCCCAGCCCTGGAGGTTGGTGTCGCAGGGCGAGTTGTCATAGACGCCGCCGCCGTTTGTGTAGCCGGTGACAATGGCGGGCAGTGCCGGCTTGACCTCGGCGTACGAGACTGGGCCGCTGCTGCTGTCAAAATACGTCTGACTCGACGCGAGACTGCCCGAGCTGTGGCGCGAGCCGGGTTGCTGCGGCGGGTGAGCGGCGCCGCTCCCGTTCGAGGGCAAAAAGTGGACGCCGTTGGCTCCCAAGGCCGAGTCGAAGCTTCCGGATGAGTATGGCGGGGGTGCAATCGTCGCCGACGGCGGGGGCGTGGCCAGCCCGTTGGAGAAGGAGTCAAACAGGTTCATGCCGTGGCCCGACGTCTGGAGCGCCGGCACGTGCGGCAGATTGCCGCCCTGGTCCCAGGCCGAGTGGAACGTCTCATTCATGGTCGCCGTCAGGTGCTGGCCGACGGTGGGCGTGGGCGACATGAGGGCGTCGCGCGGCACGCCGGCCGGCGGGAATACCAGCGCCTTTTGCTGGTGGTAGCGTGACATGGGGTCGTTGATGGTCAGCCAGCGCCACGAGGTGCCCGCCGGTTTGAAGACGGGCTCGTACTTGTACCACTGGTTCGTCGTGTTGAAGCGCCAAAAGATGATGGCCTGGCGGGTCCAGTGCGGAGAGTCGGGCGCGCGCGACCAGAGCTCCTGGTACATGGCCACCTTGCAGATGAGGTCGCTGCCGGTCGGCTCGCGGCGGGCCCACGATGCGGCGTCGCCGTCATCCTCGGAACGCTTGCGCTTGCTGCCGGCGCGCTCAGCGTCGGCCTTCTTGCCGGCCGCGTTCATCTTCATGCGCTTCTCCTTGGCGCGCTGGTGCTCTGTGTCCGGGTACTGCACGGCCATGCTCAGGATGCTGGCCCATTCCACGGCGGGAAAGGGGACGTGAATGTCCTGTCGGGAGCGCGTGTGGCAGTCACAGTCGGGCTTGGAGTCGCTGCAACCGCGGCGGTGGATGCCGCTGTCGTTGGTGTAAACGGTCGTGTGGTCCGCCTCGTCGCTGTGAAGCTCGGTAGGGCGCGTCAGGCGAGTAACGCACTTCCACTGGTGGTTCTGAAGAGCCTGCTGCGTGATGGCGACCTCGACGAAGCCCGTCAGCTCGGAGCCGGACGGGAACTTGGCGTGCTCGTGTAGCTCCAGCGTGGCGCACATCTCCATGAGTAGGCACTCCTCGTCCCGCGCGGGCAGCTCCAGCGTCTCGTACATAGCCGGCGCATCCTTTTGCCAACGGCGCGTGACCGACTTAACCGAGGCTGAGGTGGCGTGGTCGAGTGAGCGTGTGTACTCGTGCAGGAGAACATCCTTGCCCAGCACGTTGGGGCTATCATCGCAGTTGTTGTACTTGTTCAGGTGGGGAAAGGAAGTCTGGTCAAGGGGGGTATCATTGATGTCATAGGCAATCTCGTCGCGAATCTTAATGTCGGAAGACGAGACAAAGATTTCGCACGTCTTGGGTCTCACGGTGATGTAGGACTGGAGGGCGAGCAGCAAAGAAAAGTAAGGATAGTTGGGCTTGACATCGGGCACGCGACCCTCGGCAAGGGCAGTGAGGATGGGGTTGGACTTGAAGGATTCCTGCTCCTCTTCGTCATAGTAGTCCTCCGAGTTGGTCGAGCCAGGCTCCTTCTTTTCCTCCGAGGGGAAGAGGAAGTGAAAGCAGCGCAGGTCCTCAAAGAACTTTTTGACGACCTGCATATGGCTGGAGACTTGCTTGCGTCCCATCTGCTCGATGCTGTCGTTGCTGTTATCGATGCGGAAGATTTCCTTGCTGCCTAGAATGGCAATGCAAAGAGTAAAGATGTATTCGCTGATGAGCATGTTGCGGCCGTGAAGCTTTCCGCCCATGGAAAACTTTCGGCGGCCCATGTGAGGCATGAGCAGGACGGCTGGAGCTCATGTTAGTCTTGTCTCTCAAAGCATGTACAGGTCTATGCAACACTTACAGTCGACAAAGGCATCTTCGAGCTCAGGACGGCGCCAAACGCCACCCTTGTCCTTTTGGGTATCCTTGTGTGCCTGTCTGTTGCGGTACTGGCGAAAGGCAGGCCAAAAGTAGAGAGGGTTGATATCAGCTCGCGGCTTGCGCTGGAAGCGCTGCTGCTGCTGCTGCTGAGGTTGAGGCTGACGAGGAGTGGGCACGCGGTAAAGGCAGTCAAAGGACTGCGATGGGACCATGGGAGCCTGGATGTGCTGCGAAGGTTGAGGCATGGGAGGGGATATGGCTACGGGGCTCTGGTAGCAAGAGATCATGCCGTTGAAGCTGTGCGCCTGAGCATTGCCGGTGGACTCACGCAGAGGAGCGCGGGCGGCGCCAGACGGCGGCTGCTGGATGCTGCTGCGGCGGGCATCGACATAGTCTTGTGTTGGCTGGTGGTAGCGCTGCGATGACAGCATGGGTCTGGGAGCGTATAGTGAAGACATTGTCCAACAAATGCTTGCTGGAATTGCAATGCGTGTATGTGGTGTATGTGTGTGACGGGAAGCAAGAACAAGGCCTTCTTTCCTTGTTACAGGAATGCCAACAATGGGATTTTGCCTGGCTCGCAGAGAAAGGCAAAAAGCTCAACCGTCACAAGAATGCCAAAGAGAATGGGAACAATAAAGAGCTTTTGCGTTGTTTGGTAGGCAAAGCTCAGGCAACAGAGAGAGAGAATGAGAATGAAAGGCAAGTGGTAGAGGAACAAGAAATGTTGAAAGGAATTCTGGGAGTGGACTCGTGGGATAAATGTACGATTTGGCAATGGCTCAGAGTTTGACTGGTATGAAGCGTCTGTATCGAGAACCGTCACCCGCGGCCGTATAAATCCTAGACTTTGGCACCCTCCGATGGGGCAACCAAGGACGATGAACCTGTGGACTGTGGATCGCTCTATTGACGAAGGGTCAACGAGGCTAGTGATCTCGCAGACGTGTGTGTGTGTGTGTGTGTCTGCCCTCTGCCTAGAGTTATCGCGCCTCTGGATGGTGGGTGGTGGGTTGGCCTCGCAGCTTTTCGGCACCAGGCGGGCACCCACCACCCCGTCCAGGAACGGCGAGACATGGTGAAGAGGAGGGGAGGGCGTGTCGACAAGGACCTCGCCATCCATCAGACTGGGAGGAGGGGGAGGGGCAACGTCGAAGAGCGGGTTGTCATGGCCGGTCGGTAGTGAAGAAGCACGCAGCCTGCGTGTGCTGTGCTGCTATTTTCATGATGATGGAGACACGCCCCCAATGTCTAGATGCCCATGCCATTCTCTCTCTCTATAATTGGCTTTTCAGCAACCTTTCCAAAAGTCCAGCTTTGGGCATGGCGGTAGTGGGCGGAGACGCGGCCAAGGTCACTCCTTTTGCAGGGCTGCTTCCTTCGTAGAACAAGCCCTGGTTCTGCGCAAGCGAGGCCCCATTGCCCTCCTCTCTCAGCGCACGCGCGCCAACGCACTGCGCATCGAACGTTGCAGAAACGGGCCCAATAGGACAAGGGCAGGCCTTCGGAATCGTGGGCGAGGGCGGGGTGGGCAGGCGTGTGAGCTTCGCGATCTCTTTGGCGCAAGGGAGCAGCGTGAAAGAGGGTTTGGCGTCGTCCAAGGGTGGTGGTTGTGTGGGAATAACTTGACTGGTGGGGGCTGCCAATCTATAGAGTCTCATCATCAACCAGCTGGGAAAGCTGGGCCAAGCTGGGTCAAGCTCGTTAGCTTATTAGTTGTGAGTTAAATGACTGGTTTAAAGTGTTTCCCTTCCCCATAGTAAAAAGGCGACTGCCATGAATTCTCACCACCGCCTGCTGGTATGCTGCGAGATTACAACCAGACAAGCCACCCGACGACAATGCCAGCTGCAAATTGTTATTATTTCATCTCCATCATTGTTGTGTATACGGGTCACCAACACGCGTAAACCTACTCACTTTTATCGTCTTTTTGCAATTTCTTTGGAATTTTTTTTGCCCTTGGTGTTGGCGTCCAAGTTACCTTCAACTAACACTTGCCCTTTAACACGCATCGCGCCCTGCTCAGGGAGCATTGGCCAATAGCCTCACCAAAAGGGACTACCACCGTACGATGGGCGCTACATTGTACCACGAAAATGCTCAATACATGTAAAACTCTCAAGGAAAAAGGGTATCTTTAATAGTTCTCTACGCCATTGCCTCATCTATTCCATCTCTTCGTCGTCCTCGTTGCCAATAGTCACCTTTTTGCGTCCCCCTCCTGTAAGCTTCTGAAGCGCAACCTTATTCACCTGTCCTCCTACCTTGCGCTGCATCTTTTCTATCTCCTCCTCAGCGTCCAAAGCTTCCGCCTCGGCGAAGTCCAGCACGAGACGCCGCCCAAGCAAATGAGTGTCTCGCAGCGCGTTTAATGCGTTTTCCGCTTCGCGCGGTGTCACAAAGTCTGCAAAGGCAAAGCCTCTTGAGCTAGAATCTGCCTTCTTTGGAACGCGGACAGATCGTAATTGACCATATGTGCCAAACAACGTCCGTATGTCCTTTTTCGTCGCCTGGAAAGGCAAGTTCTTGATGACAACCTTGGTGCGCTTGGCCGCCACCTTCTTTGCCCTGTCCTCTTTGCGCCTCTCCTCCGCAGCGTCGTTGCCCTTGTGCGATGCCTTGACCGTCAGCGCATGCCCGTCCAGAACATGCCCGTCCATGGCTTTGAGAGCTGCCTGAGCCTGCGCTTTCGTGCGAAACTCGGCAAACCCAAAGCCCATGCTGAGTATCTGACCCGGCTTCTTCGGGTCCATCTTGGTCTTGACCCTGGCCGAGACAAACCCATCCAGAGCTTGGAAAGCTTCAGCTAGTCTACTCGTGGTGGTGTCAAAGTTTAAATTGCGGATGAACAGAGATGTTGTCTCCACTTCTTCCTCCTCTGCCTTGTCGCCTCCGCCTGTCAACAGGTCGCTAACGCTCAGCTTAGTCGTTGCGGTCGGCTGGCTGTTGGCCTTGGCCGCCGACACTGCAGCCGCCTCGCTAGTAAACAGATCTTTTGGCGCCTTCTCCAGAAAAAGCACGCTGTCCTTGATCCGTCGATACGCCAGCTTGCCAAATGCCGACTTTGCATGGTTGGCCTGTGCGAATTGCACAATCGCAATCGTACCCGCTGGCGGCATCAAAACTCTGAGAACTGGACCAAACTCTTCAAACAGTTTGCGCAGTTCCTCCATGGTAGTCCCAAATGGGAAGTTCTTGACCAGTATCGCCGTATCGCCCCGCTTATGAGACTTGAACGCATCCAAGTCAACCCCATTGGCAGCGAAATAAGCCTTTGTCTCTTGGATCACGCTCGTTTCGGCAATGGCTTGCTTGACTGCTGCGTCTGCTGATGTTGGGTCCAGCACCTCTGATTTTGAGACACCAAGTCGAGCCGCCACTGAAGAGTTGACAGCATCTTGGCTCATGTATAGCGAGTTCCAGTTGAAAGTAGTGGATGACGCCTCTTTTTTTCTGCGGATCAGGTTTTGTTTCTTCAGCGGGAGGTTAGACAAGGAAAAGTCGTCCACACCATGCTCTCTTTTCGCATCCGCTGGAATGATGTGGATTATACGCCCCTGGAAAGTTGCCCCATCCAACGCATGGAATGCAGCAACCGCGTCAGATGGCTTTGTAAACAGCAGCATCGCAAAACCTTTGGCTGTGCCTTGTGCATTGATTGGCAGATGTATCTGGATGTGTTAGTCACAATGTGCAGCTTTGTGTCATGTCTCGGATCATGCAAGAGAAAAAGTGACCAGAGTACGGCAAGACTCAGAAAATCGAAGCATCTACTAAAATATTCGCCAGGGTTCTCATCAAATACCGTCAGGTATAAGCTGTCCCTATCTGGGTTCATCATGCAAGCCGAACTCTGGAAGAAAGACGAGAGAAAAACAAACAAAGAAAACATGAGCGAGAAAAAATGACTTACTTCGTCTACACCCCCAAACTTTTCAAACTCCTCTCTCAGGTCATCTTCGGTGGCGGAGTAAGGGAGATTTCGAACGAATAGCCGAGAAGTCTTCGAAATAGCTTCTGCAGCTAAGTCTTTGTCCTGCCCTTGTTGTGGGAGGGGCTCTTGGTCATCGTGAGTTCCGTCCTGCTCGGAATGCGGAGCCTCTTTGTCATTTCCAACCTCTTGAGCAGCCAAGCTGTCACACTCAGCCTTTTCAATGGGTACGACACGGGAAATGTCGTCTGGATCTACCAGGTCCAGAAGTCGGTTTGTTCGAGAGCGCAGCCAATCATCATCCGTCGCATCCATTGCCACATCAGCTGGTTCATCCGCCGGCTCAGACCCTGGGGCCAGTGGCCTGGGCAACGGCCCAGCCACACCGTCGGCCGGGATACTTGCAGTCTCTCTACTAGATGTTGAGTTCCTCGCCGATATCACTTGAGCCACACCGGTCTCGCCCGTCGCATGATCAACCTTTCGAAACTTTTCCTTCCTCGAGGGAACTTGGACGTACTCGTCATCGCTTTCCCCATCAGGCACCAGCGCAGAGTCCAGTTGCGCTAGGGCTCCGCTTGATTCAACAGCTGTCTCGTTGGCAACGAGGCTCTCTCTACCTGTCCCCATGACCCGAAGATACTCTTGCAGCTTGTGATCTGACTGGTCGAGGTCCTCCCGCTTTCTCTTCTTGGAACCATCTTCGACAGAGGCAGCCGAGGATAGAACTTTGGTGGCCTTCTCCGGAGCACCGGTTTGGGTGGCGACAGGCGCCTTTGTCGACGCGGGGTTTGAAATCTTGCATTCCGGTTAGCAACCAGAGAATCGCTCTTTGTCTCGGTGCTGTTGAACTTACTGCTCTCGCGGGTTCGACACCAATCTTGGACATGCGGATGTAGGTCTTGTTAAAGTACTTGACAGCCTTTGCGGCGTCCTCTGCTGACTTATAGCCTACATAGCCGATGCGGCGCTGTGCCATGAGCTTAACATCTGTGACTTGCCGGTTTCCCGCAGAGAAGTGTTTCCGAAACTCGGCCTCGGTAAGACTGGTCGGCAAGCCCTTGACAAAAATTCTTGAAGTTTCCATGTTGGGTTGAAAAGGTTCAGGCACTAGGCCTCCAATGTTGGAGTTCAGGGATCGCACATCAGAATGTTCTTGGTTGTGGTCAACCAGAAGATTTCGTGAGGGATTGAAGAAAAAGTTGAGGAAAAATTGCTGTCCAGGTCGGCGACAAGTGGGGCGCTATTATCGATAGTACATGGCTCGTGCGGCCAACTTTGCGGCAACTACTGATACTCCGTACCCTGTAGATATTTGAGCGTTTGTATTTTATGAGAAGTTATCCTTTGCATCGCTCGGATCTCTGAGACTTTGGTGGGATAAATAGGTAAGTTGGATGATTTTGCGCAATTTTCATGGCAGCCGGGAGTAACGGCCATGTGCTCAGTCAGTAAACTGGATAATATGGCTACGTAGCTGGCCAACTTCAGCTCATAGTAATCAGCTTTCTAGCCCAGCTCTGCTGCACGAGATGCATCTCAAACATCATCGGGTTGAAAAACCTCAAGTCCACTATGTTCTTCCGATTGTAATTGCTGAATACCACTTTGCACTCCTATTCATGTCCCTATGCGGAGACGTTACAACTACGTTGCCGGGGCTTACACCTAGTGGTGCCCTGTTCAAAGCTCAATCTCAAAGACGAGAGACTGGTCTGAGAAGCGAAATAGGAAAAATCGCACCAACGATTACATCTGCGCATCGGATAATAACGGCGTGCACGGCTTGGGCGTGTCCTGTGCAATGAACGACTCAACCACCGACGTTACGATACTTACTCGGCTACTGTCACGTTGCACGCCCAGAGAATATGACTTTTACAATTGACGGGCAGCTGTCGTGTATGAGGTGTGCGTGATGCATACGAACTTTCCATCTGGTCCAGGGGCAGCCAGGTTGTCAGGTAAGCGCCGGAAGGTCCACAACCACTTGGGCAAAGATACATGGCACGCATCAACCAAATACACAGCCAACAAGCCGACAAGCCAACAAACAACTACAGCATGATCAGGGCGCCACCTGGTGGTGCAATTGTTTGGGTGACAATCGAGTACCACTATCACGCCTCGTCTAAAAATAGACCTTACCGGGTTCCAGATTCCAGAGTGCTCAACTGTCAAAGTTGAAGCGGCATGAGCGGTTGCCACATAGCCTCCTCTTTGTTTTCGCCACGTACGCGTCCTCTTTGTGTACATGTTGCACGGGCACGGGAATGCAATGTCGTCAGTTTACGTTCCAGAGGATAACCCTCATTGCCGCCCGCCGGCCCGCTCATGCACACCGCAGCGCCTAGTCGTGCCGACGCGGCATTGCACGGGTAGATCCTATCATTCGTTTGAGAATCGACGTGCATGAACAGGAGCCCCATTTTCCTTCTCGGACACGCTGCTCCGAACAAAGCACCCAACGACTCCTCTACAGCCGCCAGGCATATGCTCATTGTATGAAAAGAGGCATCAAGAAGTATGTTGAAACAAGACAGCCAAGGTTTGGATAGATACTGAAACATTAATCCCTATCCTGTTTATGGTTTGCCTAAAACAGTGTTTGCAATGATCAAGACCCCAGAGACTCATTCTAACGCGTTCTAATAAAACGAACAAAAAAAAGTGTGGTTGTTAAGAAGTGACCGGAACCAACCAAAGCATATATACAAAAAAGTCATAACAATACACATCGTTTTGCGCCGATACCCATGATGCTGAATTGACAGGTTTCGCAGTACCATCCAACTCGGAAACGCATTCCTTCTGTTCGCCTGGTAGCGACAAACCCGGAAAAATATATCATTTCGCCTTTGTAATCGTTCACCCAAATGTGACTCCTGTGCGGCAATACTGCCGATGACTTCGCCATGGAATGGCCTTATTATCCACCTCACCGATGCGGGAAATACAAGGGACAAAAAAAAAAAAAAAAACTTCTCCCCAGGAGACAGTTCATATGCTTGGGTACAGACTAGCATCGCCGTGATCAAGTGCTAGCCTGTGACGCTCGTTTGCGCTCTGAACGAGCGTAGTGGAGCAAATGCAGAATGCGCTGGCTGGGCTGCATCGTATCCTTTAGAAAAGGATGAACGAGGCGACAAAAACAGCAATAGTGTACAGAGAGGTGGCGGTGTATTCGAGCTCGAAGAAGGCCGCCTGCTGACCAAAGGCAATCTTCTTACTCTTCCTGTTGGGGTGGGCGACGTCCGTCTTAGGGTCGCGAATCAAAAGATCCTCCCGGTCAGGCACAGTAGGAGGGTCAATGGCATAGCCAATTGGAGTCCACATAGAGCTGCAGAGGAAGATAAACGTCAAGGGAGGCCAGAAAGCGTGGGTAATGAGGGCTCGCGCAATATCCTTAAAAGCCGAAAACTCAGTGAAGCAGAGGAAGGTCGTCATAGTGGCTCCAACAAGGGTCATGTACACAAATAGCAGATGGAAAATGGCCATATAGTTGAAGCAAATGCCAACGAGGCGACGGCCCATACCCTTGCGGTGACGAGCATCACGTTCATTGAGGGCTGAGCCGAGAGAGCCAGTCGGTTTGAATGCCTGAGCCTGACCGCCGAGCCACGAGGGAAGCATAAAGGAGCGAACGATGCAAAGCGCAATATAGGGCGACATCCAGATCTGGTAGCGAGAACCACGCTGACCGGTGTGGTAACCGGCAGGTAGGAAAAGAGCAAACTCGCAGAGACGATTGGTGATGGTGGCAGCAAAGCAGGCACGAATAAGCCAAACCAGCTGTTCATCTCCAACTTGATCGTTATAGGCGACAAGGGGGCGGCGCATGAGAAGGATGATGGGAATGGCAAAGAGAGAGACAGTGAGGAGCACAGTGTACAGACTCAAAGAAGCGTACAGGAAGCCGGAAAACCGTTGCGCGAAGCTCATTTGCTTGACCTTGTCACCGTACAGACAGAACTTGAGCTTGAAAGCCGTGTCGACAGTACCAATAGCCCAACGGGTACGCTGCTTCAGGTGTCCACCAAAGTCCTCAGGAACAGTGCCAAACTGCAGGGCCTCGTGAATGAATGCCGTCTTCCAGCCTCTACCAAGTAGCAGTGTGGATGTGGCAACATCCTCCGCCAGAGAGCCCAGAGGGAAATTGCCAATCTGATCGAGAGCCTCGCGACGAACAACGTAACCGGAACCGGTGCACCAAGCGACACCAAGGGCATCCTTGATGGGCTCAATAACGTGGACGAAAAAGTCCAGACTCTGAGCGAGGGGGTCAGACGCGGGAGTGTTGTAGAAGAGCTGAGGCGGGCAAGCAAGAGCCATCTTGTCGTCTATGAGCAGATGGGGCAGAATGGCACGCAGCCAGTCTCTCTCGGGAATCTGCAGTACCGTTATTAGCACATGTATAGTTAATGAAGGCCTGAGAAGGTAGTAGAGGGTCGCTCACCATATCAGCATCCAAAGCAGCCATGAACTGGCCGGCGCCACCAGGAAGGTTATGCGTCATGTCAAGTCCGTAATTGAGGTTACCAGCTTTGAAGTGATGAGGTACGCCAGGAGTCTTGGTACGAGCCATGTAGTAGACATTGTGGTAGACGGAGTCGAGAGCCTGGACAGCGACTTCGAGAGTAGCCGACTTGGCGTCATCTAGAACAATGACACGGAAGCGGTCGCGGGGGTAGTCAACGTCGCAAGCACCACGAACAGTGTCGAGAACAATGTCATCCTCTTCACCGCAGCAAGTAATGAAAACATCGACAGTGGGAACGTCTTCGGCGACGAGGCGCAACTTGGGACGTTGACGCTTCTTCAGAGCTAGCATGGTCCAAATGTTGTGCATCATGGTTGGAATGGCCACAGCGAATTCGACAGCAATGAAGACCCAGGCCAAAACAAAGGTGCTGCCGTAAGCATTTTGGGCGGAGATGACACAGTAGATTCGGTAAGCGAGGTAGGCGCAATACATAGCCGTGTTGAGCAGAGTGAGGAGTGGGACGGCACGGAAGAGGAGTCTTTTCCACCCCTTCCAGGAATCGGCATCATCACGGTCGTGTAAGCGAGCAATGAAGCCTTCCTTGACCCAGTCCTTGGCCATGACGGGAGGAGGTGCATTGGGGAGTAGAGCTGCGAGACTGACATTGCTCTGGTACTGTAGGAAGGAAACATAAGATTAATTTCGAAGCCAACAAGAGGCGGAGCTAAGCGCTCGGGGCAGAAGGACGCATTTCTTACCATCGGAGTGTTTGGCCAGGAGTCCATGTTGTTCTTAGGACGTGGTATACGATCCATTGGAGTGGCACGGCCGCTGACCAGAGTGGGTGAGGCCGAGCGGGATTGAAGGGGCGTCTCGAAGGACTGCTGGCTGTAGCGAGAGACGTGAGTTGGGCCCCAGGACGGTGAGGGCGCGTTACCGTACTCCTCGAGGTAGGGCTGCTGCGGAGGGCGCATGGGACGGGAGAAGTCAGCTACAGCTCGGCCGCGATAATCATCGTAAGACGAAAGGTCGGAATAGTTGGAGTGGTTGGAGTGGTGCAGCTGGGGCGGCTGAGGCTGCTGGTAGTCGGCAGGAGGCGAGTGATGATGGAAGACGTCGAGGTCGACGTTTTCCTCGTTTTCGGGTTGTTGGTGGCGTCTCATTTTGGCGATGGGGGGAATGGCATTCCTTGCAACGCGTGCTTGATCGAGACGGGAGGACGGATGGTGAACAGTCTAACAGGCAGCACAGGCGAAACACGGCGCCCTCGGATGCTGGAGCCTGTTTGACTTTTTATTCCTGGTGTGCAATGTAACCACAACAACAGCAGGCAAAAAGACGTATTGTAATATCTGGGCCGGTAGAAACGATAGCGGAATAAGCGATGAGGCTGGCAGAGGGGAGCGGATGAGGCGGGAAACAAGAAGCCCAATGTTTTTTTTTGTCGCCGAGGCTGCGAGTGACGGGAGAAGAAAAACGAGCGAGTGTCGGGCCAAGCTAAGCAGCGGGAGAGATACGAAGAGCGAGAGTCTGAGAGCACCTGGGGAAGAGTGTGTGAAAGAGGACAAGAAGGAGAAAAGTGTGGCAGCGAAGAAGAATGTCTGGGTTTAGCACATCGGAAAAAGAAGAGGGTGTGAGCAAGGGGTGGCAGCGGTACTAAGAACGATGTTATTAGTGGCAGAGCGAGAGACAGCGTCTACAGAGTGAGCGGGCCGACGGGGGGCAAGTCAACAACTAAATGAATTAAAAAGAAAAAAGGAGAAAGGCTTAACAGTAGAGGTGGGAACCGGTTGACCCATACTGGTAACTACTCACTAAACTGGTAAGGTAGTAGCCAGGTGGGCGGCATCTACGGGTGATTGGGGTGAATAGCGAATGGAGAATGGTTACGTTGAATGCGGCATGATACGATACCACTTGGAGGTACAGATTATTTACAGGCAGTGGATTTTCGAAAAGGCAGGGACAAGACAGGACAGGGGCGTGACCGATAAGTAATTATGTATGGTTCCTTTTTTACGGATACCTACCTAGGTACCTTGGTACGTACCCAGCAGGTACCTTTCACTCAGGTACCAACCAGCGTCACTGTTGACTTACCGTACCTTGGGTACGGATAGCTGGTGCTGTTTGCTAACCACCGCGGCCACGAGCAATTGCTCTATCTGCAGAGACAAGCTGCATGTACTTGAGTGCATGTTTGCATTGAAAGATGAAACTGTCAATAAATCGCGCCCCTTTCAAGTTTTCCTCCGCTTCCCCTCCAGCTCTTCTCCCACGCAGCGAGATTCGTGGCGGCAACCATGTAAGGGCAGGTGCTCGGAAATAGGAGAAAGCAAAGCCAACCAAAAAAAAAAAAGAAAAAAAACTTGGCCACGACGCTAGGGCGATCAGTCGACGGCAATGCCGCAAGAGGCCACAGGCTCAGGAAACCGTATTGTTACGGGGCAGCGCAGGTAATTTACAGGACCTGAGAGGAACACTAGGTACTCCCTCATCAAGCAGCTTGCCTAGGTAGGTACCTATGGAAGGGGGCCGCTGAGAGAGAGGGGCGGACGGTTGTCGGGCGATGGGCAACAGGCAACGGGCGACTCGCGCTGGCTCGCTGCTCGCGGCGGGGAAGATGATCAGGACCTGCGCTTTTTCTCGAGGCCTGGCGCAATTTTACTGCGAGATGCCATGACGTGGTGCGTAGGTACCTATTTAGAACACACTGGAGAGGCGCAGGCTTACAATGGGGCGCTGAGACCTACCTTTTTTATTTTATTTTTTTCCTTTGCGTATTTTTCTTTTTTCGGTCGCTTGCCCCACCAAACTAGGATACTTTTTCCTGCAGTCGCTGGTACCCACCCAGCATGATGTTCTTGTCCACTCAGATAGCAAAACAAAGCTCTGGGAATAAAACAACGATTTCATTTACACATCGCCTTACCATCGAGGCACATGCAGGAACTTTCTTTCAAAGAATAAGCGGGATTCCGATAAAGAACTGATTTCAAGCACACGGCTCGCCTGTCATACTTACTACGGCGCGTCAACTCGGGATCTGCAACAAGACCCGAGTTCGCCTGTTTCCGTGCGGAACCGCACCTTGTCCCGCTGAGACGAATTCTTCAAGTCGCGACGCCAAGACCTCAAATCCTGGAACGATTGTAGCGAAGTGTAATCCGTACCTGGCAAGGACAGAAATAACGGGGTGTCACTACGAGACTGTACATTTCTAGTTAGACATCAACACTGGGTCATAGGTAAATAGTGGAGGTAACTACCTGTATTCTCCCCCAACTTGGCGCGCAGGTGTCAAGTAAGTTGTAACTACTGCTGTTACGGTTTTCTGGGAGTAAACAAGTCCACTTTCCGCACACAACTATCTTTCCAGACGATCCGTCTTGTTGGTCAATGCATGATAAATAACAATGCGTTCTTTACTGCAGTTCTCATTCCTGCACATTCGCCTATTAGACAAACACAAACAAATGGTTCATGGTGGTCTCAAACAGGGCTGTGCTTGTGTGGCCTGTGGTTCTTCTTGAGCAGATGGCGCCCGTGGTTCCGAAGCATAGCAGCCGAGGGACCCGTGTGCAGTGAGGCTCTCAAGGCTTGTTACTGGTACAAACGGCCACCAACTATTGACCTAATAAGTATAAGGTAGTGCTGTATAAATATTTAGTGGCTGGCTTTTCGCTGCAAGTGGGCTGCAACGGCTGGAATGGCTCACCCGTTGCGTTCGTATTGCGAGAGGTGATGGCATGGCATGGCATGACGAGCAAAGTCACCAGATTTGCCCCCTCGCATAACTAGGTTACCACGTTAATGCTAAGTAACCATCAGTTGACCCAATTCCAAATTGGTGTCTTTGTTGTGTTGACTTTAGATGCTGATGATCTTTACCAGTGATTATTTTAGCCTGTAACTTAGGCAACGGGTGGTGTGCTAAGCCGCTATCGTTTCCAAAGCATTGACTGCAATGCAATAATTATGCAACAGGCAATCGCATGTTCCCCGCGGGGTTGGTGATCAAACAACTGTGCAAAGACAGATAGACTCAGGAAAAGCCCACGTTTGTAACTCAATCACGAGTACAAAGCCAATGAAAAGTCCGACGCAAATACGTATACACTTGGGATTTCGAGTCATCTGCTTCCCGTGATGCCCTGTTCGTCACGCATTGCCCACTGTTCCTCGTATCTCTGCTGCAGCAGGGGGTGCGATTTTTGACACCTCGTTCTGGCTGGACCGGACCAGGGCCTGATGGGGATGCGCAAACCTTGCAACGCTGCGTGGGCGTGAGGACCTGGGCCCCACTTTGGAAACGATGCGGCGGTCGGCGCCGCACCAAACCAGAAAGAGGTCTGTGAAATGTGGCTAAAAAAAAATACAAAACAGTCATGTTGTAGGTGTTGATGGCTGAAAGAGTTGTTGCTGGTTGTAGTTTGTTGGTTTGCATCGCAGTGCTTGTCCACCACGAGAGACTTTGGGGGGGGGGGACGAAAAGACACAAGAGGCTGCGGCGCGGGCCCTGCCCAACACTATCGCGAGACGGAATCACGGCTCATGATGGGCCGATTGATTACTTTTACCTGCCTGGCAGCGAAAATAGACTGGCCCATGTTCCAGTGTTAAGCCGTTTGCGGCAATATCTTTTGCCCGGACATTTGCGAGGCGAGCCGCGCTAGCAAGTTGAGCTAAGCAAGGGGAGGGTTCAAGAGAAGGGGAAGAAATTTGGGCTGCGGGCAGCACCCGCCCCACTGCTCCTGGATTAGCTCGGACCAAAACCTGGCTGCGCATCTTGATGGATCGAATCAGCGCCGCTGGCATGGACCAATGCAAACAGCGTTGCTGGTACTGGCAGACCAGTAATGCGGCGCCTGTGAGAGGCCTCAACATCAGTTATTGAGCGGTGGCGTATTTTTATCTTCCCTTTGTACTCCCGTGCTGTTAGTACAGTAATTTAGCACTTGATTAGTGAGAAGGGCGTGCTGTGAATTTCTAGTTAGTCTGATGAACCATGCCTATCGCCATTCTCTTCTTTGCAGCACAAGGTAATCAAAATCCTCACCTCCCTAGAGGTGAGACATGTGTCTGAGTATGCCGTTCCCCGGTCTCATCACCAGGGAAGAACAAGAACAACGATGGAAAATCATAACAAAGAAACAGGGAGAAATACGGCCAAAACTACTCCGTAGAGGAGCCTGCCTCTCCGAAATCAGACTATAACACAGCGTGATAATTCGTTACCGTCCTGCCGTCATATACCGACCACACCAGGCCTCCCAGAGTGCCTTTGCACATGGCAAAGCCGCCAAGGAGCTTAATATCAGTATACCAGTAACAAGCTTGTGATCGGTTATTGCCTCAACACACAGCACGGCGCAGCCTTCCCTAATTATTAGGTGTGCTGCTATTTACTAATCATACGTGGCATCTCATCGTGCCATGGCGTCCTCCGCCTCCATATCCACAAACGCAGGTACCAGCAGGCGAGCGTGGCGAGCTAACGAACTCCTTTTTTTTCTTCAGAATTTTTCTAATTTGCATTTCCTTTTTTCTACTTCCCTTCCACTCGGTCCTATTCGCTGCTATTGAACGAGACCCATCTTCCTGAATAATTTTAAAGTCAAGCTCTGTTGATAATTGGGTTGATCCCTTGGGCCATTAGCTCCTCCAACCCCCTTTGATTCGATACTGCATGCCTCGCTCGGTCCTTGTGGTCAGATAAGCATCATTTTCCCTAAGGCTCTAATAAGCTGGACTTTTCCCTTTTCGCCCCTTGTAAACCACAAGTGATCTTGGTTGGTCAGGGCAAACACTTGCTCAATGTACGTCCACAATAGCATCACCATGCAAGAAAACCCCTCTATGCATGATGCCGGTCCCGGCTGAGCTGCCCTCTGGCCCGAGATGGTGCTACCCAACTGGTTAGCCTCATGACCTCTTGCCGAGTCGCTTGGGATTATTTTTTTTTTCCATTTTTTTTTCTCTGCTCACATGATCCCTGTCCGCCTGATACCCAGTTGCAAGGTATTTATTTATTACCTTGAGTACTGAGTAAGGGAAGTAGCAGACGCAGCTGTGCAAAGCCCACCCACAGCGAATAAGCCCACTGTAAATCCACTGCCTGCCACTGCCACAATTTGCCCACGCTCCGTTACTGTCCAAATCAAAATAGCATTGTGCTTGTACCGAGGAGTCGGAGTAGTTTTGACTGGTTTTACTGGCTGGCAAACTGGCAACTGGTCAACCGCAAACCGCCAGGGAGAACTCTAACGGTACCGCTCTACTGAGAACCCCCAAGTACCAAGGCCCAGACCAGCACCTTGTCATGCAGGTACTTTCCTCCAAGTACCCGGCCCCCCTTGCCTGTCTGCTTCCTGCCACTGTCACTAACAGGCCTGCCACGCCCACCCCTGTTTAGCGCCCGAAAAGGCCGTCTTATCTTGTCCACGACCTTGTTCTCGCCCGTTTCAGTCCTTACCATTATTGTCTGGTAAATCTTCGCCTGAGCATACACGTCTGTACATTTCACCCCAAAGGATTGTTCAAAGCGAGGCATCACGACCCCCTCTGTCCAGGGACAAAGGAACCAACCATCCAGCTTCTGTCTGCCACCGTGACGCTGCATTGCCTCCCGTCTTAGCCTTTGGCGCGCCATCGCTAGAACCTTCCTCGGACCTTTTCGGGGGGCCAACTTAATTCACTCTTTTTTTTTTCTCCTGAAAAGCTCTCACTGTCGCTTTCGGCTACGCTTATTGGGGCTCAAATTGCCATCAATACGGACGAGAATCGCCTCAATCCATCGGCCGACCGCCTATTTCTCTTCTCTCGCTCCGATTCTCGTCGCTCCAACTGTTCACCACACCACCGCCATGGGATTCGGTTTCAAATGGATCCTGAGCTTTTGCATGCTCGTTATCCCCATCGCCATCACCCTCGGCGTTCTTTTCCCGCTCCAGAACGCACACAACCGTGGTGGAAACACCGGTAGCTTCCTCGGCGACGGCGGCTTCGGCACCGGTCCTGGAGGCGGAGCGCCCAAGCCCAAAAACAACAACGTTGAGCTGGCTAAAGCATGCACACAGTTTGCTGACCTGGGCAATCCTCTGCGTTATTTCTGGGAGAAGGGTCAGCAGCAGTATACCTGTATGCCTCGTCCTGTCTTGTTCATTTCGGCTTCTGTAAACTAATGGTCGCACAGTCAATCCTAACCAATGGGGTCTCTCCAACGACGCAAAGAGTGGCATGTGTATGGATGTAAGTCAATACAACTCTTTCGCCTCTAGCCGCGGCAGAAGCTGTCGCACCGCAGCGTCGCACCGTGTCAACTCGCATCGCACAGCACAAAAGCTAATGCCGCCCTCGTCAGGTCCTCTTCAACAACAACGGCACTTATGACAAGCCGGAGAAGGCTCCTCCCTTCCAAGTTACCTGGCAGTACTCTCCCGCTCCCGCCGGGCAGAACAATGTGCACGCGTTCGCCAATATCAAGCTTGAAAAAATCTTTCCCAAGAAGCTCGACACCATCAAGAAGCTATACGTTGATTTCGAGTGGAAATATGTCATGGGCAACGACAACTCAACGGCGAGCGAATCGTCGACCCTCGCTTCCCAAAGTGTCAACACCAACGTCGCCATTGATATGTTCGCCGACAAGAACAGCGATACCTCTAAGAGCAACGAAAAGGCGGCTTTCGAAATCATGATATGGTTTGCTGCCATTGGCGCGTCTGCCCACGTCATTGGTCAGGACACGACGTCCATTGTGACGACAAAGAGTCTCGCGGATGCCACCACCGGCACCCAGGTCACCTTGTAAGTTGGAGTCTAGCATTACTTTTGTCGAGTCTGGTGAGAATGAGGCTAATGAGATTGTGCAGTGACTTGTATGCCGACAAGCATCCCACCACCAGTCAGTTTGTCCTGACCTGGAAGGCTCAAACGATTACGGAAAAATTCCACGGCGACGTGTACCCACTGATCGAATACATCCTCAACTCTGGCAACTCGAGCTACCCGAACTCAGATGCCTATCTGGGCTCGTTTGGTATGGGCACCGAAGCCTACGATTCGCCGTCGAACGTGACATTCTATTGCCCTGATTTCGCCGTCAGTGTAGAATAAGGAACTGGATTTTTGGATAGAAATGGAGTTGAATACGGCATTGGGTTCCCGGCGTTTTCTGTCAATGATTTTCTTTATCCATGGTTCCATGAGGGGGTAATGTTGATATCAATCGGTAATTTAGACATGGTTATCTAGTTCACTCTGAACCCACCAGCGCGTTCTGGCGATTAGCTACGATTACTCGTACAATTAACAGCGATGTTTTACTCGTCACATTTCTGCACCTTTGTCCCATAAGGACCCTGCAAGCCACTGCCCTCTTTTCTTCTATGTTTTCGGACGGAATTGTCGTCAAGAGAAGGCGAATAGCGTCATGCTATTTTACAATACCTAGTTATTAGCGGGCAGCCACATGTTCCATCAACCTCGTATTACCATTGTCACCTGCCTGTCCCCAGCATCCCGGATAGTGTCAAGTGTGTACGCGCAAGCAAAATCTCGTATTACCTTTGAAAATGCGGGGTTATACTATCGAGCGGGCAAGGTCAGGGTATTTACAACCAAAGATAGTCTTGATCACAATCCTCCTTGGATTTTCCATTCCGGCACAAGAGTAATCAAGGAGATAATTACTCTCTACGGCGTCATTGAACGTACAGGCTTCGTGTGTACGAGTTGGGTCATTCTTGGCTGTGTTGCCCGTCCGGGCGAGATGGTGGCTGAGTCTTCTCCAATACTCTATTTTTTTCGTTCGTCTCGTCGTGCCCCATCTCCTTGCCCACACACCACCCCTTTTTGTTAATAAGTTTCGTCGAGTCATGCTTGGGACATTGTTTACTTTTCTGTCAATATCAGACGGTTGGTTATTGTTTTCTATTTTTACCTTTGAGAAGGCTTGGGCGAACTTTTTTTTTTTTCCCCTTGGCTATTGGCGTTTGAAATTCTGGACGTTTCATGTGATATCCGCCTTTACGAGACCAGGCGCGGAATTGTCGAGGTGCTGAGCCACTCTGGCCACGATGACGTTTCTGGTGTTTTCTTTTTTAGTGTCTTTATTAGTTTGGGTCCAATGTATCGTCTTTCTGATATTTCGTCATGCTCATGCGCGCGGCAGCTCGCTTCGGAGCGAGCCGCATTCTTCGTACACTACCCTACGGGTAATTATGACGTCGATTTTCGCCTTTTCGTCGATAATCTCGAGCGATCATTAGCTGAAGTTTGCCTCTATCGGCATGATTGACCGAGCATCTAGTTTGGTGCTTTCAATAAAAAAGGGCAAGAAAACGAAGTCTGAATGGATTATCGCATTGCGACAACGGCGGATGTTTTCGCGTCGTAGAAAGATGTCTGAGGTTGGAAAGCGGTTATCGGCGACTGCGGAACAGAGGGTGGACTGTTGGTAATTGCAATATACAAACATTCGTCTGCGCTAATTGTATAAGACCAATGAACATTTGAATATTCCCTATCTCAGGTTTATTGTTGATGATGAATCGTTCATGGACGGTTACACGACCTTCAGGCTTGACAAGCTTCTGTCAGGCTTGACAAGCTTCTGTCACGGGGGCATCTTGCACTGTGTTTTGGCAGTATTGCGGGGTTCTCCACTGTAAGGCTTAAGCACCAACCAATGCAGGACGGGCTTTTGGCTTGCACAGGAGACAGAGAGCCAGTTAGAGTGGGCACCTCTCGTCAATGCGCTCGCCGCGGGAGACGCGACACCAGCTCCAACCGACCACCCAAAGCTTCAATTTGTTTACCGACAACTTGCCACAACCCTCGACCAGCTTGTCGCGTACACCCTGTACCAGAGTTCATAACTATCTACTAGATTAATCAACTCCCTCACAAATCCGAGACGTCCGTACGTGTGAACGCCAACCTTGAAATTTCAAGGGGGGGGGGAGAATCGTCCGCCTTTTCACGCCAACGCCAACGAACGAGCCACGCTGATCCAAAAGAACGTAGGCGTCAAAACTACCGGCAGAGAAACAGACACAGAACCAATCACAGCAGCCCAGCACAATGGCGGAGAAGGGCCCCGAGACCCCTCTGAACAGGGACAAGCTGGAAGGTAAGATTACTGCCCGCAGCGGCCTCGGCACGCGTATATCAAACATGGGGTGATTGCTGACAGCGCCGTGATAGCTCAAATCAAGTCTGCTGATATGGTGAGGATTTATCGATTCAGTTTCGGGCTGCGACGACACGAACAGGACTGACTAGAGGCAACCACAAGACCGATGATATGCAGCAAGAATGTATTGAAGTTGGTATGTTGGTCCCGCTCCTCAGCTGCATGCGACATGGAGATTTTAACATCCACGATAGCTCAAGAAGCCATGGGCAAGTTTCACGTTGAAAAGGTATGCTCACACCCCAATTTCTCGCATGCGCATTATGCACTGTTGTTGACGGCTGGACGATAGGACATTGCACAACACATTAAGCGCACGGTCAGTAACGCGATAGCCGGACTCGAACACGGGACGAATTTATTTTGATATGGAGAACACTACTCTAACATTCGATTTGGGCTTGCAGTTTGACGAGCGCAAGGGCCCTACCTGGCACTGCATCGTCGGCCGTAACTTTGGCAGCTTTGTCACCCACGGTATGATCCAAATTCGACAAGACAGCACATGACTTCCTGACCGAAACTAATCATCGCTGCAGAGACCAAGCACTTTATCTACTTCTACCTCGGCCACTGCGCCATTCTCCTCTTCAAGACCCAGTAGTGCTCGAGACGACACCGTACGCTACTCAAAGGACTTGCTTATAAGCGGACTCCATACACTACATGATTACGGCATGTCTGATGACAAGATCAAGATACAAAAAATGAATAGAATTTGTTTACGGCCTTAGCCATCAAGTTTAAGCCGCATAACGAATCCGTGTGGGGGAGTCTTGACCCAGCTAGACAGGATTCGGAACAAGCAGTCAATCAATGGTGCATCATTGCTTGGCTCTCTAAAGTTCTACGTATCGGAGCTTCAGGATGAAGAAGAAATTCCAGAGAGTGATGAAGACGCGGATTAGAAGATGAGAGCCGCTGACTGGAAAACATTTTGTCAAAACACGGAATCCAAGCCGGTAGTACCTACAAATGAAAGCGCGGTTTTTTTTAAAGTATTCTCCGATACCTCCATAGTTGGTACTGCACCTGCCAAGGCAGAAACAATGCCGTCTGCTGCCGTCGCAAATTCCAGCCGCACCCAGGACGGGAGACCACCAACCGTTCTGATCGGCGTGCTCTACCACGCCGGTGCTCATGTATTTTGTGTTGTAACCATGGCACGATGATGGAATCTACTGCCGAACTCGTGTTTGTAAGTTTACAAAACGTCTGTACACTGCCGATATACTGAAGTAGTGGAAGTTGCCAGGGAAAAGCGGCCGTCAAGCTGTCCACTCTCCCCAGCATCACTGAGTGGGCAACACATTGCTTCGAGCCATGTTTTTGATTTGTTCAGCAAAATCACTCGCTCGGTAATGAGTTAAAGTACGGTGCATTTGATCATTGGATGTGAGTGATTGGACAGCCAGCGTGTGGTGTGACAGGGAGGCAAGGAGGGGGGATTTGCATGGGCATGCATCCAGGTCTCACAATGAAGGGCGCAAGACACACTAGTACTTGTGCGTTAAACAGGATCTTGAGTACGCTTTTCTGTCTGCTACATCGCTGGAAATTCCTGGAGCTGAAAGACTCGAGCCTACATCATGAACTATCTACTGGCCTTTCTCGCCGGCCAGGCCCTACATGCCCTCATCTTCTGTCGCGGAGAATGGGATGCTTATGCGAGCGACATCGTCGTCGGTGCCATTTTACTGAACCTGGGTTCTACAGTCGTTCTACACACAACATCTGCCGTCGACAGCTGGTGGGTGTCTTTCAGGAACTCTGCAACCCTCGAGCTCGCAACGGTGGCTGGCTTGTTCACCAGCATGCTCGTCTACAGGGCCCTTTTCCATGCCCTGTGTCGGTATCCTGGGCCCTTTATGGCGCGCTTGTCCAACTTTTATCTTTTGTTTCTCTCCAAACGCTTGCAGCTTTATCGTGAACTGCAGCAACTACATGAGCGATACGGCGATATTGTGCGACTAGGTAACTCTCGACCCGCGACGCCATTCATGTCCGATCCGATGCTGATCGCAGTGCGCAGGGCCCTCTACACTCTCCGTCACCAAACTGGAAGCTGTCCAGGCTATTTATGGCCCCAAGTCAAAATGCCGCAAGGGTCCTTGGTATGAGCACTCCAAACCGATGATGACTCTGCACACGACCAGAGACCCAGTCGCGCACGCGCAGCAGCGAAGAACCTGGGAGCGTGGACTCAGCTCAGCAGGTACATGGATATCTTGCCCTTCTGTTGGCTGGATACACAAGCTAAGAAAGCTGACGAATGCAAAGGAATTCGAAACTATAGGGATTTCATTGCACAGACTACGCAAAGTCTTGTCAAAAGAATCGAGACCAGTCAAGGTCAAGTGTTTGACGCCGCTCAATGGTTCAAGTTTTTCAGCTTCGAGGTCATGGGCTGGATGGCCTTTGGGCAAGCCTTTGATTTGCTCGCTACGGGAAAATCGACGTACTTTATGAACCTCCTTGATGAAAGTGCGACCATCCTCGGCACCGTTGCGCACCTTCCGTGGCTTTTTCTCTTGATGAAGATGACTCCTGTGCTGAACGCGCCATTGCTCACCTTTCGAAAATGGCTACACGACCAGCTTGAAGTGCAGATGGTACGGCGATTTGGCATGCCTTGTTCCTGCTCGGATCGTGATTCTGACGTGGTCAACAGGAAAAGCCGGCAGACTCCGTCTGCAGCCTCTTCTCATCCATTCTAGAGCACTTTCCGTGCTCGGCAGAGCTGACGGTGAAGCAGCGTCGGCTTCTAGAAGGCGACATGTTTTTGATCATTGTCGCTGGAAGGTACGTCGGGAGGGAACCTTGGGCCGACACACACACACACACACACACACACACACACACACACACTGCGCCACTGTGCTGACGAGCAGCTAGCGAGACCGTGGCTGTGACCCTGCAGAACCTCCTTTACGAGCTCTCGATCAATCCAGACGCCCAGAGGAAGCTGCAACAAGAGATTGATGCCGATGTCGCCGGGGTCGACGAGTGCGACCCCGCACGCCTCGCCAGGCTGGGCTACCTCCAAGCATGCATTGACGAGACGCTGCGGCTCTGGCCCCCGGTCGCGTCCGGCACGCAGCGCATAACACCGCCAGAAGGGCTGCAGGTGGGAGATGTGCTCCTTCCAGGGAACATGATTGTGCAGGTTCCCGCAATCGTAGTGCATCGCAGTACGTATTCATTGCGTAATTGGGAGCGGCAGCGCTGCTGTACATGCGGCCTGCTAATGCTGACTTTGGGCTAGACAAGGAAGCATTTCCTCGCCCAAACGAGTTTATACCTGAACGCTGGACGACAAAACCAGAGCTCGTCGTGGATCGATCCGTCTTTTTCCCATTCTCCGTCGGTGAGTCGCCTTTTCCCCTTTTATCGCGTCATGAGACTGGAGATGCCCTTGTAGATTTACTAAGCACGGTGCGTGAGTAGGAAAATACTCATGCCCTGGGAGGCAGCTTGGCTTGCTGGAGCTGCGTCACGCTATTGTCGAGATCCTGAAACGCTATACGGTTCAGCTGGCACCGGGCTTCACCAGCAGAGACTTTGAAGATGGCATCGTAGACCGCTTTTCTACGGAAGTGTCAAGGCTAGATCTGACGTTTACAAAAAGATGAAGTCACTTGCCAGAACTGGCTAGATTCGAATGGTAAGGAGTCAAAACTGACAGATCGTTAAACTCTCGTTGATTCTTGCTCAAACTTGATTTATCCCAAGGACGGAATATGGTTTGGGAGAGGAGTGCAATGGAGTGATCAGCTAGCATGCACCAGCAGTACTGTGAAGGAAGAAGTCGAGAGACAGTAGGAGACCTTTGGAAGTGACAGCACCAAATTGAAAGCTGGGTTATAAGATGCGTTTTGCTACTTGTCTTGTTCAACACTGGTAAAAGATCCAGGAGGGCTCGACGACTTGATTCCGTGTGATGTGATTCTTGTGTTATTGCTTTCCTGAACCCTCGCAAATATAGTCTTGACAACAAAGAACTTGTAAAGCCTCATGTTGGTCTTGCAACGGCCCCAGTCACCAAGTAGGTTCGTCCCCTTATTTAGATGTTCATATATATGTCATGTTCGAGTTATGTTGGTGGTACACGTACTCGCTGCTCGAGCCTCAGTGCCAGAAGAGGTTGTCAGAGAGGGCTCCCAGTCAGCTCAGAACAGCCACACACCAACTTCAGAATGAGATGAGTCGAGAATAATGGGACTATGAATACTTTCTTGTCATTTTTATTGAGCGACACGGCCAAGTACAGAGTCGCCGGACGCCGGCACGGGCACCGCCCTTGTATCCGGCTCCACCAGAGATCCCCCACCAAGCCCGGGGCCCAGAAAAAAGTTGCAGCTGTCGCCGTTTGAAAATTCCTTTTTTTCGTCTACAATAAGCAACACGAGGGCCCTGTTCGCCGGTTTTCTCAATCAGCCGTTTTGAGTTTTCGCCTGTAGCCTGCGTCGCATAATGGACATTCTCAAGGTACTATCTCGCGGGACCAAGCGCACGGCCAAGAGCGCAGGGCACGCTGGCGGCGCGTCGGCCAAGCTGCCTTCATCGACCGGTGTCGCGGCCACCAACCCGCAGCTGTACCACGACGAGGTACGCGGGCAGAAGCGTAAGCGATCCAAGACGGAGAAGCAGCCTATTGAAGGCTCCGCGGCGGAGGAACTGCCCGAGGTCGACTTTTTCGCCCCCCAACCCGAACAAGCCTCCGCGAAACCCCAAACACACGACTCCAAGAGCAAGGCCGGCGAGCAGACGTCGACACCCGTACTTGCGCCGGCGAAGCGAATCAGCGAAGAAGACTGCCGGCAGATTCTGAGGTCACACCGTCTCAAAGTAACACTTTTGTCGAAGCAGGAAGAGGAGCCCAAGAAAGTCAAGAAGAGCAAGAAAAAGAAGGCGGCGGCGGCGGAAGAGGAATCCAAAAAGGACGAGAAGAAAAAAGCACAATTGTACCCACAGCCACTGGAGACTTTTGGCCAGCTTCGCAGTACCTATGGAATCTCGCGGCGCATTTCCGAGAATTTGGTTGCGCAAAGCTATCGCGTGCCGACAGAGGTGCAATTGGGCAGTCTGCCACTGCTGTTGGAACCTAAGCAGGCGCTCGGAGGTTGCGATGCCGAGGGCCTGGAGAGTGGCGTGGACTTTTTGGCAGTGGCGCCGACTGGAAGCGGCAAGACAATCAGCTTCTTGATCCCGGCCATTCACCAGATGATGCGACGAAGAGGCATGGACCCAAACGACCCCGAGGCGACTACGACACAACACGAGCTCGAGGCGGTCATTGTGGTACCCACAAGAGAGTTGGCCCATCAGATTGTGAATGAGGGGCTGAAGCTGCTGCAAGGAACCGGCATCAAGATTATGGCCATGAAGAAGCAGATGAATCTTGACACTGAGGAGCAGGAGTTGGCAGAGGACAGCGAAAGCGACAAAGAGGACAAGGAAGAGAGCAACGAAGACGAAGACGACGACGACGACGAAGACGAAGAGGACAACAGACCGAAGCGCATAAATAAAGCTACAGCGGCGAAGCCTGATATCTTGGTCACCACGCCGCAGCTGTTGTTGAATTTCCTCACATCCGGACCTGCGACGACTCATCGCATACTACCCGATGTCAGGGATCTCATTCTTGACGAGGCTGACGTTTTGTTGGATGCGCTCTTTTACGAGCAGACGATGGGTGTCTGGTCCGCGTGCACCAACACAGACTTGCGCGTTTCGTTTTGGTCGGCAACGATGGGATCCAACATCGAGGCCATCATGACAGATAAGCTACAATCGAGAGCCAAAGGTCTGGGAGTACGTCGCAAGCCGTTTGTTCGTCTGGTTGTTGGCTTAAAGGACACTGCAGTACCCAACATTGTCCACAAACTCACATACACTGCTAGTGAGCAAGGGAAACTGCTTGCTCTTCGCCAGCTTTTACATCCTACGACGGCAGACGATTCCGTTCCATTACGACCCCCCTTTATCGTATTTACGCAAACGATTGACAGAGCGGCAGCTCTTCACGAAGAGCTCAAGTATGACATTCCGCTGGAAGCTGGCGGCTCGACCCGAATCGCTGCCCTGCACAGCGGCCTGCCCGAGTCTGCGCGCGCCTCCATTATGCGCAAGTTTCGCGCCGGCGAGATTTGGGTCCTCATCACGACCGACGTTCTCGCGCGGGGCGTCGACTTTGCCGGCGTCAACGGCGTCGTCAACTACGACGTGCCCGGCTCCAGCGCCGCGTACGTGCACCGCGCGGGCCGCACGGGGCGTGCAGGCCGCGAGGGCGGCATCGCCGTCACGTTTTACACCAAGGAGGACATTCCGTTTGTCAAGACGGTGGCCAATGTCATTGCGGCGAGCGAGCGGCAGTCGGGCAAGCTGGGCGAGGACGGCATACAAAAGTGGCTGCTGGATGCGCTGCCCAAGGTCAACAAGGCGGACCGCAAGAAGTTGCGCGAGCGCGGCGTAGAGTCGCGGCGCAGCGGCGCGGCGCAGGCTAGGATTACGTCGACGAGTGGTTATGAGCGGCGCAGGGAGAATAACAGGCGCGGAGCGATTGAAGGCAGTAAGAGGCGAAAGACGACGACGACGACGACGACGACGCAGCGCGACGACGACGGCGGCGGTGCGGATGGCGAGTGGAAAGGCATTGACGACTAGATCTAGAACTTGTTGATTTTACATATGAGGCTGAATTCAGGCATAGATGGAATGTTTTCTTGTCAAAATTGTTTGCCCCCCAGCCATTGTTTGCTATTCTGAGTGGTCCAGACCAACAAGGTGGGCCTAGAGATGGCTTGCGGGCGTTGAACAAAAATTTGTTATTTAGAGTTTCAAGCCACGATCTCTCTCAATTCTTTTCTTTTCCCTCAAAATTCGTGGGGTAAAAAAAAAAAAAATGCGTTGTTTTTGCTGAGCCTCTTGGCAATATCTATTCAGTCTTGGGCTTTCACCTGGGGGAGAAAAAAGGAGATGGTAGGTAAGGGGGCTGTGCCAGCGAGATGAACGTGGGCTGAGATTTTTTTTTCTTTGCCAGATTGAAGCCAAGCCAAAAAGCCAAGAGAGAGAGAGATGTTTTGCGGTAATCAGAAAAAACTACGGAGTATTCAAATTGAACTAACGGCGCGCGCTGTGCGTTGCAAAGGCTTGGCGACTAAGTTGGCACAAGATGGCACGATGGTATGTATGTATGTATGTATGAATGAATGGGTATCTTGAGCGAAAAATAAAAGCAAAGAAAGGTGAGTAGACCTCATGGGCCGTATAAGACTCAGTTCTACATAGTCATGCCTTTTTTTTTCTTTGCCGCATGCTTTCAGTATCGCATTCAACAATTGGAGCTGGCATCACATGTTGCACGTGCGCGCATATCTAATCGTGGCTACCCAGCCCAGAAGGAGGTGGGGGGGAAATGAGGCCAAGTGTCCGTGAGAGGCGGGGGAGATGGCAGCCAAGCATGATTTCTCGTCACATATCACGCTGGGTTGATTGCACCACGGCAACCCAAGGAGAGGGGGCTCGTGGGATTGGGGGCAAACCCGCATTCCAGAAATGCGCCAAAGAAAAAAAAACAGTTGTCAAACCACGAGAGCTGTCAAAGTGGAAGGAGAACAGAGATGCTGTACTTGATTTCAAAGTAGGAATGGTCATCAAGCCCCTCGTGGCGCGCCTACGCTTGATTGAGGAGAAGTTGTCGCCGAGCCCGCTCGGGATATTCCAACAAGACTAGCTCAAGCTCCCAGCGTGCTAAGGGTCCCTCTCACGGACCCTGTGGCGGCCTGGGGGAAAGGGCGTGCGTGCGGGCAAATCAAGTGGTGGAAAGTCGGGCGCACAGTTGCAGTAGAAGTGCCACACCGTCTAATAATACGGATGAGAACCAAGTCAAGGTGATGATGGAGGGATTTGGTGGTTACTGATAGTTCTTTGCCGGTAGTTGATGCAAAGAAACTGGGAGGGTATTCTATCGACTACGAATAACCCAGTTATTGTCAGTGCTACAACTGCCGGTTACAAAAGGGACCAGCCCCCCCCCGGGCTTGAATGGTCCTCGGTTATACTTTGTAATACAGGCCGCTCGGCCGGTGGCAAGGGAGTTGGCAGCCAAAGCCTCTTTTGAGCCAGTTGCCAGTTGTACTTTTGAAATAGAGAGGTTAAAAGAGGAAAAGTCTCCGAGACAAAAGGCATTGTCCATTTGATTGCCAACAAACTAAATTACTGGTCGAGCGAGTCAGAAGAAATGCCGCCACCACTCTTTTGAATAGCATAAGCCGGAATAGCGTCAAGCAACAATACCTTTACCAGGCTGAGAATCGTGGGTCCGTCCCTGCCCTGCCCTGCCCTGCCTGTGCAAATCTAAATAACGATTCGCCTGATCATCTCAGACCAACCGACGAGCCTCGTCGCATCTCGAGCACTTTAATAATACTTGGTTTCCTCACCGTCGCCTCATTTGTATCCTTGACGTTTAATCTCCAAGCCACCAAGTAAAGTCTGTAAAGACAAGGTCCAAGACACCCCTAGCCAATTTGTCTCCTGGGCCTTTATTGTATTCTTGGCCAATAGCAACACGGCAAAGACACAGCTTTTGGGATGCCCCTGACGCTAGCCGCTTGGTGTTGTGGGACGGATGTTTCCGATTACCACTTGAACTTCTTTTGGCGCCGTGGAATGGGGTGGTGTGGGTTGACCCAACCACCATGCCAGTAGTGGATGGATGGGAAGAAACGACGACGTCCCATATTGTCCATTGCTACGGAGTAGTTGAATACACATAATAATATGTACAAAGTTATTGACCGCGCGCCACCACATGCTCTCCGAAGGGGGGTGTGATTGTGTGTGTGTGGGCGGCGAGCGGCGCCCAGTGCAGGGTGTTTAATATAGCCAAGCAGTAATATAGTAATTATACCAAACCAGTTGCGGATAGCCCCCTTTGTCCCATATAATATCGAGGCCATTTCCCTTTGTGTGTTTCGTTTTCTTTTTCCGTCGTTCTGTGTTGCGCTCGCTCATCCAATCTTTATACAAACTCCCCTGGTGAGAGAAGAGTCTTGACAGCTCAAACATCGCCTGCCATTCCTTGAGCTATTACCTACAGTTTTACGCCACCAAGAAAAAAAAAAAAGAACAAGAAGAAGAAGAGAGTTTCAAAAACCTCCTTGCACCGAATCTTTAGCCGCCGACATCACGAGTTGCCCCCGAAGAAGAAAAATCATGAAGTACACGCCGATCCCGTTGGTCGCCGCCGTGGCCGCCGCCAGCATGGCCGGAGCGAGCCTTACCCAGCAGTGCTCCGGCAGCGCCGTCAACGAGGGCGGCAACTTTTTTTGCGGCGCCGTCCAGCATATTCTGTACCAAGGCATCGGTGGCTCTGGCAGCTACGAGGCCGTCAAGTCCATGAGCGCCACTGGCGAGTGCCAAAAGGAGACCAAGACTTTTAGCGGTCCTCTTGCGCCTCTTGATGAAGGTGTAAGTCGTTTTTTTCTTCTTTTTCTTCTTTTATTTTTTAAATTAAAATGCATATACTAACATGCACGTCTTACAAGCTGTCCCTTCACTTTCGTGGTCCCATTCACCTCAAAGAAGTGGCCGTCTACACCCTGTCGAGCAAGAACAAGCAGAGACGCCAAGAAGTCGCCGCCGAAAAGACGAAGCGCGGCCACGGCCACCAGCAGTTTCACGAGGCCAAGAAGATGAAGAATAAGCGCACCGAATGGATCACCGCCACCATCAACGGCGACGTCGTCTCTTGGGAAAAGGTCAACTACGGTCCTCCCACCGCCGCGCCGCCGCCTCCAGCCGCCGCTCCCACCGTGCCCGCCTCCGCGCCCGTTGCCAATGCCAATGCCGGTGTCGAGGCCAGCAATCCGGCCCCGGCAGCCCCGGCAGTCCCCGCCGGCGCCGCTACCAAGGCCAAGCCTGCCGCCTCGGGCAAGGACTGGGACCGCACCTCGTACTACAACGCCGAGACCCAAGAGGCCGAGAACCTCGTCTTTCTCGCAAACTATGGCGGCCAGGGCTCTGGTGTCTTTGACACGTAAGTCTTGAACGGGAAACCCCCCCCCCCCCCCCCCAAGAATCTCTCCCCCGAGACAATAAGGAAAGAGACAAAAGATTTGGTTAGGCTAACATTTTGTTCCTCTGAAAACAGTGTCTGGGGCAGCTCGCTCTCTTTCCTCAACGCAAATGGCGATGGCGGCGCCAGCTCCGCCCAAGTCCTCGCCAACGTTGACATTCCCTCCAACAAGGAGTTTGCCATTTTCAGCGGTGAGCCTTGCGACGGCAGCTGCGGCTTCTCTCGCGCAAAGGACGTAGCGTACAGTAAGTTACTTCCCACACCGCGCTCTCTCCCCTTGCCCCCTCCCCCCCCAGATGAAAAAAAAAAAAAAACCAAGTACTCATTTTGCTTTTTCATTACAGAGGGCTTCGAGGGCACGCACAAAATCTTCCTCTTCAACTTCAAGATGCCCATGGACGGCAGCACCGGCTTCAACGGCGACATGCCCGCCATCTGGGCCCTCAACGCCGACATCCCCCGCACCGCGCAGTACAATGCCTGCAGCTGCTGGCCCAAGTGCGGCGAGTTTGACTTTTTCGAGGTCCTCGCCAAGGGCGACACCAAGTGCAAGAGCACCGTCCACCTCGCCAACGGCGGCGGCTCCTCCGACTACTTTGCCCGTCCCGTCGACGCCTACATGAAGGGCGCCGTCATCTTTGACGCCGACGCCGGCGTCTCCATCCGCGTTCTGCCCGCCGACACGGACTTTTCCAAGGGCCTCGACGACGCCACCGTCCAGGCCTGGGTCGCCAGCAGCAGCAGCGGCAGCGCGGGCTCCTCGACTGGTGCCGAGGGCGGTATCGCAAGCAAGATTGCCTCTAGCCTGTTTCAGATTGCGGGCAGCGTCTAAACAATACCCATACATATATGTTGACGCATGCATACAAGTACAAAAAAAAATGAGCACTTTTGTTGATTCACGTTTTGTTTACGAGAGAAAGAGACGGAAAGCTTGTTTTATTATTTATACCTTCGATTCCGCATGTTCTATCAACTTTGAATATTGAGCCAGGTTATACCGATACTGGCCACTGACTATTTTGTAAAACTTATTTTTATATATATCCTTGTACTCTTTTTATAGCTGATTCAAATGCAACACGGCGTTACTGCTCAACTACCATGTGTCGAGGCACCGAGTTTAATCGTTTTGTGAAACATCTTGATCGATATATATTACAAAACTGCAACGCTAGACGGTCTAAAAATTCCATGATCAAGGGTCTGCTAAATATACACGCGACAGCGTCGCTGATTCCTATGATTATACATACAGTATATATATATACAGTCGGTCAAGACTTGTCACTTTCCTTCTTGCTCACGTCCGAGGTCAAGCCCACGACATTTCGAATCGTGCCAAAGCTCAGACAATCGCTGATACGAGTGGCGCCGGAGAAGAGCATAACAAGACGCTCAACGCCGCAACCCCAGCCTCCAGTAGGAGGCAGGCCATAGTCCAGCGCCTTGATGTAGCTTCGATCAAGAGGCGACGTAGCCCAGTCGTCTTCGTCCTCAGGCCTCTTCATGTGATTGTCAAAGACTTCCTGATCCGTCTGTTCTTCTTCTCCCATCTCGAACTCTTCCACTTCGAGGTCTTCCATCTCTTGCTTCTCCCCCACTTCCTGCTTCCCTCCCATCCCTGTGTCTTCCATCTCCGATTCATCTTCGAGGGCCACTTCGTCCTCCAACACCTTACTGTCAAGCGGCTCCTGCTCAGCGGCGTTGATGGCAACATCACCATCATCCGTGTTGACCAGATTGCGGTGCGAGTTGAGCTTGCGCTGCTGTTCCTGGGGGTCGTTCTCCTCTTCATACATGTTGGCGAGTTCTCGACCACCGACAAAGAGCTCTGCCCGTGCTGATACTAGTTGGTATGTCTTTGGGCAGAGGAAGCTCTTGGCCAATGGCGACATGCAAGCCGGATGATTGGTAATAAAAAGAGGCTCTTCAAATGATTTGGGCTCTATGTAGATGGCGGCTAGCCGATCGAGGAGCTTAGGCAGCGAAGTAGGGATGTCGCCAGGAATACCGATACCCGCCAGCTTCATGAGAGCAAGAAGTTCTGGCAGCGCATCCTCTGCAGACAGCTTGGGGAAGCGAACGCCGGTGGCTTCTTCCAAAGCAGGCACAAACTCGATCTGCCTGAATGGTCGCTTGAACTTTTGCAGATCGATGGGTGGCAGGGATGTGAGTTGTGTTTCAATGAGCTTTTGTGTATGCTTGGCGAGGCTGGTGAGAAGCTCCTCTGTCTCCTTTATCAGGTCTGACAGGCTTGAGTATGCGCTGTAGAATTCACACATTGTGAATTCAGGATTGTGTGTGGCATCCACGCCTTCATTGCGGAAGGCAGGGCCGATTTCAAAGACTCTGTCAACGCCACCAACAACAAGTCGTTTAAGCCAGAGCTCTGGAGCGACACGAAGTGCCAGGTCTTTATCTTTAAACTCAGTGGCGCGCGTGACAAACGGTCGAGCAATGGCGCCTCCGGCATTTTCCGCCAGAATGGGCGTCTGAAATTCGAGGAACCGCTTCGAGTGGAAATGATCACGCATGTGCTTTGTAATTTCAGAACGAAGACGCAGGATATCGACAGTCTCCTTATTGACAAGCATGTCTACGTGGCGATCCTGCATCTTGGTCTTGGGGTCGGTGAGGACGTCAGGAATTTGCTCCATAGTTGGCGACAAAAGCTCTGGTAGTTCTCTCGCGGAAAGGGTCAACAGACCAGCCGGCGTATGGTCACGAACACCTTTGACGGCTGTGGCGACGTCAGCACAGGTGACCATGAATGGGATATCTAGGAGGGCCTACATATATGATCGCCGACTTGGATGAGCGTCCTGAAGACTTGAAACTTCTTGTTGTTGTGTGTACATATATTCTCAACAGGCGGGAGGCATTTTGACCTATTCACCACGATTTGCACTTTTTGAAATTCGTTTACGATATCGAGAAAGACGAGATTTTTGCCGACGACGCGCTTAGCACGCACACGGCCAACCAGGTTGACGAGAGGTTGGGACAAATCGTCCTCCTTGCTCTCGAGAAACTCTGATACTGCCATGCGCGCTTTGGATGGCTCTATGCGAGGATACGATTCGGGATAAACCGGCCTTTCACTCGCCTGGTCTTTCCCCAAATCTGACCGGCGCTGCTGCTTGAACGGCGACTCATGCTCGGCCTCATCACGAGACTCCGAGGGTGTGGATGTGCTATTTCTCGCATCGGGCATGGAGGCAAAGGTCTGGACATGTTGTCTAGAAATGGGGTTGCGCAGGGAGTTTGAATGCACCCGCGAGATGCGTCCAGCTACTGCGCGGCACTGCCGCAAGGAAATACGAGATATCATAATATCTGTTTTTGTATTAGCTTTCTGACCACAATAAAAATTGGCAGTGGCAAAGTAGAAAGTGGTAAATGATCAGTGGTTGGCATTGTGTAATCATACACAGCAAGCTGTGTCAATCGCAGCGGTTCTGAAGCGAAGATGCGAATTCATCATGAAAAGTAGGGGTTGAATGGTAAAAAGACCGGAACTTACACTCATAGCTTCATATAATAATACACGCGCCAATCTGCGGCGCAAGATGAAGTTTCTCGATGCGAAGACGAGAAGTAACTTGGGAAGGGGAAGAAAAAAATTACGGTGCCAGCGTGAGCTCTTTTCAAGGACCCGCGGCGTAACACCCACTTGCTTAGTCACAACTCCCCACCAAGAAGCTCCAGCGGGCGCTGGGAGCTTTGGCTTCACTCGATCCGCCAACCACCAACCAGTTTTGCAGCGCAAACGACTATCACCAGCCACCATTTTGCCCAATTGGCGTCCCAGTATCGCTTCGCGTATCATTGCAACCGCAGACGAAATGGCGCAACAGCCCTTGCCAACTACGGCCCAGCCGACCGATATTTATGGCGGAGGTGAGCCTCTTGTCTCTCCCTCTGCGTCGCGCCCCGGTCGCAATGGCGTTCTCGCCCGCTAATCAGCTTTCATAGATGAGGTATCGGCTCTTGTGCTCGACCCTGGGTACTGCACCACACGCGCAGGTTTTGCCGGCGAGGATGTTCCCAAATCCGTGCTGCCTTCGTTTTACGGCCATGTTACGAGCGACCCGCCCAAGGACGTATTTGGCGACGAGTGCCTCATTCCACGTGCCGATTTCGAGATCCGCAACTATATGAACCGCGACAGTATTGTCGAGGACTGGGATGTCGCGAACAAGGTGTGGGAGCACATGCTGATTAAGCGCCTTCAACCCGAACGCCCGACGCACCCCTCCAAGAATGGCCTCAACGACGAGCCCAAGGAAGCCGACACCGAAGGCGACGTCGCGATGGAGGAGGCTGAGACGCAAGAAAAACCGCTGCAGGAGAATCCTCTGCTCATTACAGAGGCGCCGTGGAACACGCCAAAGAACAGAGAAAAGGCCATTGAGCTGGTGATGGAGAACTGGAGCTGCCCCGCGTTCTGGCTGAGCAAGACACCCGTCCTGGCTGCTTTTGCTGCGGGCAAGGCAACTGCTCTTGTCATTGATGTTGGCGGCGCCAACACCTCTGTCACTGCCATTCATGACGGCATGGTCTTGAAGCGCTCGGTCCAGCGTTCTCCTGCCGGTGGTCTTTGGCTTTCCTCCCAGATCCGCCATCTGTGGCGGACCTCGGAGCCTCCAGTCAACCTGGTGCCCACATATCTGATTGAGAATAAGACTGCAGTCGATGCCCTGGCTCCTGCGCAGTACCGCGAGCGCAAATTCCCCTTTCAGGTCAGCGACTCGTTCAGGCTGTACGAGGAGGAGCGCACCTTGACCGAGTTTAAGGAGTCGGTTGTCGAAGTGTGGCGCGGACCTGGCAAGCTCGGCGCACCCGGCAATGAGGATTATGTTAAGACCCAGCCCGGACGCGTGTTCGAGATGCCAGACGGCTACAACCAGATGTGGCGCGAGCAGCGCTTCAAGGTGACGGAGGGTCTCTTTGACGACAACGCCGGATTGCCCGTGCCCGAGTCGGAGCGCCTCACCAAGGGCCAGACGATTCCTGAGCTCATCAAGGCATCCCTAAGCGCTATCGACGTTGACCTGCGCGGCAATTTGCTCGCCAATGTGGTCGTGACTGGTAGCTCTAGCCTGATCAACGGATTCAACGACCGCCTGAATAACGAGCTGACGGCCATGTACCCCGGGCTCAAGATTAAGATTCACGCGGCCGGCTTGACGAGTGAACGCCGCTTCGCTCCGTGGATCGGTGGCAGTATCCTGGCCAGCCTGGGTACCTTTCACCAGATGTGGATCTCAAGAAAGGAGTACGAGGAGAATGGTGCCAACATTGTAGAGAAGCGCTGCAAATAGTGATTGAGCGGCTTGATAATGAAGGCTATATGATTCGAGAAACAGTTTACACGCTAAAAAGAAGCTGCGGCGCAAGTGAGCGCTTTATTTAGGTAGAACACCTTGGGATTTAAGGCGTCATGGAGTTGGATTGGTAGCAGTAACGTTGTTGGAAGAAAAAAGGAGCGAGAGGTGTCTGTAAAGACGAGCTAAAGACATGTTTGCGAGCTTACAAGAATAAAAAAGGCTTTGATCTGCCACTAAATCCCCATGTAATCCAATTCTTGCCATGGTGCTACGTGGTGCGTATATACATGTAAAATGTGAGGCTCACCCATTCGAAGCAGCCTCTCGCTCGGCGGCAAGCTCCCTCTCGGCGCGGCGCATCTTGACCCAAGCACCGAGCTCATTCCAAATCTCCTGCTTCTGCGCCGGCGACAGCGTGGCCGCCAGCCCGCTGGTGCTCGAGGCGACAAAGACCCTCGCGCCCTCCCACTCGCCTTGCACGACGCCCATGTTCTCGGCCTCGTCCTGCCAGCCGTACCGGAAGCTCGCTCCCACGGCCTTGCCACCGTGGCGGACGCGCCAGATGCTCTCCCATATGCTCTTGCCGACGATGCACATGGACTCGGGCCGCCACGTGCGGGCCTTTTCCTCGAGCAGCGCCACGCCCTCGTCCATTTCCTGCCTGCTGAGCTCGGCGCCGTTGCGGCTCGGCCGGGCGACAATGTTGGTCAGGCCGAGGCTGTAGAGCTCCGGCATCTGGCGGTCCTCGTCGGCGGTGCAGGCCCGCGGCGTGATGCCCGACGAGTGCAGCAGCTTCCAAAAGGTGTTGGTCGGGTGCGCGTAGGCGTGGCCGGTGCGCGCCGTCTGCAGGCCCGGGTTGAGGCCGACGAAGAAGACGAGCAGGTTGGCGCACACGGCGTCGGGGAGCAGCGGCAGGTGCGCGTAGGTGGAGGGCGGCGCGTAGCCCGGGGAGGGGCGCTTCTTCCGCTTGGGCTTGGGCTTGGTGATGCCCGAGGCGGAGGAGCTGGTGGCGGAGGAGGGTGACGCGACGTCGCGAGCGCGGCTCCGTACTGTGGGCGTAGCGCGGATGGATGGTGAAGCGGATGCGGAGGCCGCTTGGTGCCGAGGACTGCGTCGGGGCGTGGCTGGAGCGTCGGCGGACTGGTACATGAAGTCTTGGAGCTGTAGACGGCCGTGGAAGGACGAGAGCTGAGGCGGTGGCGACGGGCTTTCGCCCGGGCCGGCTTCGAGGTCTGGGTCGGCAGAGCTCATTGCGAAATTATAATGATGTGTTTTTGGTTACAAGTAATGAGCCATTGTTTTGCGTGCGTTTTCAGCAACTTCTAGGGGTGTCGCTGAGGCAGTGACGTGGTGATGATGGGGAGCTTAGCTGAGGCTGGAGCTTCATGTTGAGGTAATGCTAGGGTTGTGGTGGTCTTGTCCACAATACAAGAAAACAAGTTCATGTCAACACAAAAACAATATTCTGCAGTCTCTGTAGGATACTGAAAGAAAATTTATTCTGTCGATAATCATATTTGCAATGTTGAACCCTCTCTTTATCTGAGATGGCCTTGTTCAGAGACGGACAAGACATGGACCAATGGGCTATGATGATGTCACTCACGACTCACGAGTTACGAGCCAACATTTGCAGCAGCGAATAGATCAAATCTCCACTCCCGAGCTTTGTATAAAATCCCGGTATCGAAAATCTTTTGTAGGTGCAACAATGCTATATTAAGACACTGCACAGCATCAGGAGAGCCCACAATTGTGCTTCTAAATTTGGTGCGAGGCGCAGCGGCCGCCACAGCGGGCTGATTTGTTGCGACTGCAAATCAGCCTAATAACCTAATTACAGTGAGTGACAGGCTATCTGACGCAGCGAGCCTCACCCTTGGAGCTTACCAGCTGATGGTGGTTGCCGTCCGCCCCTGGCTAGTGCTGCATGTCAGATGCGATTGAGATGGGCTGCTTGCAGCGATATGCTTGGCCTGAGTAGCGGGTCAAACGAGGCCGACTTGCAAGTTGCCAGAGGACAAGCCTGTGACGGGCGCAGGCTGACAGCAATGGATTCAATGAAATTCGAAAGCCAAAGTACGTGTTACCTAGATAGTAATCTAGCATACTGAGCAGGCCGGCATGAGCTGGTCGCGCAGAACAACGTGGATGCAGGACACGCTGTCGATCCGTGTTTCTGGATACGAGCAACGGGTAGGCCGACGGCCGTGGTTGAAGATTGCCATGTTGTGTTGTAATCCATGAAAAGACCGAGATCTCAGTGTCTCTAACTACAGACAGAAGACCGGATCCGAGGTTTGAAACGGGCCTGACAATGGTATTATTCGATGTTTATTAGCGGCAATGGAGATTTTCTTGGTCTTTTTTAGCGCCCACCATTGTTCAACTCGTTGCTTTGTGCAAGTTTACTGGTGTGCTCGTAGTGAGAGTAGGCAATGACGTATGCCGTCGTGCGGACCTGGTCAACAGGGCAACAACATGAGCTGTGAAATTACTTGGTAGATTACTCCGTACTTTGATATTTCTTCGTTGTGTCTATATTTGTTATGTTTCAGTCATCTCGCCTCCTTTGTCGTATTTATAATGCGGCGACCTGCTGGCTGCAGCGACGAGGGCCCTGAGAAAGGTACTTCACTGGTAGCCTGCACCTAGGCTGCAGTCCTGTGCTGTATGTCTCTGTCGTAAATAAAAAGAATAGACCACTTTCCCGACACGACACAGAAGAAGAAAATTCAACAGCGAAAACTCTAAATAATTCAAGAGACCAGAGAAGCTAAATCTGCGGCCCCGTCGTCCTGGCAGGGTTGTCCGAGCAGCCCTCCACCAAGAAAGAGGGAGGACGTCCAGTAACATCCCAGCATCAGGGCCCCTGAGGCTGTAGCCCCTTTGCCCCTCCCTCCCCCCCAAACCCCTCTGCCTCCGCCTCGCTCATCGCGGTGAGCTTCAGAAAAACATGACCTTTGTTATTTCTTGGCTCGCCTCTTTCATTTGACTTGGTCCCACGACGTCAGACTACCCATACTTCTCGTGTAAATACTTGTACGAACCGTAGTGCAACCCCCCGCGCGGCTGCCGCCACACTGTACCCCGTTCACCGTCCCACCACCAACGGAGACAGAGCTGTTATATATACAACGGCTGCTGGCCTCCCCATAACGCTGCTAGCACCCTTCATATTCCCATTCAATTGCTCTATTCCCAACACACCATCTCAACCATTCTCTTTATTGTCTCGCACGCCTTGCGTCTTGACAACTCTCGTCGAGCCAACCCCACCCCGACAGCACCTCTGTCGTCACCGTCTTTCAGCCACGCCGCCTCACCTCTCTTTCTCTCTCGCTACCCAGACTCGACCTCTCCAGCCTTCTTGCCTAACCCACGTGCCGCTGTTGGGCACACATCGAAGCCGCCTACGAATTTCGCCTTCTAGGTACTTCTCCTCGACCTTCTCTCTTCTCTCCTCCCATTCCACATCACGACCGACGCACGCAAAAATGCAGGCCGTTAAGCAAGCGCTGCACATTGGCTCAAACGGCGCCAATGGCACTGCTCGATCCGAGCCTACCCCCGATGCCGTGGCCGAGCTCAAGCAAAAATACACAGACGCCCACCAAGGTCACGTCTTCAACTTTTACGACCAGCTCAACACCGATCAAAAGGCCACTCTCTTCGAGCAGCTCTCCAGCTTTGACCCTGTCCGCATCAACGAGTACGCCCAGCGCGCCCTCAAGCCCGCCGAGACCGATAACCAGCCTGCTGTCCTGAAGCCCCTCCCAGAGTCTGCTACCGCCAGCATCCTCGACTCGAAGCCCGAAGACCTTACACAATGGTACGAGTCTGGCCTGGACCTAATTGGCAAGAACCAGGTCGCCGTAGTCCTTATGGCCGGTGGCCAGGGCACCCGTCTTGGCAGTAGTGCTCCCAAGGGCTGTTACGACATTGGCCTGCCCTCGCACAAGTCACTCTTCCAGATTCAGGCCGAGCGTATCCGCAAGGTGCAGGAGCTTGCCGCCAAGAAGGCGGGCGGCCAGAACGTCGTCGTTCCCTGGTACGTCATGACCAGCGGTCCGACACGCAAGCCTACCGAGGAGTTCTTCGAGAAGAACAACTACTTTGGCCTCGATCGAAGCAACGTCCAGATCTTTGAGCAGGGTGTTTTGCCCTGCATCTCCAACGAGGGCAAGATCCTCCTCGAGGACAAGGGCAAGGTCGCCGTCGCCCCTGACGGCAACGGTGGCATCTATCCGGCTCTCATCCTATGGGGCGTCCTCGATGACATGCGCAAGCGTGGCATCCAGCACATCCACGCCTACTGCGTCGACAACTGCCTTGTCAAGGTCGCTGACCCCGTTTTCGTCGGCTTCTCGGCTGAGAAGAACGTTGACATTGCCACCAAGGTGGTGCGCAAGCGCAACGCCACCGAGTCGGTCGGCCTTATTCTGTCCCGCAACGGCAAACCCGATGTTGTCGAGTACTCTGAAATAGACAAGGCCACCGCCGAGGCCGAGGACCCCTCCCAACCTGGCGTCCTCAAATTCCGCGCCGCCAACATTGTCAACCACTATTATTCGTTCCGCTTCCTCGAGTCTATTCCCGAGTGGGCGCATAAGCTGCCCCACCACATCGCCCGCAAGAAGATTCCCGCGGCCGACCTCGAGACGGGCGAGACGGTCAAGCCCGAGAAGCCCAACGGCATCAAGCTCGAGCAGTTTGTCTTTGACGTCTTCCCCCTGCTGCCCCTTGACAAGTTTGCCTGCATGGAGGTGCAGCGTGAGGACGAGTTCTCTCCGCTCAAGAACGCCAAGGGCACCGGCCAGGACGACGAGGACACCAGCCGCGCCGCCGTCATGGAGCAGGGAGAGAGATGGGCCAAGGCTGCTGGCGCTATTGTCGTTGCGGACGGCGGTGTCGAGGTCTCTCCCCTGATCAGCTACGTAAGTGAATACCCGTGTTTCCCCGACAGCCAACATGCACTAACACAATCTAGGCTGGTGAAGGCTTGGAAAAGTTCAGCGGCAAAACTATACAGGCTCCCGCGGTAGTGGAGCGTGATTGAGCCTTTCAACTATGAGTTGGTGACATTTTCGTATGGCATGGCGTTTTTCTTGTTTTGTTTGCAACGGCCTCGCACCCATTTGGGCAAGGCTGTCCGGAGTGTAAAAAGACGAAATCTTCACATATTGTTCGTCTTTGGGGGTTCGGGGCTTTTAGGGCATTGATCTAGACGCCATGTACAGCTGCAAACGCTCAGCGGCGTACAAAAGTGGATGATTGGGATATACATAGAGCGACAGAGCATAATGATACCGAGCATTGTTACTACAACAGATGCTCTGCTCACATATCTGATAACTGATGCCAAGGCTAGATTCTGAGTATGTTGACGGTGACTTCCAACTCATTGCTCCAACCACTGTCCAACCCCAGCTCCTTCCATGCAGTCTGCACATCCACCTCGAGGACGGTATCGGCATTCCTCGAGATCCGCACCGTGTGTCTCGGCACAGGATGACCAAAGATGGTGACCATGAAGTTGTCATCAATTGTCATGTTAGGTAAACTCGAGACGTAAACACCTATTCCCACATGTCAGCAAGTGATTTGTCCTCCCTCTCTTCTCCTTCCGATGCCTTACCAAAGACACCAAGCGCCTTGAGTTTCGACGTGACGGATATCTTGGCGTCCATCTCGACGTGACTCGCTTCTATCGCGGCGCAGCCCGTCATCTTATCCACGAGACCTAGACTGGCGACGCTGATCTCGCCCTGCCGCCGCCACCGCCGGCTCGCGAAGCGCGTGAGCTCATACGCGGTGTAAATCTCGTAGCCCTCGTCACTCGGCGTCGCGAGCAACGACGGGACGTGACCGTCAGTGAAGCGCAGAGGGTGGGAGACGCGGCCGGTCGTGTAGGCGCGCACGACGTAGGACGAGGTGTGGGAGATGCCGCGAAACTCGGAGAGCAGCGTCAGGGACGAGGTTTGCGCGTCCGAGGTCTGGAACACGCCCATGAGCGAGATGCCGCCGCTTCCGGATCCTGAGAGAATTTGATCAATTTCGGCAACTGCAAGAGTTGGGGCTCCGGCTGAAAAAAAGGAGATGAAGCAGTTTAATAGCAAGCGGTGATGAAGCTTATGAAGCGAGAAAGGACAAATGAGAATTGTGCTCACCATGAAAACTGCCAATCTTGAGTAAAGCCCCAGAATCGTAATCAAGATACGGATCCAGCGCAATGCCAACGACGCTTGGTCTCAAAATGACCGTCTTACCCAGCGTTGTGAGCGCCGTCACTCGCTTCAACAGCTCCAGGTCGTGCTGTCCTGGCACATCCGTGATGTAGACCGGCCCGCCGCTCAGGCACCTCGCCGCTGCGTGGTAGTCTGCAAACTCGTGCACGGTCTGAAACATGTCCCAGTCCGGCACGACATTGAGGTACTGCGTGAGCACGGCATTGTGCGCATTCGCCCACACGTGCCAGCGGTGCGACGAGGGCGCGTCGGGAAAGTAGTCGTCCGAGTTGCGCGCCGTCACGGGCGGCCGGATCTGCGGCAGCAGCGCGTGGAAAAGGGCCTGCGGAAACTGCGACATGCACGATATGGCGTTGACGCCAAAGTGTCGCAGCGACGCAATCGACCACTTGTCGAGGTACGCGTTGGTGAGCGCCCTGCGGGCCGAGGCGCTGGCCAAAGTGTCGAGCATGCACTGCGCGTCCGTCTTGACGCCGTCGACGCCCGACTGCACCAGAAAGGCGTAAAAGTCGTCGTAAAACTTTGAAATGTCTTCGTTGGCGACGAGTGTCATGTCGGTGCCGGTGTCCTCGCGACGGACGTGGGTGGTTTTGTAGCTGCGCGCAATGGCGCCGCGCGGGGAGATGCCGCCCCAGTACCCTAGTAGAGCGTGCCAGACAAAGATGTGCTCAATGGTTCGATGTGTGCGACGAAGCTTGGAGACGGTGCTTTTGAGACCGCTGGGAAATCCGGCGCGATTTGCTTCAAACTCGAGGAGGCCAGCCTGCGCGGCACCTTGGTCCAACGTGTCGATGGACTGCCAGTTGTCATCAATGATGAGATTCGAAATTCTGATGCCGCTCTCCTCCAGATTTTCGAGGGCTTCAAGGATCTTGTCTTCAGTCAATTTTTGGCTAAGGGAGTTCCAAGTACCTATCCTAGTCAGCATCATTTTACGCGCTTCTAAAATGAACGACTCACAGTAGCCTAACCCGTCATACCAATTTTCTCGCCATTTCGGCCGGAAATCAGTAGAGGAATCTGACTGCAAACCTGCATCGTGAATCTGGGAATACTTCCAGATTAAGCTTCTCGCGTGGTATACAACGGCGGCTATGGCCTTGTCAACTTCATACCCGGTTGAGACGAGCACCATAAGATCTCGCTCCACTGGAGCATCATTGCGGGCCTACAATCGTTAACATGATGTGTCACATGATACGTTTCCGGCTTACATGAAGAGATATAGAGTTGGTATCTGTGCTGCGGAAGAGGGCGAGTATGTCGTCGACGCCTGACATGGCAAGAAAGACCAAATGGCGGCCCTGTCCGTCAGCAAAGGAGCAGAGTATAGCATCTTTATCGAGTGAGCATCGTGACAGCCCTTTTCTGGGAGCCAGCCACGGGATACCAGCTCTGACTAGTGCGAACCACCTGTGTTGCGTTTTAGTGAGGCGAATGAATCCTCGCAGCTAGATGGCACGGACGTACTTTTGAAAGTGCGTAAAGGGAGTACCGATTTCAACATCCTGGAAGCTCGATTCGTCTGCCACACTCGGCCCTATTCGAGTGGTCAAGGACCATAGTGTCGTATCTGGGGCTTCGCTTTGGTGAGTAGAAATTGACCATTGTGAGGAAAGGTCGGGAATCAAGTCCTCGAGTCTCTGAGAAGTGGCTGCTATATCTTGAAGTACCACAAAGCCATCGCCAATTCCATATTCTTCGTTGGCCCATATCCAGGGTTGTTCGAGTGCATAACGGAACTTGATGGTAAATTGCATTGATTTGTTAAAGTGTGTTTCCGCTCGGAAATGCAACCGTGAGAGTGAGGGAGATGATTCTAGCTCCACTGCTTTCTCCTCTCCGGTGGCAGCAGCGAATTGAAGTGCCCTCCAATCATCTCCATCTGTACTGTGCCACAATAAGAGTTGCCAGTCCTCGTTTGCAAAACGATGGGGAACTTCAAGGACAGCGCTGATGAATTGCCTCCCTGTCTTCACTGTGGTGACATCGCCGAGGCGGGGAGAAGTATGAAATCGAATCTGCATTTCTTCACTTTCAACAAAGACAAAATGAACGGCTTAATAAGAAAATATCTCTTGATGTTTAAATATTTGGTGATATTAGGTGAATTAGGTGAAGCGTCGGAACGCCGAGGGGGCTGGGCGAGGACATGGTCCCTTCAAGGTACATTGAGGTACATCCGCAGCAGGCCTTGAGCACCTGACACCACCATACGTCAACATCTGCCCGCGTAGCTCAACTTGCGAGCGATACAGATGCACCCCTTTCGGATTTTGAAATATAAGAGAACATTCATTCTCATACTCTTTCGAGCGATTTCTTGCCACGCTTAAGCTGACATGCCATGTAGATGATTGCTTTGCGCCTAGTTGATAAGCAAAGCATCTGATTGGCTAGACACCCTTGCCCAGGAGTCGGAGCTGGTCGGAATGACTAAGGCGAAAATCTGGAACCTGAGGCCACAAACGAGCACAGTAAAGCTTGTTGCCGAGCCAGGTGGAAAGATTTCATCAAACCACTCAATCGAACGTCAACCCTCCCAACTGCTCCCCATGGCGTCACGCAGGCTAGCTTTGAACCTCTCGCAGGGTCTGCGGAACCGTGCTGGTCTGTCGGCCGCCGCTCCCCTCCGTCGAGGCTTCGCGACGCCGTCAACGGTCGGCAAGACCCAGACGACAACCCTGAAGAATGGACTGACCGTAAGCATCACCACAAGGGGCCAATTGGCCCCCGAGAAGCCATTGAGGCCGTATTTCTGACCAGGATCGCGAACAGGTCGCCACCGAGCATTCCCCTTGGGCCCAAACCTCCACGGTCGGCATGTGGATTGACGCTGGCTCCCGCGCCGAGACGAACGAGAACAACGGCACCGCGCACTTCCTCGAGCACCTTGCCTTCAAGGTTCGACTACCTAGACGCATGACACTTCCAATTCGATCCTAACATTCATGACAGGGAACCGCCCGCCGCTCTCAGCAGCAACTAGAGCTCGAGATTGAGAACCTCGGTGCTCACCTCAACGCATACACCTCGGTCAGTGCTGACCTGATCCGTGACGTCGCCGGGATCGACGGCTAACAGATTAACAGCGCGAGAACACCGTCTACTTTGCCAAGGCTTTCAACTCGGATGTTCCTCAGTGCGTCGACATTCTCTCCGATATTCTCCAGAACTCCAAGCTCGAGGAGTCTGCCATCGAGCGCGAGCGCGACGTCATCCTCCGCGAGTCCGAGGAGGTCGAGAAGCAGATTGAGGAGGTTGTCTTTGACCACCTGCACGCTACTGCCTTCCAGGGCCAACCCCTTGGCCGCACCATCCTTGGTCCCCGCGAGAACATTCGCGACATTACCCGCACCGAGCTCACCAACTATATCAAGAACAACTACACTGCCGAGCGCATGGTTCTCGTCGGTTCTGGTGGCGTCCCCCACCAGAAGCTTGTCGAACTCGCCGAGAAGCACTTTTCCGGTCTCCCCAGCAAGAGCGTTGAGAACGCGGCCTACATTCAGTCCAAGAAGAAGGCCGACTTTATCGGCTCCGACGTCCGTGTCCGTGATGACACCATCGGCACTGCCAACATTGCCCTCGCTGTCGAGGGTGTGAGCTGGAACTCTGAGGACTACTTTACGGCTCTCGTTACCCAGGCTATTGTCGGCAACTATGACAAGGCCATGGGCAATGCTCCTCACCAGGGCAGCAAGCTCAGCGGCTTCGTCCATCGCCACGATCTCGCCAACAGCTTCATGAGCTTCTCCACCAGCTACAGCGACACTGGGTAAGCACGAATTAGAAAACTTGTCTAAATAACACAACACGCTGACCCATTATGTTTAGTCTCTGGGGTATCTACCTCGTGACTGACAAGATCACGAGCGTGGATGACCTTGTACACTTCACCATCAAGGAGTGGATGCGTCTCTGCACCAACGTCAGCGGAGCCGAGGTTGAGCGCGCCAAGGCTCAGCTCAAGGCCTCCATCCTCCTTTCCCTCGACGGCACCACCGCCGTCGCCGAGGACGTCGGCCGTCAGCTCATCACCACCGGCCGCCGCATGAGCCCCGGCGAGATTGAGCGCAAAATCGACGCCATCACCGACAAGGACGTCATGGACTTTGCCAACAAGCATCTGTGGGACAAGGACCTTGCCATTAGCGCCGTCGGCAACATTGAGGCTCTCTTTGACTACCAGCGTCTGCGAAACACGATGAAGCCTTTCCACTAAAAAAAATCCTTTTTGTTGTTTTACGTATAGGAGGAAAGGGCTGGAATTGGTCTGCAACGGCGAGGCTCGGGTATAGAAGTGTATGAGATTCCGTATTTCAGTGGCCTAGTGTACCATATAGTCTTCCATGTTCATACTGGTTTTTCTTTTGAGTAATGTGACTTTGAGGGCTGCCTAGGTGACGGCCACTCGTGTTGACTCTGTTTTTGCCTGCTTCGCCAGCCGTGGAACCCCAACCAACAACGGGGGCCTGCAGCCTGGCGTTTCCATCATCACTTGCTGACCCCAATACATTCATCTCCATTTTCTCGTCGACTTTCCTTGCAGATGGCTTAATTCTATTGCAAATGCCATGTACATCTACCTCGTGCATTACGATGCGCATTACACAACAAAGACTCGGCAAGGCCCAGCACTAGGGCTAATCTTTCCCCCAGAGTCGACTCGTCATCAGTCTGCCGCCACCGTTTTTTTTCTAGGGTTTTCTTTTCTCACAAACACGAAAAACAAAAAAAAAACTTAGATTCTCGGAGCCTCTAGCCGCCCCAAAAGATTGTACTCGCGCCCATTCAAACGAGCATCTTGCTCTGTCTTGGTCTGGCGTCTCTGAACAGATTCAAAAGGCAACTGCAAAAGAATCGATAATGAATGAATGGAAAGTACCAAAAACATCCGTCATTAACCAACATTCTGTTACCACAAAGAACGGCTGCGTGCTTTTGTCGCGTTTGCTGGACGCTCTAGGTTTCTACACGGGTTGCACGCTCACCAGAATCGACAGAATACTGAATCTTCGACGAGACTTTGACGCGATGGAGAAGCGCAGTATGGGCAAGGTTACTCCAATATGAGACACCCGCCGACGGTATGACTGTACTCCGACGCTGAAGTTTACAAGTTTCTTCCGATTAAGCCTTGCTCCCCACGCCAGCGTCTGGTGCCTGCTGGCCACTCAATAGCACGACGACAAACACATCACATAGGGAAACCAAGATTGCAGAGGAATGATGAAAGAGCTTAATTGAATATCAGATGCCAAGACTCTCCTAGTCATCGTCCACGTATCTGTCCAATTCTAGACTTTCCTTTGGCGGCCCGTCCTTGCCCTTCTTTTTCTTAGAGAAGCGCCACGATCCAATGCGAGACTGATTCCCGTCCTTGGGCGCCTTCGACCCGAGCGCAGGGCTGCTTGGCATGCCATCGTAGCTTCGACCAAACGGGATCTCCTCGCCAATGTCGTCAAAGTCGCCGATGCTGGAGCGTTGATCACCCGACATGTTCTTGTCAGAGTTGGCTGTGCTGCCAGGGCCCTTCTTAAAGAGCCCCGTATCCTTGCTGAGACGCGAAGACAGGCCAAACTTGCCGGAGCTGCCCTTGCGGAAGAGCTTCTTGACCTTGTTCTCCGGGTCCTTGGGAAGCGAGCCAGACACAGAGTTCAAGTCAGAAGGCGCGTTGGACACACTTCCATCCAAGGTTAGTGACTCGTGAGATTCAGAAACAGATATCGAAGTCTGCGTGTGGATTGAATGAGTATCACGCGAGACTCGAGACTCAGACGGCGAGTCGTCTGTGCTGATCGGCACCTCAAGGCTAGGAGTTGCATCGCGAGACTTGGACTTGTCTTTTTTAAAGATGTTGCCCATGAATGTAGGTGCGTTTGGGTTCAGCCTCTGGTTCACAAACTTGGCGGGAGCCGGATGGCCTGACCCGATAACACCGACCTGGCTGGCGGATGTTTGTGGGTTACGCAAATCGTACTCGTCAAGAATCTCATCGTCAGCTGATGCAAGCGTGGTAGTCAACAGACTGCCCGTGCCGTGGATCGAAGGCCGCCTCGAGTTGCTTCGCGATGGCCAGCGACCGTCTGCTGGCTGCCAGAGTCTGTTCTTAGGCACTGCACCATCCACCGGCTGCCCCCAAATTGAACCACTGTCTGTTGACGGCCGAGGCATATCCGCAGATGCAATAGATGCAGGTCGAGAATCCGGATCTATGTCGACGCCATTGGGAGGCTTGATTGGATTGAATCTTCTCGAAAAGGGGCCACCGATTGCACCCTCAGGGCCGGTTGAGCTACGTCCGACCCAAGGAAAATTGATTCGGCGACGCGGTTCGTTGCCTTCAAATTCATCCGCAACGCGAGGAAATGATTGACTTTGGCCAGACTTTAAACTCCCGAGGGGAGGGCCTTCATCAATACGCTTTGCGCCTCTGTTGCGTTGAAAGGTAGACAGCAGGCCGCTCAGCCTATGGCTGCTAGCTGCGGGCGATTTAGGTGCTTGGTGCAGGTTCAATGAGCTCCTGTCAGCGGGTTCATATGGCGAGTATGATAGATTCTGATTTGATCCATAGGGACTGGAGAATGCACGAAACGACGGGCTAGAAGAAGCGGGAGACTGCGGATCATCTTCCGTGATACCCATGGACTCATGTGGGTATGGACCTCCCATACCGTGGTGATCCTGATCCTCCATTTCGTCGAATATGTTGGAAGGCAAGAGCGTCTGGGCCAGCGGACTCAAAGAACCGGAGGCTATCTTCAACTCGGCCTCTGCGTGAGGTTCGTCCGATGGATCTGGATCATCCATGAACAATCTGGGTGGAAATGGCGCGTGAACGAATCCAGCCGGGGGCGGATAGCCTGACTCTGATGTAGGCAGCGTATGCGGCGATGGGGAGCCTCGCTCGCGGTGAGAGGCACCATTTACTTTGGGTCTTTGTTGCTGAACAGGCGCTGAACCGTCGTATTCGAGAGCCGCGGACCCTGGCTGCTGATAATAGATCTGTTGTTGCTGAAGAGCGAGAGAGATTTGGTCTGAAAGAGCTTGGATCTGCTGGTCGAGCTGGTGAGCCAACTTGAGTTCACCTACTAGACGGGAATGAATTGCGCGCCGATTGGCGTCCCATTCTGCCGCTAGGCGATCGTCCTCATCTTTCCATTGCTGGTCATCAGCGCCCGGCAGCAACTCGCGCGTAGCCTTGAGGTCTTGCAGTTGTTTACCCTTTTCTTTGAGTTCAGATTCCAATTCTGTGCACTTGTCTTGAAGCTCTTTATTGGCCTGGTCGAGAGATCGGGCTTGTTTGTCTCGCTTTTGAAGCAAGTCAGATCTTTGGGCCTGGAATTTCTTCCCTTCCATTTTCATGCGCTCAATCTCCAGCTCCAGCTTTATGATACTGTCCTTGGCCTTCGATTTCTTGGCCTCCTTATCTTTCAAAATCTGCTCCTTCTTCGCGCGTTCCTTCTCAGCAGCGCGCATTTGTTCCATAGTAATTCGAACCTGCGTTTTAAGTTGCGCAGTTTGCTCTTCTTTCTCTTTCAGTACCTGGCGTTTGCGTTCCTTTTCACTTTTCAAGTCGCCCTCCTGTTGTTTGAAATCGGCTTCCTCCTTGGCATACTGCGCGATGGTATCTTCAGTTTCCTTTCTGATGCACTCGAATTGCTTATTCAGCTCGTCCAGTGACATTTCGGGTTCATCAAAACCTTGATGTTTGAGATGAGGCCGGTCGGAACTTGCAACAGAGGGAGAGTGACGCCTGTTGACTGTATTTCGTCGCTGGCTCGTAAGGGAGCCATTAGTGTCGCGAACGACGGAGATAGCGCCGTCTAGCACGGGAGCAGACTCGAGTGAAGGGACGGGGCCAGATGGGGAGTCGGAATCGTCGCCATCGTCAGTCGAGCCACGGCGATACTCATCGGGCGAAAAGTTGGTGGGTAGACGCGCATTGCCAAGCTGTGGTTTACCATCCTTTCCGAATGTGCGTAGACGCATGACTGGGCCTGCGGACTGAAAGTTATTGGGGGCGACAGCAATAACGCGGATATTGTAGAAATGATTTGGTTTTAAGCCAGTGACAGTGATGGCTACTTCGTTTCCAGGGGAGTCGCCGACTACAGCTGGGAGTTTAGCGTTTATGCCAATTGTCGAGTGATGGGAGACCGACGGCAAGAAGACGCCGTGGCAAAACTGACCGTGAACACCGTTGACTTGTATCGAATATTTTTGTACAGGCTTATTGCTGAGCGGTCGACTCCAGCTGAGGGTGGCAGCATCGGAGCGGATGCCAGCCAGGCATACGTCGGGGGCCTCGGGAATGTCGACGCCGAGTATACTGACCAGTTCTGGGACTGGCTTAAGCAAAGTTTGCAAGGTTCGGTGGACAAGCCTAGGAACACGCGACAAGATTAGGAGGAAAAATGGCCAAGGGATTGAAGAGAGCGCAAGTTTGTCGGTGGGGCCACGAACCAGAGAGCCGAAACGATGGTAACAAATGTATGAAAGTATTTCTCGAGAAAGTCGTTGATAGGCATGTTGAGTAAGAACTCATGCGCCTCGAAATAACTCTGCAGCATCCATTCACGAGGATCAAAGATGATGAAGGCGGCACCAATGACTGTGAAGAAGGTTATGGGAAAGAACTCGAGCGGGCGGAGGAGGTAGCAAAAAAAGACGAAGAAGAAAGTGCCGGCAGTCCATGCCAGAAACTGCCAGACCATTATCGCGGGAACCGGGACATAAGAGCAGCAGCGAACGGGGCGCTGGAAGCTCTTTCGAAGATGGGGGGCTGGTGGTGGCAGCAAAAAGTACGGCGGTCTTGGTGAAGAACAAAACAGTTGAAGCAAAAGGCAGATGGCTTGAGCAAAGCTCCGCCGAATCTGACGAGATGATTGGGTGGAAGATGGGGAGGCGCCCGGTGAGCGGCCGCTTGGGTGCGAATGGGAAGCGATGCGCACTGTGTGTCTTGTCGGGCAATGGCAAGGGGATCACAGTGCGAGAAGGCGCTAGGCTAGATAACTCTCTAGAATTAGCACTGGATAGCGCAGGGAGCTCTGGCTGAAGAGGCGGCTATTTACAGTCCCCAGGTACCTCGTTCATAAAAAAGCCGGGCAGCAAACTAAGAGAGGGGTGTTTCCTCAACGATGCGACAGAGAATTGTCTTGAGTTGGATTTTCTCTGCAGAAATGACAACAGCGGCGCATTCAGGCTGACAGATTGGCTCGCATGCGGCTTTAAGCCGAAGGCAATACTGATGGAGGATCCAGGTTTTCATCTAGGCATTGCATATGAATCATGCTGGTTTTGTATTTTCATGCTGGCTATTATCTATAGTCTCAGGGTGTCAACCCAGTGCCAGTTACTTATGGCAAACAAGGTGGTTTACTGCTATCCCCCAAGTCTAGTCAGAACTACCAGTGCTTTGTCCTTCGTATAAGCGAGGCCGGACCCGGGTTGGTTCACAAAGGCTGGAATACTCGAAATTGCCGTCATTAAGACAGACATGCAGAGGCACAGTGCCCACTTGGCTGTGCATCCTGTCTCTTTAGCGCCCGAACACCATCTCGAGTTGGGTGCAAGGCAGCAGCGGGAGCTTACCGTTGCGTGCCCCAACAGCGTGGAGCGTGTCAATTGATCGAGAATGATGAAACTTTCTCGTCGTTGACGCTACAACTATGCGCTTTAGAATCACGAGTCACTGGTATTACGTGCCAAGTGAGGAGCATGACTCAAGTCACTTGCAGGCAAATAGACTCGGATGGATTAGTTAACTAGATGGATCAGAGCCGGAGATTTGACCCTGGCCCGGCGTTTAACAAGCACCAAAGAGAAAAAAAAGAGAAAAAAGAGAAAAACACATGCCACCGGGCCGCGGCTCGTGGATCTGGTTGACAGGTGCCTAGACGACCGGCCAAGTCTGGGGAGTGGGTTATTGCTTCCGGCGTGGCCGGGCTGGGGGAATCAGGGCCTATGAGGTCAGCGAATTACTCACATTACCTTAGGCCGCTGAAGGGCTTGAAACCGTGCTTGAGTCGGCACCGTTGGGTACAATTGACAGCTCGGCAGCAAAGGCTTACAGGGGTCTGCATGCTAAAAGATGCCGTGCATATCCCAACATTGCCTGCCTCAGAAGGACTGGTGAGTGAGGTAAATATATCTGATGAATTGCAACTGCCAAAATTCCTACAATTATTCTTCTTTGATTTTTCTTTTCCTACACTCTGCAACAGAGACCTTTTCTCTTGCCCTCTTCCTCGCTGCCCTGTAATTACCGCCTCGTGCGCGTGCAGCAGACCCCTGTAATTGCATGCAGCGTCTCATCCGCCAAGGCCCAAGAGGCAATCATGTGCTTCTCGCACCAGATCTGACAAGCCACCAGCACGCCGCCTTGCCAAGACCGCGCTCAACAACTCTTCCCGACTCCCCAACTCGTCTCGCCGGCTTCATCTTCACTTCTTTCCTTTTCTTCACTTCCTCGTGCCCCTTTTGTATTCCCTTTCCTCAGGCGCATCTCTGCAGCGTTGCAGTCGCTTCTTAATCGATTAGTTGACATCGCAGCAGCCCTTGGCTTTGTCTTGGGCTCCCCGCCACCCGCCACCCATCATTGCGACCTCCGACCTGCGACGGTCCGTCATCACTACACAACCCAGCCCAGCCACTACCGTCTACCCTTTTCTCAACCAACGGCTTTTCTTTTCCCACTATCCCCCTCAAGCTTTCGAGAGTCACCCCCGTGTAAAGCGTTCCAAGCTTACAACGCAACCCGCATCCCGTCTGCGTGGCTGGCATACATCGCTCTCGAACCGTTGGCTCCGCCTGCCTGTCCACCGCCGCCGCTCGACAACTGCCCAGGTGCCTACCAGTTTTACCGTTTCCCACAGCGCCGTAACGGCAGCTTTTCACAATGCAGTACGTGCGCAACATCAGCGATTCGGTGTCGACGGCATGGAACTCGATAAATCCTGCAACCCTCAGCGGTGCCATCGACGTCATCGTTGTTGAGCACAAAGATGGCACCCTTGCTTGCTCGCCTTTCCACGTTCGCTTCGGCAAGTTTTCTTTGCTGCGCCCATACGAGAAAAAGGTCGAGTTTCGAGTCAATGGTTCCAAGCAGGAGTATTCCATGAAACTCGGCGAAGGTGGTGAAGCTTTTTTCGTCTTTGAGACCACAGACAACATACCCGAGTCTATGCAGACTTCCCCCCTCGTCTCTCCAGCAAGCAGTCCACCCCTCGGTCCAGACGAGTCCGTTTCCCAGCTCGGCGTACCCGAATTCGAGCTCGAGGGTGACGGTACTAATGGCCCTCGAGGCTCCGCTCGCCATCTAGATGAGAACGGTAAGCTTTGCAGTCTTGCAAATAAATGTGCATTTGCTCAACGTCAGCTACAGGATACCCCACTCCAGCCTCCTCGCCCCTCGGCCTGTCAAATCCCAGACCAGCTTCTGGCGATTGGTCTGCCGCGCTTACCCGTCCTCGCAGCGATGATGCCTTGCGTCATTCGGCCCGCGCAATTGACCAAGATAACAGTGAGCCTGCCGAGCGTGACTCCGAACGATCCCCGAGCCCTGGCCCGGAGACCATTCAGGAAGCCATCGACCGTGCCCTTATACTGTCGCGCGGGCTCTCTGCGGTCAATATCCCCAGCCAAGTCACCGAGACTGGTGATCTTATGCTGGACATGACTGGCTTCCGGAGCAGCGAAGAGGAGATGCTCCGCGCCGAGATCCAGGCTAGGAAGATTCTCTCCGAAGAGCTGGACGGCAACTACGATATTGGTGCGCTCTTTGGCTTTGACGAAGAAGGCAATCTGTGGATCTACAGCAGCGAGTCCGCCAAAAAGGCTGCCATGAACAAGACAATCGAGTCTTCCCTGCAAGCCCATCGCCATGCCGTCTCCGCCGATGCACTCTCGGACCCAGGTTATCAAAGCGACGGCAGCGATGTGACCAGCTCTCCTCGCGTTCCTTCTCACCGTCGCTCCGAGTCCGATGCTGGCCCAGCCGGCCTTGCCACTCCTCCCCGCACCCCCGCTGATGCCGGTGTTGGTAATCCCAACCGCAACTATGCAAAGACTCTACGCCTGACTAGCGACCAGCTCAAGAAGCTTGAGTTAAAGTCGGGTGAGAATCCCATGAGCTTTACTGTCAACCGTGCCACGTGTACCGCCAATATGTACCTCTGGAAATACGACAACCCAGTCGTCATTTCCGACATTGACGGAACCATCACTAAATCAGACGCCCTCGGCCATGTTTTGAATATGATCGGACGCGACTGGACGCATGCTGGCATTGCCAAACTCTACAGCGATATTGCCCTCAACGGATACAACATCATGTATCTCACGAGTCGCTCCGTCGGGCAAGCCGACACTACGAGAGCATACCTCAACAATATTGTCCAAGAGGGCTGTAGAATGCCTCATGGTCCCACAATTTTGTCTCCGGACCGAACAATGGCGGCTTTGCGCCGTGAAGTATACCTTCGCAAACCACACGTCTTCAAGATGGCCACTCTTCGCGACATTGCCAACCTTTATGGTCCCGACAGGACACCTTTCTATGCTGGCTTTGGTAACCGACTGACAGATCAAATTTCGTATCGAACTGTCGATGTTCCACGAAATCGCATCTTCACCATAAACTCTAATTCAGAAGTCTCTCTGGACCTGCTCAGCTTGAACAAGCTCAAGATGAGTTATGTCCACATCAATGAAGTCGTCGATCATTACTTTCCCCCAGTTTCTACACTCGTCATGGGCGGTGGCGAGGACTACACCGACTTCAAGTACTGGAGAGACACGCCTCTCGAGCTAGATGAATTCTCCGCTAGTGACAGCGATGAGATTCTGGATGAAGTCGATGAGGGAAGCGAGTACACGGACGGCGAGGATGAGGAAATGGACGAGCGCCTGGGCGAGAGCTACATCTCCCAAGCCTCCATTGAGGACGTTGAAAGTCGCCTAGCCATATCGATGACGCAAAGCCAGATAGAGGAGGGCCTTGACGGCCAAGTCGACGACGATGATGAAGACGACGAGGACGATGAAGAGCCGATTGACGAGGAAATTGACGACGGCCTTGAGCCCCAAGATGACGAGCACACTATCAAGAAGAACGCAGCTGACCTTGAAGAGGATGTTGCTGCGGAAATTATTACTGGGGTTGGTCATTTATCCATGGATAAGAAATAAGCATAAAGAAACACATGGCTAAGAACTTCTATTCGGATGGCAATTAGCAGGGCAAGGGCATCGCCGCACTTGACATTGGGGACAAGGCGCCGCTCATACTCGAACCCGTCGAGATTCGCTCCCCATCCGAGTAAAGGAATGGTAAACAGGATGAAGTTTAGGGCTAAAAGAAAGAGGAGGAGGTTCGTCTTCAATGGAAGAGGAGGGCCGGACACTTGCAGCAAAAGGGCATTTCATGTTGGAAGCATAGCGTGGCGCGCATATTTTTGATGGCGGTTTTACCTTTTTTTTTGTCTTCTCTTTTCTACTTTGGTCTGTTCGTTCCTAGATCCGAAGATTCCGGTTTAATGGATGAACCAATGTACGACTATGTAGACGCCCAAGACGCCGTGGGAGCAGCACAGAACAAGAGAAATTTACATATATGGGGACATATCTCGGCCTTGCAAGAAATTGTATATATTCTAGCTGGCATTGAATTGATTTAAATTTACTGCGCGGAATTTCTTTTGAATTACAGCAAGCCACAACTGATAGCATCTTTTCATCTGGCTCAAATTGCTATTTGAACCCCAGGGGTCACAAATTCAGAACATATATTGCGCCCCAGCCTCTAATCATCCTTTTGTCATGTCATTTACATTCATTTTCGTTGCATATTCCCCCTTCGCCTCTTACTGCTTCTGCTCATTCAACCACTTGAGACGAATCTCTACGGCTCTCTTGTGCGCGTGAAGCTCCTCGACACCCGCGAGCTGCATGACGGCGGAGCCGACATTGCGCAGACCCTGGCTGGTGAGGTTGGCGCAGGTAATGTGCTTCATGAAGGAGGCGAGGTTGACGCCCGAGTATTGCTTGGCAAAGCCATAGGTTGCTGCAGACACGTGTTAGCTTTTGGCGGGTACATTGCGTAAGGAATAGAACGGAGAAGAGAGGCTTACGTAGTGAGTGGTTGACACCGGCAGAATAGTCGCCAACGCTCTCGGGAGTCCATTCGCCGATAAAGACGCTGCCAGCGTTGACGACCTTGTCGACAACCTTGGCTGCGTCGTTGACTTGCAGGATCAGGTGCTCGGGCGCGTAGTCGTTGCTGATGCGTATGGCGTCCTCGATAGTCTTGACGGTCACAGTCACTGAGTGCTTGATCGAGCCGCGCACAATGTCGACGCGCGGCAAGGCCATGGCTTGGTTGTGCACTTCGTCCTCGATAGCCTTGAGCTGTGCCTCGGAGAGGTCCACAGTCAGCAGAATCACTTGGCTGTCGACACCGTGCTCGGCCTGTGAGAGAAGATCGGAAGCGACAAAGGCGGGGTTGGCATCCTTGTCGGCCACAACGAGCACCTCGGAGGGACCAGCGGGCATGTCGATGCTGACGCCGGCGTTGGTGTCGTTGCTGACGTGCATCTTGGCAGCAGTGACAAACTGATTGCCCGGACCAAGAATCTTGTCAACCTTGCTAACGCTTTCGGTTCCGTAGGCCATGGCTGCGACGGCCTGCGCGCCACCGGCGAGAACGATGCTCTCAGCACCAACCTTGTGGGCAATATAGACAATCTCAGGAGAAATGCTCCCATCAGAGCGAGGAGGAGAAGCGATAACAATCTTCTCGCAGCCGGCAACCATGGCGGGGACACCGAGCATGAGAGCTGTGCTAGGCAGCACGGCAGTGCCGCCAGGGACGTACAGGCCTACACGCTCAATGGGGCGCGAGAAGCGGCCACAAATGACGCCAGGCATTGTTTCAACGCTGAGGGGTTTGTCCTCGGCCTGCGCGGCATGGAATTTGCGAATATTGTCGTAAGAGGTGTCAATGGCCTTGATAGTATCCGGGGAGAGTTTCATGAGTTCGGATGGGAAAGGCGCCTTGATGACTGGGGACGTGAGGGAAGTAGCCTTTTCGAACTTGTGGGTGTAAGAGAGCAGAGCCTTGTCGCCGCCTTTGCGGACCTCTTCGATGATGGGGACGACAATTTTGAGAATAGCCTCGGGTGACTTTTGTGACGGGCGCTGAAGCGTCTTTTGCAGGTCCGAATTGGAAACAGAAGCAGAGTCCACTCGCTGCATGAGGATGCGGTCACTGGTAGGAGTAGCTTCGTGGGCGGGAGCTGGCTTAGCTGGAGCAGAAGCAGAAGCAGAAGCAGCTGGATTAACGATGCCCTCCTTCTCAGCCCATTTGCCCTTGGCATTGCCCGGGCGTCTCTTGACTTTGAGGCTCTTGGCATCCAGATTAGCCTGAACATCAGCCAGGCTCACACCGGCACTGACAGCCTTGGTCAGGGCAAAGTATATCAGATCGGCAGCCTCAAAGGCGACTTCCTCCTGTGTCTTGGCGTCACAGAGCTCTTCAGCCTCTTCCATAATCTTGGCCCGCAGGAGCTTCTCATCGCAGAAGAGGCGAGCAGTATAAGAGCCCTCGGGAGCGGACTCTTTGCGAGAAACCAATATCTGTTCGAGGGCCGCGACGCCACCAAGGTTTCCAAAGCAGCCAAATTGCTGTAGGTGACAGAAACGACCCTTTTGCTTAACAACAAACTTGAGCGTGTCGTTATCGCAATCGAGAGCAATGCGAACGAGCTCTTGTGTGTCTCCCGAGGTGGCTCCCTTGATCCAAAGACCTCGTTTCCTGCTCTGGTAAACGCCAGTCTGCGTGCGAAGAGCCTCGAGGATGCTGTCTTCGCTAGTGTAGGCAAGGCCGAGAGAAATACCAGTCTCATCGGTAACGACAGTAGGTACGAGACCATCGGGACGGTCCGACTTCCATTGACTAGAAAGAACCTTGGAAAGGAGCAGCTTACTGGTATCCGCCTTGTCGGTGGTCAGACCAGTAGAGGGCAGGATGGGCACGGCGTTGCTCTTCTGGGCAATCTCGAGAAATTCCTGCAGCGAAGCGCCTTCGATGGGCTTGATATAAAGAACCTTTACTTTTGTTGCTTGCGAATCGGCAATGAACTTGGTCACGTCCCAGGTCTTGGGGTCGAAGTCGCGGACGAGCAGACCGTGCTCCGAGGCGGCAGACAGATCCGGAGTGGACACAACGGGAAGCACGCGGTCACCCAGCTCGGTATACTGAGGGAGCGACTCGGGGGTTACAAAGACTCGCTTGGCACCGCGGTCGAGCAAGCCAAGCACATCGTCTTGCTCCAGGGCTGTGGCATCGAGGTGGGCTTGGAACTCGGCGCTGTGACGGCTGAAGAACTTGGCAAACTTTTCGAGGAGCTGCGGCTTAGCATCGAGGAAGGGACAGCCAAGAATTGAGACCTCCTCGCGAGAAAGGCCCTCAAGATTGGCCAATCCCGGAGGGACGGCGACGCTGACGAGGAACGGCAGCGGGAGCTCAACCTCCATGTTGTACTAGAGTGGCGGGCGCTGTAGATGCAGGGTTCAGTGGTCGAACTCGGAGGGTGACAATTTGATGGCCGTAGTCGTGGCGCAGAATGACAGGCTCTAATTGGCGCTACAATGTTTGTGTCGAAGCAAATTGGTGGTATTGGATCATGTGAAACAAGGCAAAGGAGCAATTAAAATATGGCTAGGCAAGGGCTCGATATGACTCTGCCTTTGGCGTTCCTGCATCGGCCGTCTTTTTTGGTGGGGCACAGAGTGCTGATAGCTGTTGTTGCCCCTCCAAAAACCCAAAAACTTTTTGCTCGCGATAGAGAGGGCGGCGGGCTTTTTAGTGCTGCTGTTATTGGCCAGTCATTGAAGGGCTCTCGATAGATTAGAATGATTATTTAGTTACCTAGAGGCTACTTGGGAGAGCCTAGGTACCTACTTAGCAGCCGTGTATGCGCTTCACTGGCATAGTCGGTCGTCACAGAAAGCGGGCATCAAAGCCGAAAACAAATATTCTGGTTTCGGAAATGAATAATCTTCTCATCTTTATTTGGAGTCTTCTCGGCCATGCTTCGTCTTCTCTGTGTGGGGTCGTCCACCAGCACATTAAATAACAGGTACAACCGTTCAACACGTTAGCCGGAACGGGATTAGGATGTTGCGCCCGCGAGCTCCAGCGACCACTCTCGCGCTCACAAGGCAAGCTTGTAAACCATCAACTTGCCATCACGCGCCGCGCTGCTTTTCACTTCACGGTGAACTCTAGATCCTCTGGCATGTGTACAACCACCAACACGACTTAGCAATCTAGCTTATACTTCTTGAGCTGCCGCAGCCCACTCGTTTGCTGCCGGTCCAACTCATCCCACCTTTCGCCGAGATCCTCTACGATACAGACTGCGCCCGGCTGCGCATCACAACCACAATGTCCTCCGCGCCGCCGCAAACGAACGGCGTTACGCCCTCTACTACAGCCGCTCCCGCCGCGAACCCTACCCAAGGAGCGTCCGCCGCGACGACCGCGAACCCTGCCGCCGCCGGTGGCCCATCATCCACATCACAGCCCACGGCCGCCGCCGCGCCGCGACCGCGAGACGCCCGCCTCATCGAGCTCCTGCTGACCTCGCAGGGCGTGACGTCGTACGAGCAGCGCGTGCCCCTTCTTCTCCTCGACTTTGCCTACCGCCACACCTCGTCCATCCTCAACGACGCGCTGCACCTCTCCGGCGACCCTTATGTCTCGCAGGCCGGCGCCAAACCCTCGGCGACCGCGGGCGCCAGCGCCGCAGCCCCTGGAGACGCTGCCATATCCGCCAACGCCATCAAACTCGCCGTCGCGGCCCGCCTCGGCTATCAGTTCCGGGGTGGCAGCTCCGGCGGCGGCATCAGCAAGGAGTACATGCAGGAGCTGGCCCGCGAGCGCAACAAGGTCGCTCTCCCGCGCGTCGTCACCCACGAGTGGGGCGTGCGTCTGCCCAGCGAGCGCTTCGTCCTCAGCGGCACCAGCTGGGGCCTGCAGGACGTTTGGAATGAGATTGGTGACGAAGAGGTGCCCGAGGCGGCTGGCGGCGATGCGATGGAGGGCATCCAGGGCCCGGCACTGGAAGATGTGGATGGCGACGGTGTTGAAGGCGGCACAGTCGAGGATATGTTTGGCGATGACGTCGATGAGGAAATGGCCGAATAACTACCGTCCTTGCTGGAGACTGAGACGTATTTGCTTTCGACTTGTATCACTGGAGCTGGCGGTTGAAAATTAAATGGCGTTTTCGGCGTTTTAATGCGCCATAAAATATGGGCTGGACAATACTGGAGTTTTTTTTTCCAATAGCAATGCTAATACACAATTTAATACACGTGCTGTACGTGCTTCAAGTGACACGGCATGGCGTACAAATCTTGTAGCCAGCGAGACAGTGGCCGCGCTTTCATATATGCACAAGATATAACGCTCCAGATTAGCTTTGCACTTTTCTGCTTGTCAGCTCTACAGGTACGAGCGTGCGCACAACTCTGATCCATCTACTAACTGTTCTTCTCCAATAACGCTTATTCCATGACTTGGGCAAGGATGCATTCTCCGACGAGAATTGTAAGCATCTCCACCACTCATTAGGCGGCGACCAGGAATCTCGCCGACTCAGGCAAAGGCACGACCTTGTCCAACTCACTTTTCAAGGGCTTGCCCATTGTCCCGCGTGGAATCTCATGGCAGAACAAGACCCCGCCGGTCGGAACCTTGTGCGCCGCGAGCTTGGAAGCGACGAAATCGACAACCTGCTGCGCCGTCAGCTGCGCGCCGTCCCGTCGTACAATGTACGCCAGGCACTCTCTGTCCTTGTCGTCATCCCGGGCCGGCGTGCATGTCACCAGAGCGTCGGTAATGTCACCGTTTTGCAGGAGCACGCTTTCCACCTCGGCCGGCGCCACTTCCTCGTACCGGACCTTGAAGATTTCCTTGAAGCGTCCCAGCAGCGTGAGCATTCCGCTTTCGGGGTCTATCGCGCCCTTGTCGCCTGTGCGGAACCAGCCGGGCTCACCCGGCAGAAAGGCTTTTTCAGTTGCGACCGCATTGTTGTAGTAGCCGCTGAAAGCGGCCGCGCTGCGAGCGCACACTTCCCCAGCGGCCCCGGGGGTAACCTCTTGCAGTGTTTCAAAGTCCACGATTCTGTCAAGAGTGTTGCTTTAGCATATCGAAATCCTGACGCCTTGTGTGTACCTGTGCAGAGATATCATTGTGCTTACTTGACGGCCGTCGAGGGCGGAACTTGGCCAACACAGCCAGTAACCCAGTTGTCATCTATGATGCACGAGCTCAGCGCAGGTACTTCGGTTGTACCATATCCTGTGTTCACTCTGGCTTTGTCAGGGAGGATTTTTCTGAACATATCGACGGTTTCTTGACGACAAGGTGCCCCTACAAATGAAATCTGCCATAGCGAGTCAAGAGGCTTCCGCGCGCCATCTGTCGAGTTGAGCACGAGTGCCATGCTTTCCATTATACGAGGGGTAATCATGGTAGAGCCGATACTTTGCGAATGAATCTTGTCAATAACAGCCGCAGCGTCCTTGGCCTTGGTCACGTAGACAGAGTAGCCGCCACCTAAGCAGGCGCGCATGTGATTCAGGGCGCCGCTCACGTGGAACATTCCAATAACCAGCAGAAAAGGTTTGTCTAGCAGCGGCATGGCAGCCATGAAGTCGACCCTGAGAGCTGACGCACGGTGGCTTATGCTGGCTGCTTTGACGGATCCTGTCGATCCGCTCGTGAAGAAGCGAAAGGCCTCGCGCGTGGTCGGATCATGTCCCTCGTTGGCGTTGCGAAAGCTAGCTCCATCCACGCCGTCAATGATGCTGCTCAAGCTCGCCTGCGTGCCCCCACGGTAAGGGTTCAGGCCCGGAGGGTCGAAGATGATGACCATGCTAGGCGGCAAACCTAGGCTCTTGACAGTCGCCAGAGCGAGATGCAGGAATTCGGGTGCAACAAAGAGCCACTTGAGCCCGGCCGCCCGAATTGCGGTGGCTAGCTCGGCCTGCTTGACAAAGGTCGGGATGCCAGAATACACTGCGCCGGCGGCAACGGCGCCGTCGCCGAGAACATAGTAGTAAATGTCATTTTCGCTGAGGAGACCAACACCGTCCTGGTCAGCTATGCCGAAACGCTGGAGACCGACAGCTATGCGCTTGACCGCGGAAATGTATTGCTGTCGCGAGATGTGGCGGCCCGGGCGGTCGGCATCGACCAAAATCTGGCGCCACACGTTAGCATGCGGATAAGGCGCATACTAGGTGTCACATATGAGGGTTTTTTGGCGTGACTCTAGGTTATGCGTACCGGACGGAGATCCGTGGAGTCATTATCTTGACTGTGGGAAAAAATGCGTGTGGTATAATCCATTGAGACAGAGCTAATCAAATGCTAAAGTTGCGTTGGCATGTACGTGATTAGTCTAAAAAATATGTTCTTTATTTAACGTACACATCTACCCCAGGAAATGTGCGAAAAGCCGATATAGGCTGCAGCCGTAAGTCCGAGGCTGTAGAGAATATAAGCAGGCATCAGGCTCCGCGGCCCCGACAGCATCAACGAACCACGATGTTTGTTGGAATTAATTTGATCCATCTTCGGAGCATTTATTGGTTATATTGAATAAGCGTCTCCAATTAAGCAAGTGGGCAAGATACCCCGCACGACGCTACTGCTGATCATTACAATGTCAAATGTCAAACGGTCAAGACATAGGTTCAATTCGGGATCCAGAGATATGAATGAAATACGACACAATAGAGGCAATAGACAATCAATGGGCTTGTTTGACACATCTGGTGCTTTCGGAAATCCGTCGCGGGCGTTACTAAGCGGGCGATTAGTGGTGATACAGTAGCACTCTCTGCTCTGATGCCAAGTCTCGATGTGGGTGGGGCCGGCAACAAGCCAAAATGTGAGACACGATGCGTTCGTGCCCGTAGCGTAGCGTAGCATACCAAATTTCAACGCAGGTCCGAGTCACTTGGTCACCTGCCAGTTTGCCTGGCGCTCGCCAATGAAATAAGGCCGGCGAACTTGTTATTACATAAAAATCAACTCGCGTTACTCGGGCTCTGGGGAGACCTTGATGGGGGACGGACAGCTGCCAAATCTAGCCCCCTTGGCCGGCCGGATCGACGCCACCATCATTAAGCCCTTGTGCGTTTCAGCCATATCAGCACTGATTGATTCCCAACGTCGCTCAGCCCGAGTACACCTTCTGCTTCGGAGCGGTCAGGCCCCGGGCGTTGGGCTCTCCCCTTGCAAGGTTCTCTCCTGTCAACCTGCCTAAGTGAGTGCCCTTGGGAAAACGCTGCCAGCACGGCAGTTGACTTGAATGAAAAAATGACAAAAAAAAAAGACACGAGTGGGCAGAGGCTCTATCTTTAGAAGACGTCTTTTCAAGGTATTTTTACCAGGTTGCCAGGCCAGTGACGAGGCGTAAAGATGTGGCGCTATCCCAGCCCTTAATGCGCCATTTCGGGCGGATAAGAGGAGACTGTCATCAATTGCTATAATAGGAAGCTGTTGCAATGGACAAAGAAGACGCCATCATGGCGCCAGTGGCGCCCGACAACTGCTAGCTGCGAGACAACCTGGCTAGATGCCCTCGATGCCTCGATAGCGTCGAGATTTAGCACCGGTTTGGTGGAGTGCTGATTGGGTTTGAGCGAGGCAGATTGTCGACCATGATTGGGACTCGAACAGCTACGCTAACATAGCAGCTGGGGCGCCAAGCGTTATGCTTATTCTCTATACCTCGACGGTATTGGTGCCCCGGCTCCCGCCATGTCCGCTCTGTAGTCGCCTTGTGGACGCGATTCCTCCTTCTTCCCCGATTTGGCAGTTCATTTAGACAAGCAGCCAGACGTTGCAACCTGACGTGCTCCTCGCTTCTGACTGGTGGCTTGGCGAAATTGCATTATCTGCCAGCTATCAACAACTGTCAACGAATTGGTAGGTGCGGAGAGGAGAGTTTATTTGAGGGCATATTATACCTTCCTAGCTGGTCAATGGCCAGTAAACTTCAGTCCTTGGCGTCAGAATCCCTCATTGTCTGTTCGGCGCTCCCGCCTCGAAGGCGACATCGTCATGCAAGAATCTGAGCGTGAAACAGGAAGGTGATTGTGCTCAAAGGTTCCCAAGCAAGGAATCAATGTCAAAGCCATGACAGATGCCACATGAGAGCAGTGCTGCTTGGCAGTCTGCGTCGAGCATAAATACTCGTCGAGGGACGGACTTGAAAGCATCGTATCATCCTCACTTCAACTCACCAACTCATTCAATTACTTCATTCCTCCTGCAAAACATATTTATCAAGATGGTTGGCTTCAAGAGCTTTGCCGCCCTTTTCCTTGCGGCCCTTGGCGCCGCTGCTCCTGCTCCCTCTGGCGGCAAGTACATCGTCACGCTCAAGGATGGTGTTACTGCCAGCAAGGTCGCGTCTCACTTGCAGTGGGTGAATGATGTTCACGCTCGCAGCCTCGGCCGCCGTGACCTCAACCTCAACGGTGTCGAGAAGACCTATGAGATTGGTAGCTTCAACGGTTACGCTGGCAACTTTGACGCCGCTACCGTTGAGGAGATCCGCAACAACCCGGAGGTATGTCAAAGCAGAATCAGATCTGCACTAGTTACAGATCAAGTGACGAATAAACTGACTCACATTAACAGGTTGAGGAGATTGAGCTAGACCAGGAGTGGACTCTGTACGCTCTGACCACTCAGTCCGAGGTCCCCCACGGCCTGTCCACCATCTCGCACCGCCAGTCCGGCGCCAGCAACTACATCTACGACAGCACCGCTGGCCAGGGTGCCTACGCTTACGTCGTCGACTCGGGTGTCAACATTGACCACGTCGAGTTCGAGGGCCGTGCTACCCGCGGCTACAACGCTGCTGGCGGCGAGGACGTCGACACCATCGGCCACGGCACCCACGTCTCCGGCACCATTGCCTCCAAGTCGTATGGTGTGGCCAAAAAGGCCAGCATCGTCTCCGTCAAGGTCTTCAGCGGTCCTACCGCGGATACTTCCGTCATCCTCGACGGCTACAACTGGGCCGTCAACGACATCGTCGCCAAGCGCCGCCAGTCTCGCTCCGTCATCAACCTATCCCTGGGCGGCGGTGCCTCGACCGCCTTTGACCGTGCCGTGGCCAGCGCCTACCAGCAGGGTGTTCTCAGCGTCGTCGCCGCCGGCAACGAGAACCAGGACGCCAACAACGTCTCCCCCGCCCGCGCCCCCCAGGCCATCACCGTCGCCGCCGTCAACTCCGAGTGGTCTCGCTGGATTTGGAACAGTCGCCAGGGCTCCAACTACGGCACGCCCGTCGACATCTACGCTCCCGGTGAGGATGTTCTCTCCACCTGGATCGGCTCCAACACTGCCACCAACACCATCACCGGCACCTCGATGGCTACTCCCCACATTGCTGGTCTGGCCATCTACCTTGCCGTTCTCGAGAACCTGAGCACCCCCGCCGCTGTCACCAGCCGCATCAAGCAGCTTGGTACCAAGGATAAGGTTGTTGGCAACGTTGGCAAGACTGTCAACCTGCTCTCTTACAACGGCAACCAGTAATTCAGAGTATGCGGTGATGTGTGTGGAGGATACTTGACTAGTTGGTTAATGACTTGAATGAATTTCTTGAATAACAATATACATGACTTTTTGATGATTTTGCACCTGCCTACTTAGTTGGACACATTTATGTGACGTAGAAGGCCTTGTATCTCGCTTTGAAACTCTAATAAGTAGACACGTAGAGACAAGTGTGAATCATGACCCGCGAAATGGTTCAACTTGGCTATGCTTACACAATTGATCTGCTCTGCATAGCCGGTCGATCTATCCACAACTTGAACTCTTTATTGAGATGAATGAAAAAAAAAAAAAAAAAAAAAAAAACAATTCAGCTAAGTTGACTATTCTTCTGGCTCTGCCATGGCCAGAATCATGGTTGTCAGTGCCGCCCCACTTTACTTGCTGGGGAGATGTATGGCTGGCCGAAAGTCGCCTATCCTTTGAGAAGCATCATCGCAAAACTTTTGGACAGGTGGCAACTGTAATAGCCAGGGTCCTGCGGCAATATGAGCGCGGCCCTGACGAATCCATCGTCACTTGACACGGGTATGTTGGAAGTGCATTTCCGAATGCACCAAACGGCAGCTGATTGTACGGGGACCAGTCGACTATGACCCCATAGACCACCTCAACCTACTTTTTGCGAACCCGGCCTCAGTATCGTCTCTCAACCGCGTATCCCAGACGCTCCAATCGCGGCAGAATGAATTGGACGACGAAATCAGTGCCCTCGAGTCGGCGCAGGCCTACAAACCCAACTCGAGCCTAGAACGCATGCAGTCAGCTCAGACGGAGCTGGCGCAGCTCTTTCGCAAGATTGAAACCGTGCGGTCCCGCGCCATCGAGACGGAAGAAAATATAACATCCATGACGGCCGACATAAAGCGGCTCGACGGGACGAAGAAGAACCTCACGCTTAGTATGACGGCCTTGAAGCGTCTACAGATGCTGACAACTGCCTACGAGCAACTGCGCGGGCTTGCCAAGACGCGGCAGTACCGTGATTGCGCAGGCCTGCTGCAAGCGGTGCTACAGCTCATGAAGCACTTCAATAGCTATCGCAGCATTGAGCAAATTGCCACGCTGAGTCGCGAGGTTTCGGAGCTCCAGCGCGAACTGCTGGAACAGGTGTGCGAAGATTTTGAAATGGCATTTGCCAAGGGCGAGGTCTCTGCTAAGCGCGGCATGCTTATTGAAGCATGCTTTGTCATGGACGCTCTTGGAGACTCGGCAAAATCGAGGTTGATAACGTGGTACGTCAACACGGAGCTGCGTGAATACCGCCAGGTGTTTCGCGGCAACGACGAGGCTGGCAGCCTGGACAACATCGGTCGCCGGTACGCTTGGTTCAAGCGTACAATGAAGACGCATGAAGATGAGCATGCGGTCATTTTCCCGGCGCATTGGCACGTCAGTGAGGTTTTGGCAACGACATTCTGCGACGGCACCAGGGACGACTTCAAGGGCATCCTGGAGCGCAGCATGCGTCGTACAGACGGAGCAAAGGTCGATGTGAATCTGCTCTTGTCTTGTCTGCAGGAGACGCTTGACTTTGAGCAGAGCCTCGAAAAGCGCTTTTCGAATGAGCCACGAGCGAGCATCGACACACTGAGTTCTGTCGAGGGAAAGACGTATGCTTTCAACGGCCTTATTTCGGTTGCCTTTGAGCCATACCTCAGCTTATGGGTCGACTCACAAGACAAGCAGCTGGCCACCATGATGCCCAAATACAGAAACCAACCTCTAATACCATCAGACGACGAATTCTCCCCACAAGCGGTGGTGCAGTCCGCCATTGAACTATTTCACTTCTATAAGCTCACTCTATCACAATGCGCAAAGCTGTCGACCGCTGAACGGCTGCTGGATCTATCAAAAATACTGGCAAGATATCTCGACGAGTATGCGCAGCAAGTTCTACTACATAAACTACAAGCCCCTGGCCAGGCGATGCCGACGATGCAGGACTGCATTCTGGTGCTGAATACAGCCGACTTTTGGCACGCCAACACGAACCAGCTGGAAGAAAGTATAAAAAAGCGCATAGACCCCGAGTTGGTCGGCAAGGTCGATCTGTCATCGCAGTCAGACGCCTTTCTCGGTGTTGCTAGCGCGTCAGTCTTGGCCCTGGTGCAGATTGTAGAGCAGCATTGCGAAGGCGTCTGGCGCGAGATGAAGAATACAAACTGGAGCACAATGGAGACTGCGGGTGATCAGAGCTCATATGTTGGCGAGCTAGTGAAGCACGTCAACGACAAGGCGGATGAGATCCTGGCCATGGTTGGCAAGCAACAGTATGCCAGAGCCTTTTGTGATAATCTTGTCGAGCACTTGGCAACAAGCTACATCAACAACATTGTGCAGTGCCGGCCGATATCAGAAACCGGTGCTCAGCAGGTATGCACCAATATATTCCCACTTGTTTGAAGTATGAACTAACGGCAGTGGCAGATGCTTGTGGACAAATATGCGCTCACAAAGTCTTTTGGTACACTGATTTTACATCATAATCCATCTCCGACACCCCAACCTCCTCCCGCTGGCTTCGTTAGGAGAGTAGAGCAGTCCATGGGCCGCATAGATCCATTACTCAAGACGCTGCAAATCCGGCCCTCACCGCCCGAGGGACTCGTGCAAGCTTACCTCATTCATATCGGCGACAAGTCGGACACCAACTTTCGAAAGATTTTGGAACTCAAGGGCGTGCGCAAGCAAGACTATGCGCACTTGATTGAGCTCTTTGGCATTCACCGCGAAGGCAACGCAAACGACAAGCTAGTACAAAACTCGCCACTGCTGACACCGCTGATGAACGCAACGTCGAGCCTTGCCAGTACCACGGCTGTCGGGGGCACCATCAACGCAGCTGCGGCGCTTACCGGAGCTGCGACCGGGGCGCGGGGCTTTGACGCCGGCTCGCTGGGTGAAAAGCTACTGAGCGCGGCCCGAGACATTGGCACGGCGAGCACGGCAATGCCGAGCGGCTCGGAAAAGGCAACGATTAACGAGAACCTACGAAATTTCGGCAAGTTTTTCAGGCGAGACATTGGTGGGCTGGGCGCCAGGTTCGGAAAACGGGACGGCAGCCTCGGGGCCGAGGGAGAACAGCGATGAGGAAGCATAGTGGTGTTTGCCAAGGTTGGGATGCTATTGGTGCATATATACGGGTATTTCATGGCAGACGTATAAATAGGAATCATGTTGGTAGCTTCTTGTATTTTATCAATGGGGCCGTTTTCCAGATGCCGACGATCCGGGGTGATGCACTTGTGGCGTCGTCGGTGAAGATGAATAATGGTATGTGTAGTGGCACGAGTGGGTTGTGGCATCACGGTTGAACAGTCTTTTAGCCTGGGCGCAAGAAAAATAACGCTGGTAATAAATTGAATATTTGGAATAGACACAATGACGCAATATCTCTATTTTTATTTAGATGTAACTAGATAGGCACCATTTGTCAAACAAAGTTCTTGTCTGCCGTCCACATATTGTACATTGTTGCTGCCCCACCACCCCTCCCCTCGCACAAGCTCGGAGTCGCCAACTTTTCAATTAGTCAACAACTCACGCGCCGCCTCAGCCCATACCCACGATTCGCTGTGCCGCACCCCGAAAGAAGGCCCATAAAGCCCTCTCTTTTTCCATCTTTCAAGCATTATAAAGGTCGCAACACCGCCAAACTGTTTGCCTCGGCTTTTCGACGGCCGCTACGCTCCAGCGCCGGTTTTTCTCTCGCAGCAGTTGCCACTGTCACTACAGCGACCAAATACCCTCCCGTATCGAAGCCAGCCGAATTAAGGATTAGAGCCATGCATAGCAAAGTCGTCAGTACGTTTTTTTTTTTTTTTTCGCGACCAGGACGAACCTGCAGACGGGCCAATGGCGCCGGATGGGGTGAGACAAGGATACGATGTTGCTAACGCGGTGGTCAACTCGCAGTTATCGGATCGGGGCCGGCTGCCCACACGGCCGCCGTCTACCTTGCCAGAGCAGAGTTGAAGCGTACGTTCTCCGATCGCGATGCTCAGACATAGAGCAGAAACAGAGAAATGGTATTGACAATGACTGCAGCCGTTCTCTATGAAGGCTTCATGGCCAATGGCACCGCCGCTGGTGGCCAACTCACCACCACGACCGAAGTCGAGAATTTTCCTGGATTCCCCAAGGGCATCATGGGCCAAGAGCTAATGGTACGCACACTATCAGAAAAGGGCGAAATCAATTCTACATCATACTGACACGCCTCTCTCCCGCGCAGGACAATATGCGCGCGCAGTCCGAGCGCTTCGGCACCGAGATCATCACCGACACCGTCACCACACTCGACCTCTCCTCGCGGCCGTTCAAGTACAGCACCGAGTTCAGCCCCGAGGAGACGCACACGGCCGACGCCGTCATCATCGCGACGGGCGCGTCGGCGCGCCGCATGGGCCTTCCCGGCGAGGACAAGTACTGGCAAAACGGCATCTCGGCGTGCGCCGTGTGCGACGGCGCGGTGCCCATCTTCCGCAACAAGCCGCTGTTTGTCATTGGCGGCGGCGACTCGGCGGCCGAGGAGGCGACGTTTCTGACAAAGTACGGCAGCCACGTGACGGTGCTGGTGCGCCGCGACCAGCTGCGCGCCAGCAAGACCATGGCCAAGCGCCTGCTCGAGCACCCCAAGGTGACGGTGCGCTTCCACTCGTCGGCGACGGAGATTCGCGGCGGCGACGACGGCCTCATGTCGCACATTGTGGTCAAGAACAACGCCACCGGCACGGAGGAGGTGCTCGAGGGCAGCGGCCTCTTTTACGCCATTGGCCACGACCCGGCCACCGCCCTCGTCAAGGGCCAGATGGACATGGACAGCGAGGGCTACGTCGTCACCAAGCCCGGCACCACCCTGACCAGCGTGCCCGGCGTCTTTGCGGCCGGCGACGTGCAGGATAAGAGGTACCGCCAGGCCATTACCAGCGCCGGCACCGGCTGCATGGCGGCGCTCGAGGCCGAGCACTACCTTGCCGATCTTGAGGCGGGCGAGTGACTACTGGATGATGGTGGCGTCAAGAAGAGAGAAAAGAGCTTGCTTTGAATAGAAAGGAAAGAAACCTCGCTAATCTAGAAATTGTCAATAGAATAAAAACAGAAAGTACAAAGGAAGGCATGTGTACAATTGTGAAGCAAATCCTGTCAAATGTGATTATCCTGCTACTGCATGTGAGTCAAACGTTACAACAGTCTGTCTTGTTGAGTCTGGAACAGATGGTTCATACCGGCATCTACTCCGGACTTGGTCGTAGGGATGTATACTCTGAATAATTGGAACAAAGACAATGTGCAGACCATCGTAGACAGTCGTGGTGTTGAGCAACACACCCTACTAAAGATGGCAGAAACCAGAGTAAAGTTGTATCAAGAGGCCATGTACGCAGAAACAGGGGACTTTGAGGGCTATATTTTATTTTCCCCGTATCTCTATTTTCCAACTCCTGCGCTTTGAATTTTTCTTGTCGTCTTTTCATTCCATCACTGAATGAAAGCTTGCTTTTAGATACTCAACGTCTAGGTACAATGCGTATATACATACCATCACTCTTTTACACACTACATGTACCCCCCAGGGTTTTCTTCCCCCCTTTTCAAGCCACTCGGTGCGCCTTTCTAATGCTCCAGACTTTGGTGCACCAAATTAATTGCGCCAAACTTCAACGCGCCACGCTTCAATGCTCCAAACATCAAGACCTCGGGCCCCCAATGTTCCACTCCAATTCACTCGCCCCCAAAGAATTCAAGCACGAAACTTTTGGTACATGCTCTTCATGCGGGTAACCTGGCCTGGGGTAAACTCGTTGCGACAAGTGCCATAGCTCATAAAGTTGTTGACGGGGTCCTTGCCGGGCATGTCGGGGCAAGTGTCGGCATTTTTGTCGCAGCTCCATTCGTTAATCAGCGCGGGCGTGTCGGCCACGTAGTCGTTGTCCTCGTCACAGCCGCCCTGAAACGTGTGAAAGAGGCCGAGCCAGTGGCCGACCTCGTGGGTGGTTGTCTGTTTATTGTCGTACACTTTGGAGAGGATTGTGCAGCCGTCGCCCCAAAACTCTGCCGAGTCCGCGGTGACGCTCCGCGGAAAGGGACATTGGCCGTTGGCACGGAACTTGGGCACAAAGTAAATGTTGAGGGTCTTGTAGTTGCCCGTGCGAAGCTGTCTCTTCATGACCATGGCGTCCTCGCCCGCGGCCCAGGTCGTGTTGATGGTGTGGATGACCTCCTGGACGTCAAACTGGAAGCCGAGGCCCTCGTAGTCACTGTTCATGCCATCAACGGTGGCTAGAACGTCTTCTTTCTAACTCGGTAACAGTAGCATGTTAGTTGATGTTTTTTATTTATTTTGTTTCTTGGTTCAAAGTCAGAACTGCAGTCTTACAGAGAGGTAGCCATCCGACTTGGACTTGGAAGAGGCAATGACGTGAATGTAGGTGGGCACATTGGTGTCAGCGTCATCACGGGCCTGTGTATTAATTTTGGCCTTGGCAGCTTCTTGGGAAGCCATTTCCTTGGCGGCAGCGACAAGCTCTGCGCTTGGCTCGGTGGTGGCACAATCATTGATACCTTCAAGAGCAGCGCCAAAAGCAGCCACAGCCATAGTGGCCGCAACAACAAGGGACTTTTTGAATGCCATACTGATGAGATTGGTAGAGGAAATAAGATTATGTATAAGTGTCAGGGTATTATGGGTATCATGGGATGTTGTGTAGTGAATACTTGTGATGAGCAACTCGAGACTCTTTACAGCGGTCGCCATCACGTCTTTATATCTTTTTGGCCAAGACAACCATGCAACTCCCGAAATGATAATTCATATGATCCGCAGTCAATCATCGTCGATGACCCGAGGCTTTGATACAGGAGGCAACAGTGCGAGGTTCCGCAGCTTTCACCGGCGTTGCCCACTAACGGCCAGCTGAAGCGCAAATCAACCCATCGTCACCTTCTCCATTTGGCAGGTGAGAACATGTACCTAAATAGTTCGTCGCAACTCTATTTTGCTACACGAATCGCTTTTCAGGCTAGACGGCCCATGGCAGCTGGAGTGGATGCATGGTCAGATAGTCTTGTACATAAGCATAAGCTTTTTGCGCACTTCGCGGGGGAGGGGGGGAGAGGGGAGGGCTGCGTCTCGGTGAGCGACCGTCGGATCTCATTCTCGCCTATGACGTTTTTTTTTTCGCCAACTGAATAGGAAAGTTCTCTCCTCGGCCAAGACGAGCTAAGATGCAGAACCTTCCGCATTTGGTTTAATAGTCCGAACCGGCTGTGCATCCAACTGAACTGGGAGGGGGGATGTGCAAACTCCTTTCTCTTTCCGCATGGGTTCTTGGGGCCCAAACTTTTGATTTCCTCGTATTTCAGGGTCCTAAACTAATCACAGTTATGATTTACGAAAGCCTTATTAAGCACTGGGGCTGCCTATCATAGACAAGGCGCAGTAACGGAATGTAGAATACGCCGTTGTTGTGGATTTAACCTTTGCTTTGTCATAGGGAGACAAAGTCTCCAAGTGAGCTTGGACAGCCTGTATCCAGAAGCGGCAGTTTTAGTGCGACGAGGTCAGATTTTTGTCATACGACGAGTATATTACAGTTGTCTAAAATCAAGGATAAGATTATCAATGTTTTGTGGTATACATGTGCGTGCTTCGCCGCCCGCTGTCGATATCAATGCTCCGTGTCGCGCGAAACGGCTTCAGGTAAATGGTCACACAGCTTTAGGGTTTGTCATATAATCCCTCGTGGTTGGGGGTGATAACGAGAGAAGATCTTCAGAAAACAAGCACAAGAACAGCGGAGACTATGAATATTCAAAAGCAGTCTTGGCCCGCGACGAGTTTCTCTGTGTCTTTGGCTGATATTAGTGTGACCCGGTGTGGATCGAGAGATCAGCGCTTGGCACAGATTAAAAACGTGTACCCTGCATATATCTGTACTTTAATCCCATATATTGGGGCCCTATTTAATTAGCCCGCTCGGCTTGAACATCTGCCAATAGTACCAACAGCCAACAGCGCCAGAGTTTAGGGCGAGGCAGCTTAACGGCCGAGCTCTCAGCGCGGTGTAGATCCTGCGCAACTCGACTCTGTTTTTCTGAATCATGGGCAAAAAGCTTCTGCTCTAATGTTAACAAGTTTCCGACAAACATCGTTTGTCAGCGCTGATGAATTTCCCTGTAGGGCCGCATGGCTTGAACCGTGCGGCAGGCAAGTTCCAGTTCTACACGTGCGATGCTCACCAGCCAGCCACGGTGACCCAAAGTCTCATTGTAGGCAATGTCTTACTAAAAATCCAAAGTACTTGGATTAGAGATCATCGCCCTCTGTCGCGCTATATCCTGACTGTTTCTGAAAACGGAAGAATCTGCTCAACCGCAACAAAGGGAACCCCGGCCAACAAGAAGACTAGATCGGCCAACAGAGCAGGCGATAAAGCGCTCTGGTTGGAGGTTGGAGGGATCCAGGCTTTGATCGTCCGACTAGGGAAGTTCCAAGTCAGATGCCGCAGGTACCTATTCAGGCATTGAGACGTGCGAGAGAGGGGCCGAGGACGGCTATGGGGACCGATTTTGACCTTCGTCTTACACTGCGCACCAATTAATAAGCCGACGACTATTTCAGTAGGGAGAGCAATGGAAAGATTAGACAAACACACACCAAGTTTCCGGCACTTTCTTTTTTTTTCGTATTTTATAGATAGCGAAATAGGATCCGAATGTTCACGAATCTCAACTGAAGTCGCCCTGTCTTGGCAGCCAACAAAGCCAACCGTGGTCCGCCAAGAGAGTCAAGCGGAACAAACGAGCTGCTGGATATTCTCGCTTTGGGGAGACGTGAATAGACGCGTTTTCAGTGGCAGAATGGTGGAACGGCCAGTGCGATTGGACGTCATCTTGCATTTCTAACATATCGTATATACGTATAGCATCCCCCTCGAACCTTCAACCACGGCCGTATAAAAGCTGTATGTCAGGATTAGTTTGAACTCCCCAGCTGTATAGATACAGTACTTGTAACCAACCCCAAGTTTTTTTTCTTCTTCTTCTGTCGCCAATTCCATGTCTTCTTCTCAGAACAAAACACTTGCTTACACATTAGCTAACACGCACACAGCTAACCTATATGGTCGAGCTCTGGGCTCGCCATAACACGTCTGCGGAAGGCTTGCTACTAACGACTGAGATAATGTCCTTTAACAGCAACTCACAGTCAGCTATGTGAGCTTCAGGATGTATCATGGAGGGTGTTATGGTAGACGTTAGAATGTGAAAATGGCAGAAATAGTCACGTAAGGCTACAAGAGTAGTTGTACTGGATATAGTGCCTATTTACGGAGGAACAATCGAAAAGTCTTGTCTTGCAGGGGGATATTATCAAATTGACCAGGGGGCGGACGCCACCAAATTAGGCACCAAAGATCCCCTTTTCGTATTCGAGCTTCGTCAAGCCTTCACAACCTCCACCAGCAGCACCAGCAGCACCAGTAGCACCAGTCAAATGCGAGCACAGACGGAGCTAGCCACGAGGGCGTTGATTTTGACGTTGAAGGCACCTTTTTGTGGTAAATCGACCGCAGAGATCGCCTCTTTGACCGGAGTTTCTACCCGTACAGTTGACCGTATCTGGGCCCGTGCCATCGAGAGAGGCTTTGACCCAGCAGTGCTACCAGTAGTACTGAAAGACGAGTATCTAGAAGATGCTCCAAGGTCTGGCCGGCCGTCAAAGCACACGCCCACGAACCAGGATCTGGTTGTCGCCAAGATGCGGGAGGAGAGGTACGACAGAGAGAAGACTAGCGCTGTGATAGCCGCCGAATTAACCGCTGAGGGCATCCCTATATCGGCAAAAACGGTACGATCGATCCTGAGGAAGGCCAATTTGCCGAAAAACGAAGCCAACGAGGAGGCCAGGCCTGACACAGAATATGCGAGACGACTGGCTACGGATACGCGTAGTATGGATGAAAGCGTGAAATCAATCAACTTGGGGAGACGAGTAGACGATGTTGATAGAACGAGGGAGATGCCAAGAGATGTCGTTGGGGATATGGTGTGTGACCTAGTCGGCCATCCGCAAATGGCAGAATCTCATTATGTATACAAGTTCAACTTGATATCAAAAAGTGAGTACCGCACCTTCGCATTTCTTTGCAATATTTCCTCACAGGTCGCCAGATAGTCGCCACTGTATTACAGCGGGCAAGGCTCCAAGTCAGGCGGTTTAGGCAGGTTTCCTGGCGGGCTTTCGGCCCAAAAACCCTTCCACGTAAAGAATACTGTCGGGGCTGCTGATGTATACAACCATGGGTTTATGATGCTTATAATTTGTCGCTAAAGCTTGAATTCTCTTGGACATTATCACCGCCAATCATTGGTTTGTTGTTGTACTCACGACTTAAGTCCTAAACTGAAGCGCGCGCGACCTTGCAGAAGTCTGTCGAGGGACCCCACCAGAAAAAAGTTGGTCCCTGCTTTGCCCCTCCGCCCACCATAGAAAAAAAATTTCCAACCGGCTGGCCTAGCCAAAGTTTCTTCTTCTTTTTCTTTCGGGAAGAAGCGCCGTGTCAATTCAAACAAGTCGAAGAAACGCGTCTGGTTTCAATTGTATCATCGTCTTCGACCTCGCCAGTTGTTTGTTTCTCTCCGCAATCTATTTTTATCCCCCTCGTTGCCGACAGACCTAAACAATGGCTCAAATCAACGGATCCACGATCCTTGATCACAAGAGCGCCCTCGAGGTGCTCAAGGAGTACAAGACCCTCGATGGCCTCGATCTTCACGAGCTCATGGATACGGTCAAGCACGGTGGCCTGACCTATAATGATTTCCTCGTCCTCCCGGGCTACATCGGTTTCCCCGCCTCCGAGGTCTCTCTTGACTCCCACATCACCAAACGCATCACCCTCAAGACTCCTTTTGTCTCGTCTCCCATGGACACCGTCACCGAGCACGAAATGGCCATTCACATGGCTCTTCAGGGTGGTCTCGGTGTCATTCATCACAACTGCTCGCCCGAGGAGCAGGCTGAGATGGTCCGCAATGTGAAGCGCTATGAAAATGGCTTCATACTCGACCCCGTCGTCATTAGTCGCACCACCACCGTTGGTGAGGCCAAGGCCCTCAAGGAGAAATGGGGCTTTGGCGGCTTCCCTGTCACCGGTATGTCTCTTTTTCCTCGTCTGACTCCCAATCTCGTTTCACATGATTCCATACCTTTGAACTTTTAACTTTCGTTCCACCGCAAAGACTACTGTCATGGGGACCACCTTTACTATGATTTTGAACTTGTTTTTCACTCTAGCAATGCGTTCGCACAAACCCGTACACAAGCTAACGTGATGCAATAGAGGACGCAAAACTCGGCTCCAAGCTTCTCGGCATCGTCACCAACCGTGACCTGCAATTCGAGTACGATGAAAACGCCTCTGTTGCCGACGTTATGGTTACGGACCTCGTCACCGCTCCAGACGGCATCACCCTCGTCGAGGCCAACAAGATTCTCGCAAAGTCGAAAAAGGGCAAGCTTCCCATTGTTGACAAGGCTCAGAACCTTGTCTCTATGATCTCTCGCTCCGACTTGACCAAGAACCAGCACTTCCCTCTGGCTTCCAAGCTTCCCGACAGCAAGCAGCTGCTCTGCGCTGCTGCCATTGGCACTCGTCCCGAGGACAAGATCCGCCTCCAAATGCTAGTCGACGCCGGTCTCGACGTCGTCATTCTGGACAGCTCTCAGGGTAACAGCATGTACCAGATTGACATGATCAAGTGGTGCAAGAACCAATTCCCCGGCCTCGATGTCATCGGTGGCAATGTTGTCACCCGTGAGCAGGCTGCTGCTCTCATCGCCGCCGGTGTCGATGGTCTCCGTATCGGTATGGGCAGTGGTTCTGCCTGCATCACACAGGAGGTCATGGCCGTTGGCCGCCCCCAGGCTGCTGCTGTTCACGCTGTCAGCGCCTTTGCCGCCCGCTTTGGCGTTCCTTGCATCGCCGATGGTGGTGTTCAGAACGTCGGTCACATCGTCAAGGGTCTCGCCCTTGGTGCTTCCACTGTCATGATGGGTGGTCTCCTCGCTGGTACCACCGAATCGCCCGGTACCTCCTTCGTTTCCCGAGAGGGCAAGCTGGTCAAGGCCTATCGTGGCATGGGCTCCATTGATGCCATGCAGGACAAGAAGGCGGGCAATGGTGGCAAGGACAGCCAGAAGAGCAACGCCGGTACCGCTCGTTACTTTTCCGAGGGTGACAGCGTTCTCGTTGCTCAGGGTGTCTCTGGTGCCGTCGCTCACCGAGGGTATGTTTTCCCCGTGGTCACTTGTCTGTTTTCTTCTCACTAACATGGTCTAGATCCATCAACAAGTTCATTCCTTACCTCGCTGCTGGTCTCAAGCACTCCATGCAGGATTGCGGTATGCGCAGCCTGGAGGAGCTTCACACGTGTGCGAGCAACGGCACTCTCCGCTTCGAGATTCGCACTGCCAGTGCTCAGCTCGAGGGCAACGTTAACATGGAGACTTATGAGAAGAAGCTCTTTGCTTAACTGGAATGAGATGCAATTTGGATGATGGATGATTGAATGGGAGGAAACTGACAATTTTCACTGCTTTTTTTCAAACGGAGTCAATTTGGGTATTTGAACAATTACGGCTACAACTAGACACGTAAAGAGTTTTTTCGAATGTGTTACTCAGCACTGATATACCCGTACTTGCCAGCGAATAGTACATGCTTTTATTCATAATGAAATCAATTTACGCCGTTATGCTGTTGTACGGAAGTGCTGACCCTGTGCCGGTCAAAATGGCTCGAAACTCTGCTATTCTCCGCAGACGGGGTATGCCTATTCATTTGTCTTTTCATTTCATGTCAAGCATTGCCTGTCGTCTTTTCAACCAAATCAGTCCACTCTCTTTGCCCGCTTCTCCCGGTGCTCATTCCCATCATCCGCCGCCGCCGTTGCATCCACATCCAAATCCACATCCACAGCCGCGTCCGCGTCCGCGTCTGCGTCGTCATCACTCCTCGTCGGCCGGTACATGATGACATACTCTGGCTCAACCACCTTGTCGCGAAGCCGCCTCGGCCGCGGCGAGCTGTCATCCACGGCAAAGCCCAGCTTTTCATAGAAGCGCCGAGCGCGCGCATTGGCCGTGAAGCACGTCAGCATCGTCTTGTGCAGCGCGCCGATGCGGTCCGCGGCCGTCGTTACGTGGCTCATCAAAAGCCGACCCAGGCCTGTTCTGGAAAGACGGAGAAGGCTCGTTTCAACATTAACGACTGCGCGAATTTTC